AACCATCCTCCTGGTGATACACTTTCTTGAATAGTTTAGCTCCAACTTGCATCTAACATATGTGCCCCCACCAACCAACATATGCATCTGAACCTGCCAATCAAAGACTTCAAAAGAAATTACTTAGCTGGAGCAGGTGAGAAAGACTGGGATTGGAACTAGACTCTGCAGAAAGGTAGTTATCTAGGACCAGGATTGGTGAACACTGCACTAACATGTAAATGAACACACACGTACAAAGATTGTCTATTAAGTCGGTTCAGTATATATGGATAATACATATCAAGCCCTGAGTCTTCTCCCTAGGCAAGAAGAGCACTGATGAGTTGTGGCTTACTTTAGCCTGCTCCTTGGCAAAGGGCAGAGTGAAGTCACCATGAAGCAGGCCATTCTTTTCCATGAACACAACACTATGTTTGTTAGGGTGCCGCTGAGTTGAGGCTATCAGGCTGCCTGAGGGTCTAAAGCATACACACACGTTTTACGTTTTTATAGTAAAAGCACACAACAACAATAATACGACAATCATGACACTAATTTTAGACTTTCTTACTTCCAGCAGAGAGGTTGTTCAAGGCCATTGATAGCCTCACTGGTCGCCTGCAGGATGCATTCTCGGTTCCACACTCTGACTTTTCTGGCCCCTGAAACAAAACAAAAGAATTCAGGAAATACTTTTCAGCTCTCCAGTTTCATATAGGTGTAAATAAGACACACCTACCAGTCTGACTGCAGATGGCACTGACTGCAAACAGCTGCCCATCACCTCTCCATGTAATCCTTGGTCTGCGATCATCCCACGGCAAAGCAGGCTGCACTTCCTTATATATGTGAAATATGTAATTGTAAATGTAATTGTAATGCATAAGGATATTAAACAAACAAACAAAACTGAAACAACCACTGTACTTCATCACTGATCATCTTCACTATTTGAAAACAGCACCAAAGCGGTCGATGAGCATGAGCATGTCATGATGAATGGACCAGTAGAAATGGCCAAAATTTTCTTTTTATATTCATGTTCCTTGAAGTTAAGTTGTATTTTTCCTTCTCCTATAAAAGTTTCTATTTCATAGGCACAAAGTTTTCTAGGAACTTTCTATGGTCCATGTTAATTTGGAAATCAAGCAATATTAACAAGTAATGCAAGGGAAATCGAAGAATATTTGATGGGTTCTAAGAATTTACTTAAATAAAGAGTATTCTTCTTTCACTGTGGCTGCATGACAGTCAAAATAAAGGAAAAAGAGGAAAAGAGGAGGAGACAGAGATTGAACAAATGCCAGGTCTCAGCTTATAACAGTTTACCACAGCTCAAGAAAGGGGTGAATGTAATATACAGCCAGGAATAAGTAAATAGGATAGTAGGATGGTTGGTGGGACAGTAACCCGAAGAAATGAAGAGTTTAGGAAAATTCCATAACGGGCCACGAAGTGAAACACCAAGAAACTTTATAAATAAGACATATCAAGACATATAATCATTCAACCACAAGCCTTAAGATTAAAAGGCTTAAAAACAAAATTCCATTGTACTACAAGAAAACTGCAATGTTGGCCCAGTTTTGCAAACGTCTACTTGTGAAAGGATCTGACTAAAGCTGCGGCTGTCTGATGCTGTTTAGTAGAAGAGTGAGAGAAGTGAAGCATGAAGACTTACTGCAGCCTTCCTCTGAGCAGCCTGTTTCCCCTCTGAGCCATGAAACTGAGTTTCCTTCTTCCCCCATCCAACTGTGATGAATTTACCTAACACACAAGATAATGCAGTCATTATTATATCTATATCTACCTATACTATAACAGATAGAAAGGTTTTGTGGTCTAGAGCCTCCAGTGCCCCACACCTTCCCCAAACTCATCCTGATGAATGACCACCTCAGTTATGGGCTCAAAGTCTTTGGTCATCAAGATAATAGTCTCCTGGCCTGAAAAAGAGACACAGCACATTAAAAAGTGTCACTAAATAAACACACACCCAATCCACAGCGCACATTACAGTGGATGAGGTGAACGGAAGACGTACCATTATGAATCATGTTCACGGACACAAACCTGTACAGAATGTCACTAACTCCTGGTCTGGACTCCAACTCATTGCCGTCAGACCACTGTCCACAGTACCAACACACTCCAGCTACCAAACAGCGAGACATCATTGTTCACACACAGTATTGCAAAAAGGTCAGAGCCCACCCTTTATTTATTTAATTTCCAGTCGAAATGGCCATTTAATACAAGTTATTTAGTTCTCTGGATAAGAAAATCAAGCTCCACTCTTGCTTGAGATCTGAAAAAATCCACAGGTGTTTATGTCTATCCTTCCACTGTGAGACGATGGCTCTATGTTATGGGTCTGATAGGATGTGTAACTGTCAAGACCCCATTACTGAGAAAAGGAGAAAAATTTGCAGATCACACAAAGAAGCTGCTGGTGTTCTCAGAATAATGGACTGACAATCCCAGATCCGAGACATCAACATCACTGAAAGTGTTTGGAATTACTTGGATTGTGAGAAACAGAAAATGCAACCAAATAGCAAGTCTAAAAGAAAGCACATCTACTGAAAAGAATGGAAGCTGTAATAAAGACAAAGGGTAAATACTGTAAATTCTGAAAATTAGTTATTTAGGTGTAGTTGCTTGTTAAATACATGTCTGCTTTATTTCCGGATGCTATACAAGAATAACTTCTAATTAATGACTGTTTTGACTGGAAAAGAAATAAACGAAGGGTGGTCTTTTGAACAGTATTGGACTGTGAGAGGAACAGAAAGCTGAGATATCTAAATGAATACCTGATTAGTGCTGAGGTTGTACAGAATGACATCACCATGTGCAGTGGCCACACAGACTGATTCCTGCTCCGGCAGGTCCTGAATACCCACCAGAACACCTTCACCATCCTCTGAGAGATAGTCCTCAGTGGTCAGGGACACCTCATTCAACACCTGCAGTCAAAATACACAAATGACACTAATACTTTTTCTATGGTCATCTATTTCTAATTTATCAGGAACACCTAATTTACCACATAAACACAGAAAGTCATTTTTATTAATCACACTAATAGTGTTTCTACTTAGACCTCTTTGGATTTAATCAGGGACACCTTCTTCATCATATACTCACATTAACAGTCTAAACCGATTAATCATAGGACTGAATGATTTGGGGAAAACATGTAAGATTTTTATGACCAATACTTCAAGTGTGAAAGTATTCTCTGTAAATTAATTTCCTAGATTTTTTTAAAACCAAGAAGATCAGAACATCTGTTTTTTTCTGGCTGTAAACTTGAATACTGAGAGCCCCGGATTACCATTTAGTTGTGGCTGTGATATTACATATATAGCACCTGGGTAGGTGCTGGTTGGACAAACTAATCTACAGGCAGTTCACAAGCTCTACAATATCAGGTTAAATTTATAATTTAAAACTTGTTAAGACAATATAGTTGATAATATACTCTAACATAAAAATCAAAACTTATGTCATCTGAATATTGTACAATGTCAGAACGTGATTTCAATATAAAAAGATTAATTATCCAGTCCAAATTAATCACTGTTTCTCTTATCTCCATCTGCTTCTACTTAGTCAGGGCCATCCCATTCACATCCTAAATACATGATCACTCCAAACACACCTCACACAGCTTCTACATGTGCAGCAATTAATCACACAGCAGGTAAATGATAGCTCTCTGTGACACTGCACTGCAGTGTGGGCTTACCTGCCCTGTCCGAGGGTCGTACTCAGTGATGGAGAACTGAGAGGCGATGAGGAGGGAACCAGTGTCCGTCCTGACAGAGAGACACTGCGGGCATCCTGGACTCTGCAGCTCCAGAGAGCGCAGACACTTCAGCAGCTTCAGGTTCCTCATGTTGGTCTCCGTTCACTGTAAACAGCAGAAGAGGCACAGAAATATGTTTCACGTTTAACTGGAACTGTTTGCCACCTGGTCAGCAAAACAGACAACACGCCTAGTTAGGGTCAGACAGCTAGTCTGTCTCAGGACTGAACTCGCTAGGTTAGTTAGCTTAGCTAACAGAGAAAAAACATAAAATGGAGAAAAAGACCACACTGTCAAGAAAAATTATGGGAAAGCCAAACATTACGAACAAACAGAATGTTAAGAAATCTAATTACCAACATTAAATACCTTTTGGTGTATTTGCACGGTTAAAGAAAACCCATTCGGACTTTAAAAACACAAGCACGCTGTCAGCTCTGAACCGCCATCGATATATCACAGTAACGTAGAGAGAAATACAGTACATGTTTTAAGATCGCCCCCTGTCGCTGCGGAGGAGCAATGAGCGCCACTTCTCCGCAGGGCTGTTCGATTCCAGAGATTCTGGAGTCGACTCCGATTCCGATTCCATGAGCTGGCAATCGATAGAGTCGCTTTCACACAATAAATTTCTCCATTCTCGATTCCAAAAGTCGATACGTGAGCCCATTTCTCACATACACAATTACGCGGGAACGACACGGTAATTAAACAGAAAGGGGTTTACTTCTGAACACAAGTCGGAGTCTGGAGTCAACTCGGGCTTCCCAAAAGCCTCGAACCGGAGAATCGATTCTTTTTGGGATCCCAGCCCTACCTCTGTAAATTAAAAAGTCATGATGGGCCACATGGCTTGCTCAGTTCAAACTAATAATACCATTTATAGGACAACATGGTCTCCAGAGGACGAGTCTGTATGATTTTTTTCATTTATACGCTGCACAGTCGAGCTCAGAAACTGCAGTACATACAGTATCTGCACTGTTCAAAGACCAAACGACAATAGCCAGAAAATCCCGAATTAAATTATAACTAGACATATCAGACGAATGGCTTGCTCCTTGTTTATGGCCGTTGGCTACGTTTAACCTTAGAACTAGTCCCATGAACTAAAGAGCACCCCAGCTGTACGTCAGGAAGAACAGTTTTCTTAAGTATGAGGAAAAGCAAGACAGTGAGAAATACCCTTCACTGACACACACGCACACACACACACATCACATACACACCCTCTGCTGCCTCACATTACATGACACACACTCGCTCAGTGCAGTAGGAGAAAGAAAGCTCGGGGCAGATTTCCCTCTCGAGTCCAACACAGCAAAAATGCTAGGACTGACTAAAATCCTCTTTCTCGGCTACTGAAAGCTTCTCCTCAGACTTCGTCGAGGGAGCGGGTCCTTTTGGAGCTCTGAGTGTTAGGAGGAGAACAGGTTGGTGACTTTTCGATAGTCTGCATTACAGCCGCTGTAGAGAACGTGTTATTCAACCCACAGAGCCTGTCTGAACACATCCACAGAGTGTCTGTAGCTGTAATCTGCCACAGCGTCGGCTAATCAGTTGGCTGTACTGCAGCAGGAGCAGCATGGAGCCTCCTTCATTCACGACGTTTGTTTTGGGTCCCTTCGCCTGGGCTTCCTGATTTCTGGAGAACTGCTCTTTTTTCCCCAGCTTTCACACAGGCTGGCGTTTTTAATAATAATAATATTGATAATAATAATAATAATAATAAACTATTTGTCAGATGAAAGCAGGCTCAGTTGTGTGTTGTCTGACTTATGATAATGGTGCAAAAGGTTGTTGTCAACAGCTGAAGAGAATGTTTACAGTACTTCTGACTGTTTTCTTTCAGTATTGTGCAATATAAAGGGAGGGAATCTCAACACTGAAGATAAAAACAAAAACGAAGCAGATGGGTTTATGGAAAAACACCAATAGAGGCATTGCTGGCCTAAAACTAATATTTAATGTGTTGTCATGTATTTTTATTATTATTATTATTATTATTATTACTATATAATAGCACAGCCTTGCATCCCTCGGCTTCACCGGTTCGACAGAATTCACAATTTTGTATTCTTGTGTTTTCGTTTATCATGTTCCGTCACTACAATACCCAGCATGCAATACACAACTACATCATACAGCCATTGGGAATCCCCCCTTGGCAGTAAAGAAATGTTGACTTATAGCATAGCCATAGATGCAGAAGCTTGTAAATACAGCTGTGACTTTCAACTTCCAAGCAATAATTGTAGCTGTCTGGCTTCCTTCTGCATCAGCATTCTGCATTAGTGGTGCCACATTTAAAAAGTACTAAAACTATGAATGCTATGATATTTATTTAGTGTTTCACATACTGCACTGCACTAAATCCTATTAAACAGGGATTTTTATGCTCTGTTTGTAATTGAACATGCAGTTGGTCAATGTTCTTTAGTTATTGATATCCACAATATGCTCAGAAAAAATATTGTGACATAATGCGATAGAATTTATAAACATACAAACATAGCATAGACATGATGTAATGCAAAGTAGTTCATCACAATAATTGAATATTGTAATTTTGCCCATCCCTACATTTGCCTGCACAAGAGCACAACATTTTACTTAATGTTCCTAATTATTGGTCCCCAATAGCTTATCTACAAATGCTCAAATAGTAACCAAACTAATGAAATTCAGTTGATTATCAACAGCATCAGGCTTAGGACCAGGGTTAAGGGTAGGTTTAAGTTGAACTGAGGCTTAGGGTTAGAGCGAGTGTTAGGTTTAGGGATTAGGGATGCTAAATTGAATGTGATACGTATTTAATTGACTGTAAGTTAAAGCCAAGAGGAACATCTTCAATGCTTCTACAGTGGGCTAAAATAAAAGCATTACTTTGGGGGGATATTTCACAAAGCAGGATTTCTCAGTAAACTGCATAGTATATGGAGTTAAGTAATGTAAGAGTTTCATTTCTTTTGTCCTCATCTATAGGTGAAAGTGTGTATTTCATTTAAAACAACACATTATTGTATGTGGTAAGTACAGATTTGTGACCCCGAACCACTGGTGCTGTTTTGCTGAGCATTTATTTCTCTCTGCTTCCTTTTTTTCAGCTGGATGGAGGGAGAAGGAGGGTGTAAAGGAAATCCCAGTGCACTTGCGTCTGTGTCACTTCCCACTCCGAGAGAAAAACACCAGTCTGAAAGCGGAGATTGCTGCAGTTTGGTAGAGAGCCTGGAAGAGACGCATACGGACACTATGGGTCTGTCCACAGGTGACCAGGGAAAGGAAGCTCCACAGCCGGACAGCGCTGCTGTTGGCTTCACAGCCACTGAGCACATCTCCAGCACTAAGCTGTGCGGCTATCTCCACAAGCAGGGCGGCCCGCTCAAAGCCTGGAAGTACAGATGGTTCACCTACGAGGAGAAGAAGTGCCAGCTGTTCTACTATCGCACAGCACAAGACTTGAACCCGTTGGGCAGGGTGGAGTTGTGCAATGCCACATTCAGTTACCCACTGCAAGGAGAGGAGGGCACTTTCCACATTCAGACACCAGAACGCACATTTATACTCAAGGTAGGGTTTTAAAAAAACATAATCCTTTCATGGCAATTGATTTAATCCTATATAGACATTTATAAAAGCTTATTTCAACATAAGTTTTGTTCAGCCTTATGAACACTGGTAAAGTGTTATCAAAATTACTTGTAACAGAACCTCAAATCTCTGAAATGGTGAAAAGACATAATACACGTAATTTCTTCATTTTGATGACAACAAACCTTCCACTTCCATGAGGAAGAGAATTCTTCTGTGGGCTTGAGGAATGATGAATAAGGAGAGAGAAATCTGTTTTACAGAAATAAGTGTTTCTTGTGCGTTCATGTTTGGTTTCAGCTGCTCCCTTTTTCCTCAAACACAAGCCTTACAAGAATGGAATCATTTGCTCTGTACTGTGTGGCCCGATTTGGGGTTTGCGTAACAACAATCCGTTAGATTAAATTACTGCACCCACAATGAATTTATCACCACTCTGCCACGGAACGTATGTTTTGACCCTTTTCCCTTGTAAATTTCTCAATGCCTTATTTTAGCCAGACTGAAGCCAGTCTTATCCATATAGCTCACCCTCTCCCAGTTTGATTTCATTGTCAGAGATAACCATGTTCATAATGGTGTTTTTTCCTGCTCCTCATTGAACATCTTTCCTCTTCTCCCTGAGGGAGGCAGCCAGTGGGTCCTACAGAAGAATCACAACAAAAACAGTTACATATTAGCAGTGATGCTGAAGGCTTAGGTTACAGAATGCTTTATGTATTGCAGCTTTGCCTTATAGTTGAACATCTGAGATTAGCCTTTAATCTCATCTCTCAGACCACTTTCTCATCTCACTTTAACATGTGTGCTTTGAAATTTCACAAGACAGCTTTCTGTAATATAACACAGTAAATAAACAATGTAAAATCAATAGACAGATAAAAATAAATACAATAAAAATCCTTCTTTGTCATGATGGCAGACCTGACCTCCCTTTGAGCTCCCATACAGTGTTGCTATCTGTTAGACAAGGAAAGACTGAATTTGCATGTCCGCTTAATATTTGTTCAGCTGCAGAAGGCCATAATACGATTCATATCTAGTTGACGTGTAAATGTTTAGTGGTTGAACATTAACTCATCCATTGGAATAGGCTCAAGGGGATTTCTAGCATTCCTAATGTGACAGTGTCTTGAAACTGAAAGAAAGAATGATTGTGATCTGGAATGCATTACAGATCCAAAAGTGGCAGTGATATTTCTGTAGATTTCTCAGCTGTTTGTGTGTCACTCGCCGACTATTGCAGAGAGCCTGTAAACAACAACAGCAACCACTGTAATAGGGGTAGGTCATGTGGCAAAAAATGTAATATCATGATACTTCAAGACATTTTCATGGTACACGATATGTGTCTAGTTATACACTGTTTGGTGGAGGATGGATGATGGTCTGGAGCTGTTTTTCAGGGTTTGGGCTTGACTGCTTAGTTCCAGTGAAGGTAATGTTAATACAAAGACATTATAAACTATAAAATACTTCCAGTGTTGTGGCAACAGGTATAACCCAGGTAAAATCCCTTTGTCATCCATCAACATGGGTGAAACCCAAGAGCTTTTAGCTCAAATGAGAAACAATCACCAAAGATCACAGTTTCACAGCTGCAAACTTTAGTTGTATTTCAAGATGAACAGTGAGACACCACCCCCATGACCAGAAGAGTTCCACGAAAGAAGCCCTTCCTGAGACCAAGACACAAATCCCAGCATTTGAACTTTGTCAGGCAACATTGGAATTACAACTGGAATCATGTCTTGTGGTCAGATGCGACAAAAACTGAGCTTTCTGGCCATGCACACCATCGTCATGTTTGGCAAAAAAAAGGGGACAGAGTAGAACGAACGCCCACGGTAAAATATGGTGGTGCCTCTTTGATGCTTTGGGGTTGTTTTGCTGCCAGTGGTCCAGGGCCTCTTGTTAAGGTCAGTGGTGTAATGAATTCCATTTAATATCAGAACATTTTAGTTGAAAATCTGGTTGCCTCTGCCAGATGGCTGAAACTGGGTCATGCTTGGGTCTTCCAACAAGACAGTGATCCAAAGCACAGGTCAAAATCAACAAAGCCATGTTTTCAGCAACACAAAATTAAGGTTTTGCATTGGCCCTCTCAGTCTTCAGACTTGAGCCCAATTGAAAATCTGTGGTCTCAACTGAAGAGGGCCGTTCACAAGAGAAAACCCAAGAATCTCAGTGAGTTGGAAATGTTCTGCATGGAAGAGTTGTTAAAGATCCCTTCACAAATGCTCTTTAACCTTGTTAAACACTACAGAAAGAGGCTGAGTGCTGTCTTTTTTGGGTTAATTTTAGCTCATTTTCATGAAAGGGGCCTGTTGTTGAGTTGACTGTGTGTGTGTGTGTGTGTGTGTAAAACATGCAGTCATATGCAGAAGGCTGAACACCCCTGGCGTGAATATATATATATATATATATATATATAAATATGTGTGTGTGTGTGTGTGTGTGTTCGACGCTGTCAGAACGAAACCTTGTTATCTCCAAAATATACCTTTACAGGAAAAGGAAAAACATTCTTAACTTTTAATGGAAGTAAAGTGATTTTGGACCATTTCTGTTGGCTCATTCATCATGAAATTTTGAAACAAAACATAAAGGGCAACTGCCTTTTTCAAATTATGTCAAGAAATGGAAAACGACAAAAATGGAGATTTTCAACAGCAATGATATAAAAATATAAAAATGTGCCATACATTTTGCACGTTGTTATTTATGCACCAAAATATGCTAATTTGAGCAAATAAACAGTAATTGTGTTTTAAAGTGTGCAAAAGTGTGTTCTCTGTAGAGGATGCATTAATTTATTTTTACTTAGAAAATCAACAAAACATGTATTGTCCCCAGGGTTCACAAAACTTTTGCATGTGACTGTATTTTATATATAAACAGAGGCTATATGTCATCGCTGTCAGATCTAAATCTTGTAGCATATTTTTTTTGCTTTACATCTTTTGAAAACTCTTATATTTAAATGGTATAAAACATTTCATTATTAATGCACCAAATCACATGGACATGCATATGTGTGTATGTATTTTGCAGGCTGCAAATCGAGATGCTAAAATGTATTGGCTGCAGCAGCTGCAGTTGAGACGATGGCAGCACAGAGACCAGCTGAGTGCAGACTCCTCCCTGCCCACCTCAGAGAACGTCATACAGGATGGTCAGCAGCTCTTAGACACCTGCCCTGGTAAGACTAAAGAGAAAGAAAGCATCCAATTATAAGATCAGCAATAACAACATCACACATAAAGACACAGTGGCTCGATTAAGATGTCGTGACAGGCAAGTCTCGCTCTTGGATAATGCAGGGATTTTTTCAGGGATGTGAGACTTTTGCTGGTCAGTCTGCTGTATGATAGAGTAATATGTTAATAGAAAGCGAAAGCCTAACATGATCATACTTTTGGAATTGGATTATCAGGTTAGTCATGTTTTAAGCTGGCTGCTTCTTAAACTGTTGTGTAAATAGAAATTAAAGTACAGGGTAAAATTTCAGTAAAAGTCACTTCCGTTTTCTAAAGTTGCTCAATGGACCATGGAAAATACCTCAATGAGTGCTGGGATACAATGCTGTGAAAACGTACTTGCCCCTTTCCAATTTCTTCTATTTTTGCATATTTTTTCACACTTGAATGTTTCTGATCATCAGACTGCTTTTAATATTAGACAAAGATAACCAAAGGAAATACAAAATGCTGTTTTATAAATGATGATTTTATTTATTGAAGGAAAAATGCTGTTCAGCCCTACCTGGCTGTATGTAAAAAAGTATTGCTCCCTTAGCTACTAAATCAACCAGTTAGCCAAATTCAGTTTACTGTTGAATTCATTTGCACTAGAAACACCCAGGCATGAAGCAGGGTAGTAGGTCTCAAAAAGCAGCACATTATGCTATGTTTTAAAGAGATTAAACTACAGATGTGAAACAAAGTCACTGAAATCTACCAGTCTGGAACAGGTTACAAAGCCATTGCTAAGGCTCTAGGACTCGAATGAACCACAGGTAGAGCCATTATCCACAAATGGAGAAAAGCCTACCTGAATTTCACCAAGAGCACATCGATGACTCATCCACGAGGTCACAAAAGAACTCAAACAAACATCTAAAGAACTACAGGCCTCATTTGCTTCAGTTAAGGTCAGTTAATAAGAAAGATACTGGACAAAAATGGCATCCATGGGAGACTTGCAAGGTGCAAACCACCAAAAGAACACAAAGCTTGTCTTATATTTGCCAAAAAACATCTAGATGACCCCCAAGACTTTTGGGATAATATTCTGTGGACTGATGAGTCAAAAATGGAGCCTTTTGGAAGACATGGGTCCTGTTACATTTGGCTAACAGTGCATTCCACCATAACAACATCATATCAACAGTCAAACATGGTGGTTGTAGTGTGATGTTTTGGGGCTGCTTTACCTGGACGACTTGCCATAATTGATGGAACGATGAATTCTACTCTCTATCAGAAAATCATGAAGAAGAATGTCCACCTGTCAGTTTGTGACCTAAAGCTCAAGCGCAGTTGGGTTATGCAGCAGGACAATGAACCAAAGCACACAAGCAAGTCTACCCTTGAACAGCTCAGAAGAAACAAAATTAAAGTTTTGAAGTGGCTGAGTCAAAGTCCTGACTTCAATCCCTTTGAGATGCTGTGGCAAGACCTTAAACAGGCACATCATGTTCGGAAACCCTCCAATGTAGCCAAATTAAAACCAATTCTGCAAAGAAGAGTGGGCCGAAATTCCTCCATAGTGATGTAAAAGACTCATAGCAAGTTATTGCAAAGGTTTGATTGCAGTTGTTCCTGCCAAGGCTGGCACAACCAGTTATTAGGTTTAGGGGACAATTGCTTTTTCACATGGGTGCTATAGGTTTTGAATAAATCTTTATCTTCAATGAATCGAATAATCATTTAAAAGCTGCGTTTTCTGTTTATGCATGTTGTATTAAAATTAGTTGAATGATTTGAAACACTTAAATGTGACAAATTAGAAAAATAGAAGAAGCCAGGTGTAGGGCAAATACTTTTTCATAACACTATAGCTATGCTGGTCTCTGCAGACTTTTAAGTACACTACAGACATGCTTCTTTTTCAAGAAACTTCAAATTGTTGTTTGCCATGCTTTGTGTCTGTTATTACTCTGACTGATCTTTGTTTTGATGGTTTTGTTCAAGCGTCCTGACTCCAAAGGCAGTCAGAAACAAGAGAAGAGGTTTAGACCAAGATTATTCACAAAGCCATCAGTGCTATTTGGTAACACAAGCAGTTTGTCACTGTCAGAACAAACCCTCGCATCTCCAAAATGATACATTTACAAGTGAAAGAAAAACATTCTAGATCAATTTTATACCATTTCTATGGGTCCAAAAATGCAGATACAAGATTTTGTTCTGACAGCAAATTCTACACAAGATTGAGGTCACCATACACATTGCAACGCATTGGCTAGAGGGGTATAAAGACCCCCAGGATTAGGCTGTGGAGCAGTGGAACTGTGTTCTCTGAAGTGATGGGGCTCCGTCCAGTACTTTTGGGATGAATTGGAGTGGAGTTTGTGATCCAGAACTAATTATTGAACATCACTGTCTGATCTCACTGGCTGAGTCAAATCCTCACAGCAATGTTCCAACTTCTAGTGTCTTCATAGAAGAGGGAGAACAAATTCTCTATTAATTAACTCTTTCAGAAGAAACATTGGATGAGCAGGTGTCTTTTGGACTTTTGGACATATAGTGTGTATTTACCCATCAAGGGCGCATAATCTGGTAGTTTGTCTAATTATCTAATTGATGAAGAATTCAAACATTGATTGCTAAATAACATATAAATTCAACAACTGCTGTAATTCTCTATGAAATGTTACAATTGCATGAAATGATCTGTGCATATGTAAGATAGCACCTTAGTGAAGAAGCCAGACATGATTTGCTTTTGTAACTATAAGCTTTTAATGACAAAAAAGCCTGAAGTGGGCCCCATAAGGGATGTTCATTCAGTACCACTCCTTTAAAGTAAATGATGCAGTTCTGGTGTTAAGTTGTCCCAACTTCACTGTCCCCATACCTATGTTGGGCACTCTCTATTATATTGATAGTTGGGTCTCAGTGTATCGATACTATTTTTTAACTGTTGCAATATTATATTGTACAGATTTTTTTCTCCCACTCCAACTATTCACTCGTATACATGGTTACTCATACACATTACATCACTCATGTTCAAAGTACTGTAATCACCCCAAACTAGCCAAACCAGAAGGCATTGTTTACTTTTAAACTGCACTAGTTGGTGATGTGCTGGCCAAATATGGACTGACCAGGAGCCGTTGAGAGAGGAAGTGTGTCCGCTGGTATTATTCTGGAGGCCTGTGGAAAAGTGTACCCAGAGACACTGGGAAATCCCCTGTCAGCTCATAAGAATTAGAAGATTGTTGGCTGAGATCAGATCCTCACATGTGACCTACAGGCTTTTACAGTGAAAAGATGTTTGAGCACTTTCTTAACTGTCTCATGACTTGTCTCAGGAATCTTCCCTTCACCAGACTTCAACTGAGACCATCAGTCAGGCTTGTTTTGGGGAAAGTCTGAAACAGCTGTATCTGGTCAAACTGAAGTTTATCTGCAGTTTCTATCAGGGCGGCAGGAGGATGTGATTTCCTTGGGAGTTTTAGCCTTCTTGGAAAAGACTTTATATGTGTAACAACTTGTTGTTGTCAATTATCCACAGAGTTCCAGTAAATGCACGCCAAGTAATTTCTAATCTTGAGCAAATGGTTCATGAAAACAGTTGTGTGTTGGACGTTATTGATATCTCATGACTTTTTCCTCCACAAAAACTACACCTATACCAAAACTGTAAGTATGAGCCTGACTAAGCTACAGCACATATACAATCACATGTACAGACATCAGAGACCCTTTATTTATTTAATTTCCAGTCAAAATGGCCATTAAGTGTAGGTTGGTTGCTTTGCAGGAGATATTTCTGAAGAGGAAGAGGAAGGTTAAATGCACACACACACACACACACACGTGCATCTAAACTGCTTATCCTTCTGGGTCGCTGTGGGATGCTGGAGCCTATCCCAGCTGTCACTGGGCGGAAGGCAGGATACACCCTGGACAGGTCACCAGTCCATCGCAGGGCAGAAGTTTAAACAAGTTTTCCAAAAATAAGTTTTCCAAAACAGCAGTTCAAAAAAAGAATCAAAAGATGTTGACAAAATGACTCCTAACAACCATGCAAGAGCTGGTACACCACCACCATTGGTAAACATATTTGTGTTTACAGGGATTGTGAGAAGCAGAAAACACAACCAACTTCTCAGGCTGAACTTTGAAAATGTGGAAAAATATCCCTGGAGATTTCTTTAAAAAACTGAAAGCAAGCCTCTTCAAAAGAATGGAAGCTGTGATAAAGGCAAAGCGTGGACACACTAAAAACTGACAAAATTATATTAGATTTAGAAATACATGTTTTCTGCTTTTTTCATTTGGTGCTGAAAAATTAATAACGTTTACTTAATGGTCATTTTGCTTGGAAATTAAATAAATGAAGGGCAGTCTCTGACTTTGTAAGTGCCGTTAAAGAAAGTTCTTCTTGATTTTTATGTGACATCACAAAAACCAACACATTTATGTATATCCACCTATTCAGCCTCAACAGTTCCCACCTGTTTCTTATAAGGAACGCTTTAGGCCAGACTGCTTTTGGAATGAGCTAGCACCTACAGAGCACCCACTTAGTACAGAGGTCACATATATCAGTCTTAAAAATATAAGACTAGGATAAGTTTAGGATGTTAAGTAGGCTTTAAGCAGTGTGAGAAACAGCCTCTTGTGACCAAGAAAAGTACACGCAGTAAGGCAACTGATCCTGCATCAGCACTTTTCATCTGACATTTTTTGAATAGAAGCACGTTACCCCTCTTTTTATGCTGTTTGTCAGTGAACAGAAATGAAAAGCACACTTGCTTTTTGGCAGGCTGTTCAGGTTGCTATGAATGTGTTTTTAGGTGTTTCTCCTAGCAATGCCGCCCTGTCTTTGACTCAGCCCAGACAAGTTTAGAACAGCTTTTATTCATATAGGAATTTTGAGATTCTTTATTTGATATGTGGACGTGACCATTTTACTTTCATATGACCAGTCAAAGTTTGATTAAGCTTGCAGAGCAGTTTCTCATCATCTGTGGTTTGCACTATGTTAACTTGACTGTAATTGATTATTATTTTAGTATAATAAGTACGTTTGTGTGGACCATTCTACTGAAAAACAAAAACAACAACAAAAACATATATTGTGACTGGTCCTACACTGCTGTTCAGAGGTTTGGAGTCACTTGTCATATTAATAATCTTTATAATTGTATATTTAATAATAACATGGACAGTTTAGATTTGCCTTTAGATGTTATTCAGTAAGATAGGAGCAACAAGAAATTATTAAATGGTAAATAATATTCTATAATTATTTATAATCTTTTTTGTCAAGTTACTGGAGATTTAATCACCTCTTGAAATAAAAGGTGTTCTGAGTAGTTATTTACTATTTTATAAATGTATGTCTGAACACATGTCCCCCCCAGTTTCCTACTAATTATTTGAAACAAACAAATAGGACTGGCATATTAGATTTATTATATTGGTTTTATATCATTGAAAACTTTGGTTCCAAATGTTTGAACTGCAACTTGTTAATGTACTTTTTTGGATAGTTCTAAGGAATGACAGGGAATGCAAGAGCAGGGGTTTCTGACCCAGAAAAGCCTGATCAGTGGAGCTTCTTGGTGAAATCTGTGTTTGATTTTAAAAGCCCGATGGGAGTGATAGTGTTTGGCGTCCGTGGGTGTGGGCGGGTGCTGTGTAGAGTCAGAGCCGGAGTGCTGCTGCACTGCTTTGATGCTGTTCTGCACTGCTTGCAAATTGCATCCGTTTCCTGTATGTTGCCATCGAGCATGACAGATAGATGATACTTAACGATGAATCATGTCCCTTATGGACATGTTCTCCAGTAGTCCATGATTAGTGGATCTAATGAGGAACTGTAGATTTGCCACTTCCAGTCTAGCCTTGCCCATGTGCAAGCCCACTTTGACTGACGAAGAAGGATGGCTTTAACTGTCACATTGTGTAAAGGCACTGGGGTTACTGTAAATTATAACAGGGAGCACAACTGAAGGTTAAATTTCCTTTCATCATCCATAATACCTCATTGCCTGGGTTTAAGTGCACAGCTGCAGGAAAAGGGGGGGCGCATGGCAGTGACTATTACAGGAAGTGAAGCAACAAACACTGAGCTGCTCAAGCAGGTGGCCAGACGGAGGAACTGTGCCAATTATAACAGCTCTAAAAATGCATTTCATACCTGACCTATTACAGTTGCAGACTGAATGAAAGGCTCATTGTAGATTTATTCTGGGCCTACACTGTTGTTTAACTGATTGTACACTATAACTCAAAAGTTCAGTATCCCTTGGCCCATTAATAATTGTTGTTATTTTGTTCCATCATAGCTTATCCAGTGTAGATGATAACACTATCAGCTAGACACCAGAAGGTATTGTATTCAGTGTTTGATGTTTTGGGGAACAGTAAGAACTTTAAAATGTTAAAAATAGACTGTAATTGTCTATTTGCACTAATTCCTTCACATGTCATCAGCCTCACTTTTCTAAATGCGAGGCATTCTGGGTGTTAATTTTCTTATAACTTCATTTTCGATGTTATACGTTTCTCAATCATTATAGAGTCATCTATAGCTGTGTTTATCCTTCTGGACACATTGTGTCTTTATTTTTTATATCTTCATACTAACCTATGAATGTAACATAATAATAGTATAATTTTATAAATGTACAGTACACTATAAAAGTCAGAGACCACCCTTAATTTATTAAATATGGCCATTAAATACAAGTTATTCTTTTTTTCAGGAGATATTTCTGAGGAGATTAGATATTAGATAATCCACTTTCATAAGATAGAGGAAAGTCTGAAAGGATGTTTAGCTGTAAAAAAGCTGGAAATAGACAAAAAAGAAGAAGAAAACTTACAGATCACACAAAAAAGCTGTTGGTGTTCTGAGATCCAGATCTCAACATCACTGAATGTGTTTGGGATCATGAGAAGCAGAAAAAATGAGCAACTGTTAAGATTAAACTTTGGAGGTGTAGAAAAATACTCTTGCGGATTTCCCTGGAAATTAAATAAATAAATAGAGTGTAACTGTAACTGCAAATAAGTTGGTTATATATTGATAAAATGCTGGATTGCAAAATTTTGTATATTAGTGTACATATTTATATATGTATATTAGCTCTTTGCCTATATGTATGCTTATTTGGCTACATGTACAAAATTTTGTAAAGTAGCGTACATATTTTATGTGTATATTAATGTTTGGCCTATATATATGCTTATTTGGCTATATGTACCATATGCATATTAGTCTACACTGTTCATTTACATGCAAATGAATTATGTTTACATTCAAGTAGAAATCCAGCTATTTTAAACTACCTTTTGAGTTTGAGCTTTTAAGGCTGTTCCCTCAGTCAGAGCAGCACAGCAAAGACTCACAGCTGAGATGTTTGAGACATGTTGGGACGTGGCTGCGCCTCACCCTGTGTTACACAGGCGCACATGAGAACAGCATTTGGTGTCATTCATTAAGCTGAGAGAAGTTCTTCATTCTTATGGATTCTCTAAGCACTTTAGCTTTCAGTGTCAAATCAAATCAAATCAAATCAAATCAGATTTATTGTCACATCACAAGAGTACAGGGACACAGGTGAGTGAAAAACTTGAGTGCGAGTTCCACAAATTATGCAGAGAACAGTATTTACACATAGATAAACAAAACTATAGATAGGATAGAAGAATAGATAAAACCAATTTAACTAAAATATATACATATAATCTTACACAATAACTTAAAAATAATAATAATGTCATTCGTTTCCTTCTTATACCTTTTACAGTTTATATAGCTTGTCAGTTTGAATATAGGAGTGATGTCCTACTATATGCTGTGATCATCAAGTGGTTGCTGAAATTGGCTTTGCACCAGGTGCGTTTGACCTGAAGCAAAACTAAAAGACCACATTAAGGACAGTGAACTTAGTTGTAGATCATCTTCAGTGAAATAGTGCTTCAAAAAGTAGAAAGCTTAGCAAAAACAGCTTGAGTAGGAGTAAAACGCAGCACAGTATCAGACTTTAGCTCCTAATGTATATTATTCTGGAACCACATGGACTACAGTGCAAACTGTCTGAGTTTTCTGAAGAGGTGTAATAAAAGCTTGGTCCTGTCAGCAGGACCTGGTCATTTAAGGGGTTAAACACAAAAAGTGGACTACTCAGTGTGAATGGCTGAACTGGAACTGAGTGAAAGGTGGATTTCTTTTCTGTCAAATGTACTTAAGTAAAAGTTAAAGTATTATCATCTGAAAATAAGTAGTCAAGAACAAATTATTGACTACCCTCCTCTGACTGTATGCTTCTTCATAACTTTACACTCCTGTTGTTCAAAGTGCTGTAATGACTGCGTACTGCACATGCCATATGTTTTATTATTCGCATAGTAATGATTGAAAAAGTCTAATGGTCATACAAAGCCACCAACAGAGCTTTCCTGTTGTGGTGATGTGCTCCTTATTGTTTCACGCTTATGTGGGAGGCTCACCCCCTTTATGGTTTTATATTGTTTCTTCCTGACAATGCTGAGTTCAGACCATAATTAGGGCATGCAGCCAGATCGCAGCCAGATCACAGTTTGATGTTTTTTTTAATGTGTTTTTGTTGTAGCGAACTTCCTGCCCACAGTGAAGATTCCCCCAGGTCTGGTTGGGGAGGAAGCTGCTAATCTACCGGTGCAAAGCAACCCCCTCAACGTCTCCATCAAACACCCACTCATCGAGATACAGTGAGTGCAGCACTTCTACTGCAGCATCAGCCATTGTGGTTGAAAAACAGATTATTGCAGCATATAAAACAAAATTAGGGATGTGCTTTCTGACTAATTTCGATATTGTGATATCCAAAAGAGTTAATGAATGGATATCCAGTTAGTTGCAGGGAAGGAAAAAAGCAGCAATAAGGAGAAAATAGGTCAAAATTAGCATAAGGCTATATACTTACATTTTAAATGATATCATTTTAAAATTTTAAAACGTGTTTTATTCTACAACAGTACTTGGAGGAAAACGGTAGGTTTTCATGCTGGATGAATAACAGAAGCTGCCTCTTCACATGTGTGAACGAGCTAACACTAAAGCTTACTTAGCTATGTTAGCAGTACAACGTTGGATGCTGATGAGGACTAATCATCTTCTACACAAAGTAGTTTCTCCTCAGTGGGCAATGTGCCAAAGCCATGCAGGAGCTGACCACATGCTCTCTGCTGTCTTCATTACACAGCATAGGCAGTGTGCTCACATTAACACAGTTAATCACAGCAAAGTTTAACATAACATACATACTGGGGCATGAATATAAGCGAAACTGTCACATTTTGCGTTGCTTAATTGTTAGGCTCAATTTTCTTTCTCCCCATGATGTAATGCTGTGAATACCCGAATTTAATTCTAGCCAAAGTGAAGACTTAAGCATTTATAGTGCTGACACAATAATGTCCCACAGTTTCCCTGTAATTTTACTTTTGAGGAAGTTGTGCTTTGTATCCAGTCAGAAGCATTTGCCAGTTCTTTAAGATCAGAATTTAGTCTTTTTGAGTGACGTGATACTGTTACAGTTTTGAAGTCATGGTAAAAATGCTGAAAAAAGCTATTTAACATTTCAACTCCATTGCAGCATTACAGGATTATTCATGTTAATGTTTGTTAGTGATAAAGAATGTTTGATATCTTTAACTTGTTTTTCAATATCTCTGTTCAAAAAAGTAAAGATGCCATACCCGGTGTGTGTGTGTGTGTTACAGAAACTCGGTACACAGCTTGCTTCTTCGTCGGCCATCTCAAGAATTACGTCGGAGTGTGTTTTGGTTGGAATCTTTTACCACTGATACCCCCAAAACGGACTCCCCCAAAATTCCCCAATGCAACATACCCAGTAAGAACCATCACCCTACAATCACACCCTTAAACTGTTGGCTTCTTATTTAGTTATTAACCGTAATTTTATCAATCTTAATATTATTCAAAAACTACAGTAAATTAAACTACTATGAAACTAATATGCAAGTTGTGTAGGAATCCCCTGAGAAGTCCCTGAGACTTTAAGCGGTAAAAAACTGCTCTATCTGCAATAATGTATATACAGTTTATCTGTTGCACTTATTGCTCTGTGATTCAATGGATGTATTTATCTGCACTCTACTCTCCTGCAGCCATTGCAGTCTCTCCAGCCCCAATGTCACCTCAGAACCCATTTCAGTCTCCAGAGCCAGAGTGTGAGAGGCCAAATGAAGGCCTGCAGTTCCCAGGTTGCTCTCTGTCTCTGCCCAATGGGAAAAAGAAGAAATGCAACTCAGCCACCATGCCTGTTGACCGCAAAGAAGCAAGTGTCCTTGAACGCGCTTCCCGCCTCCAGCAGGAAAAACTGACTCTGGCTGAGGAGGTCAAAGCCCAGAAGGTGGAGATCACAGATGTTTCACAAGACCTCAGCATTTTGTGATACTTATGTTGTTCGAGAAGATAGTGTATGCTGGGGTAGCAGGGGTCCCCAGGCCTGATCTTGGAATTCCAGCATCCAGAGTCAGACACATTATTTTAATCAGAATTTATTGCTTTGTACATCACAATAACCAGTAACTTTAACATGCACTGCATTTTATGTCAGTACTGAGCAACACCACTATAAAGTGACTCATCTTAGAGACGCAAGGTATTTTTTTGTTTTTTTTAATGACAGCAACAACGAGCTGGATAAGGTTTTATTTTCTCAGGTGGGGCGGGTGCAGGGTGAGGGGGGTGGAGAGGATTTGAAGTTTAATTTGGCAGAAAGGTAGATCTTGACTGCTTTATCCATTCAATGAAACACTCCTAATGAAATCTAATCCTTTGCTCAGTTCTCTTCATGACACCATTCTCTATATGTGTTGCTAGGAGTTGGTGTGGCTGCTGCACAAAGCTCTGGAGGCGGCTCAGCTGGAGAAGCGTGCATGTGCTCAGTTTCTGGCAGCAGAGGGTGAGCAAGAGCGTCTGGAGATGCTGCGGCACGGCGAGCGCTGCGCTGCTGACCTGCGGGACCGGCTGGAGCAGCTGAGGCGCGAGAATGATACCCTACAGAGGAGCCTGAGCGAGCGGGATGCACACGTGGCCGAGCTGCAGGACAGCGTGAAGCTCCTCATGGAGAAGAACCAGGCCAAGCAGGAGGTCATCCTCAAACTCTCTGAACAAGTGGCGGCATGCATAGCTGACCCGCTGATTTCCTCTGAGTGCATCAGCACCCAAACCTTCAGACAACTCACACAGGAGCTGGACAGCCTCAAGGTGCGCTGAGGCTGATCATTAAAAACATAGTCATTTTTAAGGTTATAAGTGTCATCGTGCAATAAATGATTTATAGTCCTGTACAGTAGTTTTAGGTCACCTGAGAGATTTTTATCTAGGCAGTAAATGTATGTTACTTGTGGGTATTAGAATAAATACCCACAAGTAACAAAAAAGTTTCTTTTTTTCAAAAAAGGTTAATGTTTTGTATCATATGTAGTATTATTGTGAAGTTAGACTAACATATATTTGGTTCCTCTTCGTCTCTGTACATCCCAGACATTGCATGGATTTTTTAAGTTCCATCACCAGCACACCAGATTTCCGTTACTTGTTAGAAGCATTAAGCTTGTAGCTCCATTTCTTGGCTAATTGACTGCATTTTGGGATGAAGTAAACTTTAGCAAATTGGATTTTTCAGTAATCCTTTGATTAAGTATTTATTAGCTGAAGCATGTATTGGATGGTAACTGTAAATACTGGACTTCCTTGAGAAGGGCTTAGGTAATGGGTACACTAATACACTGACAAATTACAATTTTTTGTATTCATGTGTATTTATATTTAGTTTAATGTTTTGGTTTTTTGCCTATAATAAACATTTACTTCTGAGATTAGTAGCTTTAAATATATTTCTCTCATTTGGCTTAAGAGGTATTGCATTTCCTGACTTTAGGTTACCTGCTCCAGCTAATTAACTTCTTCAGAGGTTATTGATTGGCTGTTTCATATTTAGAGTTATGCAAGGGAGGGCTGTATGTCAGGTACAGGTTGGAACTGAACTCAGTGGGAAAGTAGATCCCCAAGAGGAGTGTTGGTAATCACTAATTCAGATTACTTCCCATTTTATTTAGCTTGGTTCCTGCCTGTAGCTTGTGCTCTTGGCTAAACTAAACATAGTCTCTACATGTGATTTTAAATCAGTTGCTTATTTAAATAAATGAATCAAATAAATCAAAAGTGCTACATCTAAAGTAAGAGGGAACTGGCTATTTAGCACAATGAGTCATGCATAATTATGCTCTATGACTTTTTTGATATATAGTTCTGGCAGCAGCGTTCAAATACAGTTAGAGTGCACTTACCTGGCTCATGTTACATTAAACACAGATCAGCCAAAATGAAAACAATAATTTGTCCGACTGCCGATTTCGTGTTTTAAGACAAAATCTGCTGATTCCAATCTTCGATTGTGCATCCCTAATAAACATCATAAAATGGTGTAAATGGTTATTTTAGCATGTATGTACAGTGTATTTTAAAAATAAAACTCATGAATGACTGCTTGTTGGCCCACTATGGTTCAAGCAGATTTGTGGTGGCACATTTAGAGCATGACCCAACTTATTTTTGAACACAGCATGTCTGTCTTGCCAAGCAGAGCAAATGGAGTAATGGTCCCTTTGTTAGTGTTGTGAGGTAACAGCCTGATCCCTGGAAACAGTTGTAACACATACAGTGTTACTTTGTCTAGGAGGACCTTAACTTTCTCAGTGAGTAGGCCATTGTGCTGCTTACTTTTATTGGTAACATGATTTGTTTCTGGTGTGTTTCAGGATGACATAGAAGCTTATAAGACCCAGAACAAGTTCCTAAACTCTGAGATCTATCAGCTGACCAGACTGTGGCAGAACAGCTCAGAACAGGAGAAAAGTCTTATGGTGAAGGTAAGAGCCCTTTACATCACTTGGTAGGCCTGTCACAGTTATTACATAATCGCCTGAAAACACTTACTTGAGCTGATCGCAGTTATTTTCCATAATTGTTAGCCTTCACAATTCATGTTGCACAAACAGAATGTGAATGGGGTGGGTTGGATTGAGACAAATACATGTAAATGAAAGAAAGCAGAAAATGTGTTTATTAAGACGCATCATGAGTCTTATGAAAGCAACAACAGTTCTAACTTCTGACTTGTGCTTCAACACTTTTAGAGGACAGTGGTGAGTCATATTTGCATATTTGATCTCAAGTTTCTGTCATCATTTGGGAGCTAAGTATCAACAGCTAGGAAGCAAGATAGCTAATTGGCCAGTTTGGCCATTTTAGGCTGGTTCTGAACTGCTAGTATCAAAGCTCTAGCTTTTGGTTTTAGAACCTACTAAAATTAAGTGACCACTTAACAGCCACTGTGATGTAACACAAACATCACACTCAATTAAATGGGTATTTAACACATGATGATAAAATCGACCTAATAGACTTAATTTACAGCTGCTTTTTGACAGTCCAGTATTGGCTACATTGAAGGGTTTAGTTGAACAAGAGATCATCTGTATGTGTGTGTGTGTGTGTGTGTGTGTGTGTCAGTGTGCCTATCTGGAGGCCAGCAACTGTCAGATGGAGAGTCGGTACCTGGGGGTCCTAAGAAAACTTCAGGAGAACAAAGAGCTGACTGCAGCTCAGAGAGACACTGTGAGGACGCTAATAGAGGATGCGCTGCAGGAAAACCTGAAAGACGCTATCAAATTCAACAGTGTCAGGTGAAAAAACAGACTTTTCTGGATAAAACTCTATAAGAACACTAGAAAGCTTTACATAATCTAACCATGATTGTTTTGCTTTAACTCCTGTAAATCTCTAAGTAATCTAAGTAATCCTGTTTCTAAACAGGGGTGTCAACTCCAGTCTTGGAGGGTCACAGCACTGCTGTTCAGCTATTTAACAAAGTCTTAGTTGAATTTGGTGTGTAAAGCACTATTTGAGCTGGATTAGTTTTATCTCCAGGGGTTCTGTAATGTAATTTGTAAGGGCTTTGACTTAAGGGATAAAGTTCCTGTGCAATTTCACCCAGTTACCATAGATGACTTGAATTAATTGCTCATAGCCCTGATGTTTATATTAGTGTTATATGTCAGGTACAGCGCTCAATTATGAAAACATGTTGCATGGCTATCTAGGTGTGACGATACATATTGTTATTGTGATTTTATTACATGTTGTTATTGTGCGTCACAGTATGTGTTTCAGAGCATATTGTGGATACTGTCAGTACTTAAAGAGCACTAATCAACGGCATGTTTCATTACAAAGAGAGCATAATTGGTCTTGTTTATTTGAATTTAGTACAGTACAGTGTGTGAAATGCTGAATGAAATGCACGTTACTCTTGACAGTATTTTTAAAGATGGTGCAGCTCCTTCTTTTTTAGTTAGTTCCAATGCATCAAACCTCAGAAAAACTAAATATAGTGATAGATGTAATGTGTTGTCAAAAATCTTCAAGTATCATGATGTTATTTTAGACATATTGCCCATCCCATACATGTGTATTGCAGGTTTTGTTATTACATTACCATAAATTCAGTTCAAACAGGACTTCTATTGCTGAGGAAGCATTCACTAAATTACAGAGGGCTGTTAACTAAGGAATTATCACTTGTCAGAAAAACTACAGACTTTCTTACTGAAATCAAATCACAGATCTCATTTGTAGTCATTTACAGTACCTCCCCAGTTTAAACTAATCCAGCATGAATAGGGAAAAGGGGAAAATTGTAATCACTGCAGGACTGTTGCTCTAAACAACATGTTCTAAAATAAATGCTGAAATTTACTACTCAGAGGTACCTGTGAGACTGAGCAATTCAGTGTTGATACTGACACTTCCTTAGGGAGTATGATGAGTATGGCTTTAAGCTCATCCCTGACTATGAGGTGGAGGACATGAGGCTGCTGTCTAAGATCCAGGCTCTGGAGATCCGCTCCAACAACCTGCTCAACCAGGATGTAGGGGACAGGTCAGTACTGGCCCGCTGGACGCAGTACCTAGGCGGACGCTCCCCAGATGATCTTTCCTCTACTCTGGAGCTAAAGGTTCTCCTGCGGTGGGGCATCCCACGTGAGTACCGGCGGCGAGTGTGGCGCTGGATGGTGCGGACCTTGACCCGCTCGCTCCAGGAGCGACACCCAAACCTCTTCAAGCAGCTGTGCAAGAAGAGCCGCAACACGCCACACCCGGCGTCCAGACAGATCCAGCTGGACCTGCACCGCACACTGACCACCAATCAGCACTTCTCCTCCCCCTCCAGCCCAGCCTTGGAGCAGCTCCATCGGGTCTTGCTCGCTTTCGCCTGGCAGAAACCCCACCGTCGGCTACTGCCAGGGACTCAACAGGTACATGGTTTCACCCACACACTAAAATGGTTTATATGAATCCCTTATGGTCCAGGATTACCCCTGCCTTGCTTAGTTTGGTTTCCACACATAACTGATCCTGCAAATCAACTAGTTTAAAGCCTAGAGTTATTATTGCCATTTTTCTGTCTTTGATTCACATTATACAGTTATTTATGTGTATATGCCTCATGAATTATATAGTTATGAAGTTAATTACCTTTGATTTAACAGTCTAAATTGGCAGGTTCAAGTCTGCATTTCCAACCATTTTCAATTTGTTTCAATGTCAAATGAATATGCACCCTTTAAAGAAATAATGAAAATGTAGAAAGAGGTGTTTCCGTGCCTTCCTGAGTTGAACTGTGTGTGTTAGAGCAGGAAAAAATAAAACATTTGCAGGATTTGGGATCTTTAGGATCAGGGATGACAACTGGCTAGATATAATCCACCAAAGCTGCTCCTGTAACCAACAGTTAAGAAGTCAACTGAAAAGTCAGTTCAGTCAAGGCGAACCCTTGTGGTCCCAAAAGTAAAATTACAAGTTTTTCCACCCCTGTTTGCAACCACACCTGCTAATCATTACAAAGTCATTACACACAAAGTCATGCATAATGGCATACACTTGATTCAAACAGCAGCACAGGCCAAATGATTTACTCATAGAGACGGAAATAGCGTTAGTTTACTGGCTTTTCTCAGAACTTGCATTTGCTGTTGGCTAAATTCTCACGTTGGCTAAATTCCTAAGGTGACCTCATGCAATACAATCATATGGAAAAATTTGAAAGGATGTGTTTTGAGAGGAGGAAAATTTAACAGGATGTGCTACATTTTTTCACTTAAACAAAATATGTTATTTGACTTCTGGTGAAGAAAAGTGAAAAAAGTAAAAAAGGTTAACACATCCTCTACAGAGAACAAACTCTTTCTGCATTTTTCTGCATATAAAATGTGCCATAACTTTTGCAGAGGCAACACTTTGTTTTTATTTTCCCCTAGTATGTTAAATTCAGTAAATAAACCATAATTGTGCATGAAACTCTACAGAAGTGTGTTCTCTGAAGAGGTTAACTGATTTTCACTTAGAAAATCAACAAAATATGAATTTGACCAGGGGTGCCAAATGTTTTTATGCAACTGTATGTAAGCATGCGGGGTAGCACAGTCATCTTCACTGTTTGTTATGTTTTTGCCATCCTGATGTTTTCATCAGCCTTGTACATTTTTTTTATTTTTTTTCATAACTCTGTATTCTTGTTCAATTAAGGATGGAAGGTTTAGGTGATCAGGCAAGTGTTAGAAGGTATAAATGCTGACTTCACTCTTCTGATTGTATAATGATGTTTTGACTTCTCTAAAGCTGAAATAGCAGCTTTCTGAGTCTGGCCATCTTTAGTTACTGCAGTCCTAGTGTACTGGCTCAGTATTGCTCTGCTTTGACCAGCATATCAGACCTTAGTTTAGCAGAGCATATCAAAGGAAATCCTGACATCTAGTGGTCACTCTCAACAATAATATGCCCTTAATTTTATGGTCCCAGCATGAAACTTACACTGAAGAAATCTTATACTGGAATTGCATACAGCATGTGAATGTATGTGTGACATGATGTCTCCAGGCTGGCTGCTCTCGCCTTGCTGGTGCTGCAGAATGAGGAAGACGCTTTCTGGTGCCTGGTGGCCATAGTGCAGTTTCTCATGCCTCAGGACTACTACACCAAAACTTTACTGGGCTCTCAGGTACCCATGTGTGGAAAACAGACTCTTACTTTTCAAGATCATTCATGAAAAGGCATATTTTGATCACACCTCCCTCCCTGCAGGCAGATCAGCGTGTGTTTAAGGAGTTTATGGCAGAGAAGTTGCCACGGCTGGTTGCCCATCTGGAGGAGCACAATGTGGATGTGTCCCTCGTCACCTTTAACTGGTTCATGGTGGTGTTTGTAGAGAGTCTGCCCAGTGACATTCTTCTTAAAGTCTGGGACGCCTTCTTATCCGAAGGCACCAAGGTACAACACGGTGCCCCAATCAGCTGCCACACCGTTCACTCCCAAGATTTACTCATGGTTTAAATTCATCGTCTTGTTACGTTACAATATTAACTGGAGGTCCTACATTAATGTACTAACTATACAAGTACTAACACTGTGCATTCATTTATTCACAGGTGATATTTCGTTATGCACTTGCTCTTTTCAAATACAAGGAGGAGGACATCTTAAAGATCCATGACAGCGTGGAAATCTATCAGTACCTCCGTTTCTTCACCAAAACAGTCACAGACAGCAGGTGAGCAGACATTGATAGTAATTGTGATAGTGATAGGACAGCCAAACCTTTAAAAGGATGATAGTTTTCCAGTTGAAAACAACGTTGTCGGGCTGATGCAATACCATCAATATCCGGAACACACATAGATACGGTTAATGGTAACTAGGTCATAACACAGTATTCATGGATGTCATAATTTGATACATCACGAGGCAACACAGTATCTCAGCTTGATCACATTGGTTCATTTTCTCATCTATACCAACCTTAAGAAATAGAAACAGGCCTTTCACAGGTACCACCACCTTTGATAGATAGTAGATAATTCATCCACATTGATTGATGCAGTAGTAGTTTAGTGATTTCCTGCTCTAACACACCCAATCCAGCTATGTAGTTAATTAGCAAGCTTTTTACCCAGCTGAGTTGAAGTTGTTACACTATGTGGCAAACATAAGTGGACACCTGACCATCACACCTAAATGGGCTTGTTGTTCTAAACCTTGGCGATTAATATAACCTCTTGTAGCTGTAACAGCCTTCGCTCCTCTGTAGAGGCTTTTCACAAGATGTTGGAGTGAGTCTGTGGGAATTTGTGCCCATTCAGTCAAAAGAGCATTTGTGTTGGATGATGGACAAGAAAGCCATCATCATTACCCTTCACTGGAACTAAGGGGCCCAAACCCTGAAAAACAGCCCCAGACCATTATCGCAGCCCCACCTAACTTTAAATTTGTCCATCAGACTGCCAGATAGTGAAGTGTGATTTATAACTCCAGAGAACGTTTCCAATGCTCCAGAGCCCAGTGGCGGTGTGTTTTACACCACTGCAGTGGTCTTACACTTGTGCACACCTGCTTAGCCATAGAAACCCATTTCATGAAGCTCCTGATGGACAGTTCTTGTGTTGCTTCCAGAGGCAGTTTGGAACTATGGAGTGAGTGATGCAACAGGTAGTGAGTGATGCTACATGCTTTATCACTCAGCAGCCTCTGTGAGTTTGTGTGGCGTACTGCTTCATGGCTGAACTGTTGTTGCTCTTAGATACTTCCATTTCACAATAATGGCACTTAGAGGGCAGATCTAATAGGGCAGAATTTCATGAACTGACAGCCACATTTAAAGTCACTGAATTCTTCAGTATGGCCCTTTATACTGCTTGTGTTTGTTTACAGAGATACATGGCTTTGTGTTTGATTTTGTACAACTGTCAGCAGTGTGTGTGGCTGAAACACCTGAACACAATAATTAAGAGGGGTGTCCACATACTTTTGGCCATATAGTGTATGTTAGTGTGCAGGGCAGGGGTACCCCAGGACCAGGACAAGGAACCACTGTATACTAGAAAAATAAGTATGAGTAAACAAATAAATAAATAGTTAGATATCGGTATAGCATCACTGCAAATTCATGACAAATGGCATCATTGTTGAACTAATTAATCATAGTACAGATCTAGAAGAGTTGTTCCATTTGCCCCAGATTGCGTTTTAAAAAATATTTAATTCTTGGCCTTTAAATGTCTCCTGTTTCTTTAGCCTCATGTCAACCAAGAGGAACCATGAAAAAATGCACCTGCTGACCTCTCCAATATAGGTCACTCTGAGCCTCACTGCTTCCTTCCTCTCCGCCACTTTGTTTCAGCACAGTCTCAGAGCTGTAGACAGTGTTGCTATTTTTACACTGAAGACAGACTCCAGCATGTATAATTCACTAAGCTCACACACAGCACAGAGCCCAACACACATGCCAGTTATAGGAGTTATGGCCAAGCATGCAGTGAGCAGAGAAAGACATGAAGTGTATTTGGGTCACATCACTGCGCTCCTCCTTTGTCTCAAACTCTGAAATGAATGGTGCTTATAGGGCTGTGAAAATGTCTGATCAAAGCATGATATTCCTTCAAGTAGCTGACGCGCAGACTGAGTCTGAGAGTGTTTCAGAGCTGTCTGTCAGCAGCAGAGAGCATTTTATTTAACATGCAGATAATCTAACTTTCTCTTTTGATCTGTTGCCGCCTAGAAAGCATTATCTACATTTTGTAGATGCTCTTATCCAATTTACTATTTTAATTTTGTTTCAAATGTAGGCAAATGTAGCGTTAGGGGTCTTGCCCAAGGTCTCTAACTGGTTTAGCATGGTTTTCTCATAGAACAGTGGTAGCAGCCATTTTGAAGCCTGAATTTTATTTCTAAGCATAGCAGTTTGTCATGTAGTGTCTGAGCCCGCATTAACTTAGCATGGATTGAGGTAGTAGTAGGTGGTATATGAGTTTTGCCATAACTGATATATATACCAGAATGCCACAAATAAGCACAGATAACGTGACATACAAAGAGAACAAAACAAGCCAACATTAGACGCTTCTGTTCTCTCTTGTTGCACTGCCGGGGCCTTGTGCTCAAAACTGTAATGACTGTGAATGACTGTAGTATGTTACAATTTCCATCAGTGTCTGACGTTCAGATGCACAAGTGTATGGAATACACACATAAGACGGATGATTTGAGGAATTCGAGAAAGCTGAAGTTGGCTTTTTATTCAAATTTCCTGTTCCGCCTATAGTGCTGCAGTTTAGGCCTCTGTACAGGTGCCACTAACTGCTGCTCCATTTAAGGTGGAACAGAAAATTTGAAGAGAAAGCTTACGAATAAGAAGCCAACTTTAGCCTAATAGAAATTCAGATGGAAATTACTATAAATATTTAAGATTTACATTAATTTTAAAAAATGTTTCTTATTAAAAAGTGAAGGGCACTCCAGAATAATAAGCCACTTTTAACCTACAAAAATAGGTTACTTAAGCATCTGAAATGGTTTTGTATGAAAATATATGTATACCATGATATATATACCGAAACCATCATCAGTTTTCATTACACTGTGATATAGATTTTGGGCCGTACTGCCCACTACTTGTTTGAGGCAAGTGTGTAATAATTTAAGCATGCAATTTGATTTATGCTAGTTGGTGGGTTATAAGCTTCCATTACTTGTAGCTTTGTAGCTCCAAAAAAGAAGCATTTTTTTATCTTGGCTGATGGACTACATTTGGGATAAAATTGTGTACATTTTTTAACTATTCCATTTGAAAGAATCTAAATTTCGAATTCTGTATGGCGGCATTTCTAATCCTTTTTTTGCTGAACATTCACAGGAAGTTGACGAGCATCGCCTTCGAGGATCTAAACCCGTTCCCGATGAAACTTTTGCGTAACCGGCGGACTTTGCACCTCCAACGCCTGCAGGCTGAGCTCAGAGAGCTGGAGAAACTGCAGAAAGAGTATGCTTCAGAGAGCACCCAGCGCAAGGACAAGGACATAGACTTAATCACCAGTGAGGATGATGATGATGTATAGAAAGTTACACTTATGTATGAGAGGGCTCAGGGCAGGGATGAAGATTCACATACAATTACCAAAGTCTGTCTTACACATACAGACAAGACAAAGACCTGAACAACAAATACAGTGTGGGTATGCAAAAGCATGCACTCACACACCAACAGCCAACAACAGTCCAGAGATATGCATAGTAGACATTAGTGTTTCTTTTTGCTACTGAGGACTCTTTGGCCTGCACAGTTTGAATTATTCCATGCTTCAACACACCTGAATCAGCTCATGAAGAGCTCAATAATCAGTTGATGAGGTGGATCGTGTGTTCTGGGGCAGAGAATGATTCAAACTGTTCAGGGCAGTGGGTCCTCTGGAGCAGCAATAAGAAACATTGCGATACGCACATAAAATCATATACAGCCATGGAGCTAGGCCAATATGGAAGACTGTGGGGATTCTCTTTGCTGTACTATTCACCTGCATACTTCAGACATCAGGGGTCTTGAAGATGTAGGAAAAAATAGCATAGGCTAAAAGTGAGAAAAAGGACTGTGACATAGTGAACCGAAAAACCGAAAGTGGGGTTCACCAGTAGAGGGCATTAGACTCTATGACGTGCAATAATATTTGGCACTGTAAACGAGTTGGTACAGTCAATAAATGTACGTAATCTGCTTCCTCATCCAAAAAACAAACAAACAGAAATCCTTCCTGACTTTAATCGTCCCTCTGGAATCATAAAACGCATTCATGAAGCTTTCCCTCATTAACATTCCAATACCAAAGATTCTCCTGTTTTGAACTCACAGTATAATAGGACACACACTGAATGTCACAAATGTATCTCAGTTGGAAAAAAAAAAAAGCTTTTATACTTCAGCACTTATAATAATTTTATACTAAAGCATTTATGTTTGTAATCTATATTTGTAATAAACATGTTGTAATAAAACTGTTAATTTTTGTGTACTTTATACATTTACAGAGGCACCACATGTGAACTTGGATTTTTCCCTGGAGTTCTTTTCTACTTATCCACAAATATCCATAGATGGAAACAATATAGATCCATTATACTCATTCAATGAAAAGTGGAAGTATGGAGCTAAAACTATACCTGAGTTAAAATATCAATTTAAAAACATATTAAAATTTATAAAAGTAAAAGGTAAACGTTTTAACAGATTTGTTTGTTTAGTGTGTGATGGGCTGTACTAGTCCTCGCACAAAAGCGAATTAGCATAGCATAAGCAGATTTCGGTTACACTGATATAAATTTGGTTGCGTATTTTTATAAAAACAAATTAAACTTTGAGATTTGTAATAAGCATTTTAAAGGTTAAAACGAAAATATAAGTAAAAAGTATGCTTTTTCTCTTGGAACTGGGGATGCACTGATACCACGTTTTCCCTTCTGATACAAATACCTGATCCTCAAATATCTGCCAATACTGATACCTAACTACTTGATAGGTGCCTCTCCTGATCCTGATGTTTATACCATTCCACTTTTTAAGTATTTTATTTTGGTAAAAGCAGCTTTTTGTGTCACAAATAAAACATATCAAGCTTGAATGAATGGTATTTACTGGTTGGATAACTTATCAAGGAAAACTTAATTTTCCATATTTTTGAAATAAAAGTTTTTAAATAAAAGTAGTATATAAACAATATTACAGTTTCAAAATGTACCGTTCACCTCTCAGCTCATATATGGAAACTACAGTCCATATATGGAAACTAAGCAGCCAAAACAGCCCATTTTGTTTTCACTTTCTTGTGGAGTCATGAAATACAAGGCATTTACATGTATCCTATACAGGATATGGCCTATACAGCCAACTATACAGCCTATATTAGCTTGTGGGTAGGGCTAATAACTAATAATGCTGAGCGTTGACAGGAGTGGCAAGTGTTAAGCCCATGGTCACTGTACTCTGGAGCACTGCAAACATGTTCTCTGGAGTGATGAATCTCGCCGTCACTTCTGGCAGTCTGATGGACAAATCTGGGTTTGGCGGAAGCCAGGACAGCGCTACCTACCAGAATGCATTGTGCCAACAGTAAAGTCAGTTGGAGGAGGGATAATGGTCTGGGGCTGTTTTTCAGGGTTTGAGTTCAGTCCCTTAATTCCAGTGAAGAGTGAAGTTAATGCTACAACATACAAAGACATCTCAAACAATTATGTGCTTCTAACTTTGCGGCAACAGTCTGGGGAAGACCCTTTCCTGTTTCAGCATGACTGAGCCCCTGTGCACAAAGCGAGGTCAGTAAAGACATGATCTCAAAGACAAAGAACTCCAGAGGCCTACACAGAGCCCTGACCTCCACACCACTGAACAATAGCCACAAATGAGACACCAAGAGACACACTGTGAATGAAAAGTCCAACAAGCTCATATAGGTGTGATAGTCAGGTGTCCACATACTTTTGGCCATACAGTGTATTTCCACCCCCGCATAAATCCAATATATAGGTTACACTTCAGTTCCAGTACAGTAAGAATTTGAGGACGAGGTTTAAAATTTTCGATTTTATTACTTTAAAAAACAAGATACATACGAAATCATAAATATAAAAAACAGAACAAAACAAAAACTTAGTTCATTGTTACAAACAACTTTACTGCAGGTAAAAGCTAAGAGCTAGTGTTACACCAGACGAGTAAACTGATGTATTGCCTATTCATAACAGTATCTTTAGACAGAAATGGCCTATTCCCCAGAAGTAACGAGAATAGAAGCACAGTTTCCAGTAATGAAGAGGAGATTGACTCACATCTCGGGGAAAAAAGAAATAAAAATAAAAAACAGTGGCTTGTCGCTGAATAAAGCTATTGTTCTAGAAGTTAAAGTCAGTGTTTAAGTCACATGGATTCTAATGGCGAACAATTCACGTCCTACAAAAATGGCTCTTTTGTTTTAAAGAGTTAGAAAAAGCCCAGACCGGGAGCATGCAGGTCATATCTCTGTGTTTATGTGTATGTGTATGTGTGTATATGTGTGTGCGTGTGTGGTGACTATGGGCTGCTAGCTCGGCTCCTGCTCTAAGCAGAGCTTTTCTACGTCTCTCTAATGGACAGTGACAGGCCAGGCCCTGCCACACAGCAGCTGCTCAGCTGCCAGGCTGATTGACAGAGACAGAGAGAGAGGGGGAAAAAAAGGAAAACAAGGACCCGACCGAACACCAAAACAAAAACAAACTGGTTTTCAACCAGTTAGCACAATACTGCTTTATGCACTTTGTCTGAATTTCCCATTGTGCACGCATTTGGCAAAAAAAAAAAAGGGTGGTGGAGAAGGGGTGTTCTGGAGTGGAGAGCCAGTCACTGCCATTACTCAGCACTGCCAAAGCTGCTCTTTTACACTGATCCAGGACCAGAGTTTCTGACCCAGATCCTCCACAACTGGAGCAGAATCAGTAAGCAAGACACTAAATTCTGCATAAGGAAACTACTAACAGCATTAGTCTCACCCCACAAAGTTCTTTCTGAAAGACTGCTTTTGCATTTTGTCTACTGCATTTCTCAAACATTTAAGGACCAATTAGTCAACCGAGGGAATCCTTCATCTAACACTTCCAATCACTACTATAAGAACATTTCAAATATAGTTTTTTTACAAGTATCTTTCTTTTATCTCTGTGTTGAAATGAATACCATCTTAGTGCAATTCTTAACATGCTTTGAGCATAAGACTAGTGTGGCAAATCTTTTTTTCCTTGATTCATGCTTTTATTTTATAGCTACAGCTGTGTATATTTCTGGACTCTGCCCAAGTTTTATAGTTGTATGTATCTTCAAGCTAACCCATAAAGTCACACTCTCCAGCCTCTTAACGTGAGACGACAAGAAACAAACAGAAAACCACTAAACACTTTCAGGTCCCTTGTCAAAGAACGACAATCTTCAACAATATTATAATCAGTCAAACATGTATCGTAACATGTTCACATATACTGTACATAAAAAACCGCATACCTCACATCATTATATTCACCTCATTTTGCTCCAACTGAATTTTTTTAAAGAACACAAAAAAAAATTCCATGCAAAAGCTGTTTTGTCAGAAATGTTGGCCAACACTGCCCAGGCTTGCTTGAGAAAAATGAGCTAATAGTGAATTAGTCACTATTTGACTTTGTAACTGAAATGAATGGTGAAACTAGTGAAAAGATTTGGGCCTCTTATGAGGCAAACGGACAAATGAGGCTTATGTTGTCTATTTATTGTATATTTGAAGGGTTTTGTTCCAAACCGCAGCGCAGATCACTTACAGGAAATTAAATTGTATTCCATTATACGTCAGCTGATGTTCTTTTCAGAAACTCATTATATGCAAAATTATTATAAATGGGTATACAGCATCTTGGAATAAAACTCTTCATTTATATTCATTACCTTTATGATATAAGAAATGTCCTTCTATCCAATAGTCTTGCACACTTGCTTGTTTTCCTCTTCAGATCTGTAGGTTCATGGCTAACTGTTGGCCAACTTTCCAGCCAAATTCTCTTTTGTGGAACGCTCCTTTAAAGAACGAATAAAACCTCAAAATAAACATTTCAAGTTAAACATCATTTTCTTCTGTAAATAAACATTAACATCTTTCTTGTAGCTGCTCCTGTCCTATCCAGGCTTTACAACACTGTCATGAATGTGTTTTGAAACGTTAGGACTGGTTTAAGGCTCAGAAGCTCTGTTGAAGTTGAATGTCATGGGGGAAAGTACTACACTGTAACTAACCAATTAAATCCAGTAGGGGGTGCTGCCCACTGGATGGGTTAAGGCAAGATGCGACGTTTTGTGTGCCTCTCCTCTCCCCCTCACTCAGGATCAAAGGGATGCCTCACACGTTCTCTTGAGAAATGTAGTGCAAGTAGGAAGACTCGAGTTTGCTGCAGGTGTAAAAGTGGACGCTCGCACACCACACAGTGACTTAAAAGCTGCTGGACTCTCCACAGGATGCAGTGTGAGAAAGTGAAATCTTAACTGAGCAGTAACACACTCAGTACTATTTGGCTAGTACTATTTGGACGTGCCAAGAAAAAAAGGGCTAATTTCACATGCAGAACCATTTGATCAGAAATGTTAGCCAAGCATTCTCCCCCTACAGTCTGAAGGAGGAACTGCAGAAATAGCCCTGGCTAAAAGAAAATACACTGCATTTGAGGAGAGGCCAGGGCCTGATGTCCTTAAAAGCACTGTTGTGGTAAGCATTTTTGTGAAGAAAATCAAAAACAATCATGCTTCGACACAATCAAGAAATCAGATCCTGCGCTAGTATTCATGAGGAGCAGGAGTGCTAATCTGGTTTTATAACTTAGGTCACTATAAACATGCAAGGAACTGGGTTGTAAATTAGCACTCCAACTCCACTCCTAAGTTCTGGATGAATACATGCCCAGAGCTTTATGTGATGCGTTATGCGATGCCTGAAGGCCTGCAAGTTTTTCCAGCTCAACTGAATAAAAATATAAGAATTACTATCTCTGTAAAGTGTGGCACATTCCAAACGTCTCAGTATGCTGAGCAAGGTTCTGAATAGGGCTGCACAATATCAGGGCCAGATCAATAAACATTTTTGAAAAATTGATGAATTCGGATAAAATTATTGATAAATATCAACAATTTTATAATTTGTTGGAATAGATTGCATTTGTGCCAGTAGAGGCACGAGGCATTAAGGCCTTTTCACAACAAGCCTCATGTTTGACAATAAATAAAAATAAATTAATGAATTAAAAACATAAACAAATGCACGTCCAGTTTTGAAAACTAACCTTTAAACCATCTTTTACATCAGTGCTCATGCTTGATTACTGCTTACTGTTTGACCCTTTTAAACACACATATAGTGCTTCTATGTGGGTTGATTTATTTTTTTTTTTTAGCAGAATGGGCTGTTACCCAGTGTCTGCGTCACACTGAGCCGCACTGACCAAAAGAAAAAGTGTTACTGCAGCTATGTTCACATTACAAGCCTCATCGCTCGAATCAGATTTTTTGCTCAAATCCGATTTCTCTGACACGATGGTTCACACTCGTTTAGGCAAGTGATTCAAATTTGTCATTAATGTAAATGAACCGGCGTCCTGAAATGACCCGCATGCGCACATCCTACTCAGTAACGTCACGTGAATGAATCGTGTGCGTCACATGCATCATCAGCAAACAGAATAACGAGCAGAACGAGCTTCGCTGTGAAGATAATTAACTCATCTCTCAACTGTTCATTATTAGAGTAAGACGAAGGCAGTTTCTTTTTCCTCTGTTTACAGGCTTTAACTAGTGTTCGGCGCTGCTGCCATGGTAATGCTGAATGATGGCGCATGCGCAGTGGAAAAAAGCAAATGAATTGCGATCTGAGCATCACATTAAGGTCGCATGGCCACAAAACGGATACGTATCCGACCTATGACCACATATGAAAGTGACTCAGGTCGGATTTGAAAAGATCAGATTTGTGTGTCTGCACAGCCCTGAAAACATCAGATCTGAGTCACATTAGAGCAAAAAAATCAGATTTGTGCCACTTCAACTTGGTAATGTGAACATAGCCAATGTGACTCAGGTCGGATTTGAAAAGATCAGATTTGTGTGTCCGCACAGCCCTGAAAACATCAAGGCAAAAAACGGATTTGTGCCACTTCAGCCTGGTAATGTGAACGTAGCCTTTGTTAGTACTCAATGGATCCAGTTTCTCCCATATTCAGTGTTTGTTTAATAACAAAAAAAGCATCCTGACCAATCACAGATGTTCTTTGGGTGTTTGAATCAAGGCATTTACATGACCCAACAAACATAAAAAATTTGGAAATAATATGCAGTCCAGTCCATAAATATGTTATATGAAGGGTTCACTAATGTGTGTTCTATATTTTAAAATGTATATTGCAACTGCATGGTACATTGTCAGTATCAAGTTACTACTGCCCTAATTCTCCCTCTACACCTAATACTGTTCAGCCCTAGTTCAGAATTTGCTTTTAATATTCTAGGTAACATCAACATATCTGCTCAGAGACACTTAACACATTTTTAAGTGTAAACGAATTTCAAACTGAGCACAAACTAGACTTGAAAGAACCAGCAGGCCCGGTCACACTTGTAGCAGAACAGCTTTCACTGGCCAGGAACAATCAAAGAACAGCCTTCCTTTAGATGCTTTAAATCATTACCTTCTTCTTCAATTGAAAAAAAGAACAGCACAATCCTCTTCAATGTGTAGGAACAACAAAGCTGGAAAATCAGACTCCGTTTCACTTAAAATGAAGATCCAAAATTACCAACTTGGGTCGGAAATCAACCAAGTCTTAACACTGAGGCACAAAGCCCAGACCTCAGCCTCTAATCTCCACCTCAAACACAGGTTAACTTCCACAGTTCCATAGTAGACTGAGAATAATAAAACATCAACAGGAGCAAAAAATGTGCAGATGCTTCAGTGTTAGGACATAAAAAAATCAATCAAGTTCTTCATTGCTGCATGACACAAAGGTTTCTAATAAACGTCAAGAAACCCATTTAAGAAAAAGAACAAAAAGTTTGTTATGAAAATCTTACATAATAAAAACAGTGATTCTAGACATTATTAATACTGCGTTTCACTAGATGGCAATTGTTTTTTTTAGTCTTATAAAAAGGACATCACTACGAAAAATGCATCAGCCTTTTAAAATATGCAGCGCTTCAATATAAAGTGCTTCATTACATTGTTATTTCTTTTTTTTACAGTTTCTTATTAAAATACTGTATTCCCTGGAGTGAAACCATAGTAAACATGTTACACATTGGTAAAAATAAACATTTTGGAATGTCTTTAAAAAGTCCCATGGGCTGCTTTTGGTCAAGCTGAACTTGTTCCAGGAGCCTAAGAGGAAAGAAGTGATTTCAATTTTATTACAACCCTGTCATTCAAACACTGGGAAAAAATAGCCAGAAAAAACAGGGGAGACAAAAAGTTACTTAGAAATGACAAAGAATGGAAATGTGTTAAAGCTAGAGATGGCACCGTTGCGATACGGGACAATATCGGTATCAGTAGAAAATCCTGGATCGGATGTCGGACAAAAAAATTAATCCGATCCTGTGACAAACCTGGGCTGTTATGTTGTTAGCTGTGTATTTCTTCCTGTAAGGTAGTAGGGTTCTTGAGCATTTTGAGTATAATACTTCAGATGGCCAACTTATGTGAAATGCATCAATTGAAAATAGCTAATCTTAAAGGGGAATTTCTGCATAATTTACTTATTAAGATTAAGGTACAACTTGCAGAGTCAGCACTGTTCACAGTGGTGGTGGTAGGAACCAGACGTCTGAACAGCTTAAAGCTGAAACATTTTTTTAAAAACCAGACATCTGAAGCCTTTGACGTCACTGAAAGCTCCCCCACAGAAAGTTATTCCATAAAATGGTTACAAACACACTGACTGGTGTCTGAGACACTGCTTTACAATAGTTTTGAGAAAAGGTTTTGGCTTAAAACATATTTTTTAAGGACCCACAAAGCATAATGGTACATGACCGATGTTGTAAGGCAAATAAGTACCCAAAGAAACTTTATTTTTTCAGATTTACCACTATTTTATCATTATCAACATTGCATATAAAAGACACGTGTAGGCTCATTGGTCATTTTGGATAGTTAATAAAATGAGTATTTATGCTTTGTGGATGTCATGAGCTCTGGTTCTACTCACCACCACTGTAAAGAAAATCTTACTCAACCTCCCTGAATAACTTTGTCTACAGTGCAGTGATTGAATTATGCAGAACTGTATAAAAATTGGAGGAATTTGAAGAAAAATATCAGATTGTATTGATGAAGGTTTTGATATTGGAAAATAAAAAGTGGTACTGTGCCATCTCTAGTTACAAGTGATGAAATGTGACCAAGAAAAGAAACAAAGTGGACAACAAGGTCAATAATGACTGCCAAAGAAACCAGAGGGCATGCCAGGACAGAAAGTAGCAAAGTGCAGACAGGCTGTCTTAAGACCAGAAGGCAGCCAGCTAAAAGCTCACCAACATTTACACTAAACCAGGAGAAAAGATTCAATCTGTCAGCAATTTGTCCAGCTGAGCATTATTTATACTCTGTCAGAAGTGCTATCTATCTTTACACACAAGACTAGTGTTGCTTTTCACAGCCTTTCACAGCATCGAATGGAAATCTGGCACTTTCACAGGATCCAGAAATTCAAGTGGGAAACATAACAAAACGAAAAGAAATTCCCCAAAGCAATTTGTAACCATACTTATTTCAATAGTAACCAGTGCAGAACCAAGTAGTAGTGCAGTTAATGATAGCACCCGCGGGGCTGGAGCGTGACTCAAAGCCATCACGGCGGGGAATGTGTACGCTGCCTAAGCTTTTAAAACCTCTTTCCCCTCCCTCCTCCTGTTCATTCCATCCGCATTTCCAGCCTGGCAGTTCCATCCCCTGCATGGCCAAGCTCATCCTGTTCTCCAAAAGCAACACGGTGATGATAAGGCCTCAGAAAAAAAAAATTATTTACACAGCTGCACTTTGGGTTCAAGACAGCCAGGAGTAAAAAAAAAAGTCAGGCAAGAATGACAACAAAAATGAAAAAGAATCCAGCATGTAGAAAAATACTCTGTTAGTGCAACGTGCAGAGTGAAGGAGGAATGGATGAAGGGATAGATGGAGGGTGACTGTTAGTCAGCATGCAGTGGTGATGGGCGTGTGCTGAAGCAGTGTGAGCAGCAGGAAGAGTGTGGAGGTGGGCAGGCACACACAGAGGAAGATGATCATGTCCTGACTGAAGCACACGACGAGCGCATGCTCAGACACCACCCAGTCCAGCAGCACACACAGCAGCAGGTAGTAGAGCAGAAACTCCTGCAGAGCCTCCCACTCCAGCCCTGCCGCACCCCCCACAGGGCCACTCACCATGGCCTTCATCTCCGTCAGCTCCGCCTCCTCGCGGGCACGGGACCGCTTGCTCCGCCCCCGTTCTGCCGGGGCCACTGACTTCCTGCTGTTCTCCACAAACTCCTGAGGGAGGGAAGCAGACAGATTCAGTACAACTAGATTAATCACAGTAGCGTTACAGAATTTTTTTATTTAAATAAACAGCAAATTTAGGTCTTTGATAATTAAATTAGTTGCTCAGATTTTTGGTGTTTTCATCTTTGAGAGACAGGAGAAAATTAAGCTCCATTCTCACTTCAGACAACTCAGTACTATGGCTCTGAAAGGATGTGTTGCTGTTAAGAAGCTGTTTTAGTGAAAAGGAAATAGACAAAAAGGACAAATATTTGAGAATCAAAGAAGCTGCTGGTGCTTTTCAAACAATGGACTGTCCAGTCCAGAGTCCAGACCTCAACATCACTGAATGTGTGCAAATTTCTTTGAGAAAATGAAAGCTAGTATCATGAAAGAATGGGAGCTGTAATAAAGGCAAAGAGTGGACACACCAAATACTGAGAAATGTGATATTAAATTTCATTTTTGAGGGTTTTGTAATATACGTTTTCTGTGTTTTTCCTGATGCTACAAAATCAGTACCTCGTATTTAATGGCCATTTTGACTGTAAATGAAATAAGTAAAGGGCGATCTCTGACTTTTGCGCAGTACTGTATATATATATATATATATATATATATATATATATATATTCATTTTTTGTATTCACTGTGATTTTTAAAATAATTATGCATACAGATACTAGCTCACCCCCTGCATGCATTTGACAGCACCATGTATGCACGACAACCGGTAACTTGGATGGTAAAAATAAATCTATCATCTGCCCTGAAAAAAATGGAACACAAAAGAAAAAGAAGGTGTTTTTTTGATGTTCCCACATCCCACAAAGACACATGGAGCTGGCAACGTCAGCAGGAGTTCTTGAACACAAGGATGAAGCCAAATGCATTCTATGGGATCCACAGTCACCAGATCTAAAAAGCACTGAATCTTTACAGTAAGTTCTTGAGTGCAGAGTGTCAGATATTTTCACTGCATTCATCTCCTAATTGCTGTAATGAAACATCTTTTGATGGTACGCTAGAGCACATCACAGGTCATTTAACCTGGGGCTTTTCAATCAGAATCAATCAGGTCTTTCAGCATCACATACCCTCACCCAGGCAACCTAGCTAAGCTTGATCAAGCCTCAGCTTGTGACCTCATTCATCTCTCAAAGGGCTGAGGGCTTTTCTTCTTTTCTTGAAGAACGGTCCAATGCGCACACACAGTTCTGGCCTTGCATGACAGCATTCCAAGAAGGATTGAAGCTGTTCTGAAGGGAAAGGGTGGTCCTATTCCCTGGCTGTGCCTTCTTTGCTGTAATTTATGAACTAGATTCTAACTAGATTTAAGTCATACAAGTTCAGATGAATTCAGCAATTTACATCTTGTACATATTCAACATTTCATCTACGAATATTCAAAAGGTTGTAATCATTTGCTTATTCACAACCACTCGGAAATGCAGCTTCATCACACTTCCACATAAAAAATCCTCTTTTCAACAGCCCTTACTATTGACTGCACAGAGCATTACAGTTTAGCTCTGTTTATTCAAGGTTGAGCATTGCATAAAAGGACGCCTTTATAAATTCCTAAATACCTAACAAAAGAAAACTCTTTCAAGAACAAAAGTTTGATGTTACCCTCAGAAGGTATCTAGGACACCATCTGAATCTTAAAATATCTGTTCTGTATCCAAGACAGCAGAGACTTTGGAATCTGCAAGATACAAAAACCTGCTACTGTGAGTGCTGCATATTTCAGCTAAACTCGTACCTTCTTATCTGTGAGACAGACAATTAAATTTTTCTCATTTAAAAAACCAAAACATTTAAGAAAATATTACACTGAAGTTAATTAATCGACAAGAACAGCCACCGAATTCTAGTTCAATCATTTAATTTCAGTGCAGATGTTTCAAGTAATTAGTTAGGAGGAAAACTCCAGCTAAAACAAAAAATGTAACCATTGCTACAGCTGTTGTAAACATGCATACTTGCATCCTACAGTGGTGTGACAGTAGTCTTTAGAGTGAGATTTTCACATTTAAAGACTAGAAAGCCCCCTTCTGATAATGGATCCTGAAGGTGGGAGGAACTTCTAAAAAACTACAACTGATTTATGTTGGATTTTGGGGGCAGGCTGTTCTGATTTTTGTTGTTGTTGTTAGCTGGTGAATGCAAATGGAAGGCAGACATCTAATGTCACTGCTATGAAGCTTATTGCAGCCTTATAACTGTAGCAACTGTCTTCAAATCATTATTACAATGTAGGGAAAGTAATACTAAAATGACATAAATGAGAAGGTTTAGCAAGGTAGCTGTCTATCTAGATATCTTACCACAGTCTGGCTCTCTTTTCTGTCTGAGGGTGTAAAACATTTTTCACTGGTAATCATTTTGCACTGAATAAAAATATAATCAGTACTTTTACAATTTTGTTTGACACTAGAATTAAAAGTTGTAATGTTGATTTAAATTATTAACCTATAGCTCAGTGGATAAGCTACCAGTCAGGATTAGTTGACATCACAGGGATTCCCAATGCTTGTATGGTGTATTTTCATGGTGCATGCTGGGTACTCTAGTGAAAGAATACTGATGAACAGAAGAATAATAAAAAAACCTTTGAATTCTTTCAAACTGGCGAAGCTGCATAACACAGCAAATAACGTATCAAAGTTTAGGCTGGAATGCTTCTTTAAATTACAAAAATTATAATTCGACCAAACCTGACCACTGACTTACCATAAGGGCCTTGTCCATGTAGAACTCCTTGCCAGGCGTGCCGTCGTTGTATTTGGTGTCGATGGCAAAGCAAAGGAAGAGAACGTCCACCACGATCTCGAAGATGGACAGGAAGCAGTGGGCCACCAGGAAGGCGAACAGACACACGATAATGAGCGGCAGCACCCATTCCGTGTAGTCCCTCTGATAGTTCAGTGCCAGCACCCCCGCAAACGCTGTGCATGTCACAATCAGGACCTACACACAAACACATTTACTAATTTCCAGCAATATTATAATTCCCTTAATGCTTCTCTTAATGATGCAGCGGCCTTACAGTTAAAAAAACACATATGCATGCTTCTAATCATGTATAATTTTTGCATTTTATTGTGAGGTTAGGAATGATGACCATGATGTACAAACCTTTTGTTATAAAAATTGGGTAAATTTGATGGAAGTCAAACTAGATTTAAATTGAGTGAAGACACAAACTGAGCTCCTAGTGTTCTCACCTTGCCCAAGAAGAGCACAAAGTCTCCCACGGTGTTGATGGCTGCCACCCTCAGAGCATTTTCTACTAGAATCACAAAGGCATCCCGCGCCGACGTACAGAAACTGGTGCTGTTGATGGCCGTTGCTGCATACGCATTCTGGACAGGAGGTGAACAGACACAGCAGAGTGTTTTAAAGAAAGGCTTGGTTGAAAGTCAACATAATGTCAGCCATACATATTCATAGATCTATTAACATGATACCAAGGCAATATAATTTTCTATTGCAAAGGCAGTGGCTGTACAGTTATACGAAGTGTATTAAAGCACCAACTAGTTTAAGATTTTATACTTTAAACAAGATTTGGTTTCAGAGTGCATTTTCTATATCTGTCCAGTCACTGCTTGTACTGTAGGTAGCTGTTTGAAAAACACATTCCACAATAAATTAACACAACCCACTGTATGGGAAAATTTCCCGTGGTACCTGGTTCAGATAATTGAGGCACTTCTCCAAACACCACAGGCAGCAAATACATGCCTTCAGCAAACAGCGCGCACATGCGTTCTCCTGTTGGAGATGAACAGAGACTGAGTAACAATAACAAAACACACACACACACTTCCTTACAGCACTTCACATAAGGTACTGTGCAAAAGTCAGAAATCACCTCCCATTTATTTAACGTCCGGTCAAAACATCCATCAAGTACAAGTTATTCATTTTTCTGGAAATATTTCTGAGGATATTGGATAGAAAATAATGTACTTGCTTAAGGAAGGGGAAAGTCAAAGAAAAATAAATGAAAAAATGTGAGTTGCCAAAACTGGAGTTAAAAAAATATTACAAAGTAAAGAAAAATGGAACTCTCTACAACCGTACAAAACCTGGTAGACCACCAAAACTATCGCCATCAGATAAACAGTTTTTAAAGCTTTCATCTTTGAGGAGAAAATCAAGCTCCACTCTTGCTTCAGATCTGAAACAATCTACAAGTGTTTCTGTCCATCCTTCCACTGTAAGAAGACAACTTAACACTATGAGTCTGTAAGCATGTGTAGCTGTGAAGAAGCCCTTACTGAGAAAAGGAAATTTGCACATCAAATAAAGAATCTGCTGGTGGTCTCAGAACAATGTACTGGTAAACCCCAGAGCCCAGACCTTAACATCACTGAATGTGTTTGGGATTACTTGGATCGTGAAAAGCAGAAAGCTGAAAAATTTAAAACAAAAGTCACAAAAAAAATACAAGCTGTAGCAAAAGCGAAATACAAAAAAAAAAATATTATATTCAGTTGTTGAGGCTTCTGTTTAATTTTCAGTGAAATAGGTTTTCTGCTTTTTCTTGATGCTGAAAATGAATGACTTGCACTAAATGGCCTTTTGACTGAAAATTCAATGGTCTTTAACTTTTGCACAGTACTGTACCTCACATTCCATCATGTTCACATACTTCATCTGTGTCATAATCTGATCCAGAATTAAAAGATAATTTCTTAACTTTTTTTTTATTAAAAGATGACAAGAACAGGACATTAAATGTCTGAAAATCTGCAGACACCTGCTCATTCAACATTTCTTCTGAAATCAAGGATATCAATAGGGAGTTTATATTCCAAGCTCAACAGCTCAGTGGCATTGGACATTGGACATGACCTTAAGCTTGTGTGGCTGCCCAGAGCATGCCATTTTACGGACAATGATTTTCTATGAAGATTATACAGTGCGATGCAACTGAACAACTGTTTCAGGCAACAAGTACACCTTTCAGCAGCTGAATTCACTATTAGAATAGGGGTCTTACTAGGGGTCCATATGTATTTTTCCACTATTTATGTCCCTATATGTTGAGAGTTGGGATGGAGGAAAAACGTGGACCGTCTAGAGGCCCAAAGTACCAGTTTGAGAACCACTAGTTTAGACTAAAAGAGAAACATTTTTAAGTGTTCATAGGCCAACCAGATCTGAATGACCAGAATCTTTTGTCTAGAGAGCTGAGCATTTTGTGCTGACCTTTCCTTTGAGCTGGTTGTAGATGTACATGAGTATGAGGCGTGGGATCTTGACCAGGGTGATGATGAAAGAGCCCTTGGCCACAGTGCCCAGGTGATAACGCATCAAACGCAACACAGATGACAGGATGGGAGTCAGAGGGAGTTTGTTCTTGTCCCTACAAACAGTCAGAGGAGTTATTTTCAACCATGCATCAAATGATGGCATCAATCTAAGAGCTGGAGAAGGAAATTAACATAAAGAATAATGTGCCAAGACAAAACTGCACAACAGCCTATCAGACATACGTTACTTGGCTGGCTGTTTCTGAGGCTTGGTTTAAATATTAAAGGCCCACAACAAGCACAGAGTTTCCTAACAGAAACCCATTTTAGTGGGTGTGGCCTTACAGAGTTGTTTTCATTTGAAAGTGTTTTTTTGAGTTTATTTTGAAAAATGGTCTCTCCACTGATTGCTAGTTGAGGATTTATTTGTTACAGAATTAAAGAGGCACTGCACTGTTGCTACCCAGACCTGGTGAAGTAGTATGTGACCACAGCTCCAGCTACAGTCATCTGCTGACACGCCAAGATGAATTCGCTGATCCAGATGAGACCCACAGCATGGTACCAGGTCAGATACTGCAGGGGACCACTCAGCCTGAACTCCGTCAGTCCTGTCTCCTCGTTCTTCTCAGGAATCCCTGCAACCACAGACAGAAGGAGATAAGAGATGAAGTTTGAGAACACCACCTACACTCCCACTGACGTTTGACTTGACTGCATTTCCCAAAATAGTGAGGTGATAACAAAAGGGAATTCCGTCTAGATCTCATCTATTTTGAGGTGAGATGTGGGCTTATTAGATCATGTGAAATATCCTGTAACACTGTCAGATTGCAGCTCCTACACTGTATGATGAGACAATGTTTTAACTTTAAAAAAGCAAGTAACCTGGTTGCCTTAAATTTTGAGTTCACTCAAAATGTTGCCACGGCTGTTCAACAGCTGTATTATTAGGCATGAGCACACTTTCAGCAAGGCAGGTAATGCAGTAATGCTTGTTGTGCCACTGGCCAGGCAAACATTGCTCTTAGCATGTTTGGGTATTTTTGCTATAGGTTCCATACATAGCATTTTAGTAGCCTATAAACTTGTATCTGTCCACAAAAAACACTATTTTTAATGGGCAAGGGATTAACAATAACTTTTTCTCCAGCCTGCCTGGCAAGCAGACTCAAAGATTACTGTCCCGAACAGAGATCACACTGTCTCAAACAAATTTTTGCTTTGAAAACTATTTTTCAAATATAAATAAGTACACTTACACACATTACTTCAGGGCAAGACCTTTATTCTTAAGCTATTATTATAATTACTATTACTACTATGGTTGCTATATTTACTTTTATTGGATACAAAACTGGAGTTGTGTCATGAAGCATGAAGTTATCTATACTGGGGTGGGCAATATGACGAGTCCAACTTGATAGCCATCCATTGGTGATTCTCAATACCATCATCAACTGGCTCAAGCCTGGTGAGATGTGCTAAGAGTATGTGCTGAGTATCTAATGCTGTTCTAACGCCCTTTGGAAATATTAACACATAAATATCAAAATTCCTCTCATGATACTGGCATTTTACACAGTCAGGCACAAAAAGGGCCACCATCATCAGAAGGATCTGTGAAGGTTAACAAATGTCACCTCCCTCCAGGCGGTTTTTAAACTCAGGCTAAGGTAGACACTACAGTTCGACTGATATCAACATTTTGCGGGCCAATACTAATATCAATATTAAGGGGCTAAAAATTGTAACAGACAATAAAATTGGGCAATTTTATATTCATTTATTAAACAAAAAAATTCTAGCTGATACATATACTGCAGCACTGGGTGTGGAGCTAACTAGAGTTCTTTGTGGAATGTGTTTGTCGTTTTAAGTAAGACAGTGTTTTATGTTCAAATTTCCAATTCAGCTTGTTTTGCTGTGTTCTAGTGAAACAGCAGATCCCTCCCACATTCAAAAAAGCCAATAAATATAAGTACTGTATAGATGATATTTTAACAGCTGTTGATAACACTGTGGGTTGTCAATATTGGCTAACTGGTACATTGGTGGTGTTCAAGTAGTCACTGTCCAACAACAAATATTTTCACCCCAAAAATGTAAATTATTATTTTCCAATGGTCCTTCCTGACAAAGAAGGCCAAGAGCAGGCCGAGACCTCACCAGTGGTTCCGAGGAAGAGGAGCACCAAGATCCAGTAGACCCAGAAGAGGAACAGGGCAAGGAAGGTGCAGAAAGGCTGCAGTACGAGCAGAGGCAGGTGGATAAACACCTTCCCAGCCACGTGGAACAGAGCAATAGTCAGAGCTACTCGCTTCCTCATAAACAACATCAGCAGCAGCAGAATCACCTGAGAGGGAGAGAGAGAGAGAGAGAGAGCGAGCGAGAGAGGGAGAGAAAGAAACAGAGAGACAGTATGAAAAGGAAAGGGGTAAGGAAACCCAAGTAACAGGAAGGAGGGAGAAAGAGGGAAGCAAAAAGAAAAAAATGAAAAAAGAGTTAGACAGAGAGAGAACAAGAGAAGAAAGAGAGGGAGAAAGAGGGAGGCAAAAAGAAAAAGAGGAAGACAGAGAGAGAACAAGAGAAGAAAGAAGAGATGGAAGAGAGAAAGAGAGGTGAAGAGAAAGAGAAGAATAAGGAGAGAGGTGGAGAGAAAAAAACATGAAAAAGGAGAGACAGAAATAGTGAGAGAGAGTGAGAGAGAACAAGAGAAAAAAAGAGGAGGTGAGAGAGAGGGAGAGAGACAAAAAGAAAAACAGAGTGGGAGACAAAGAAAGAGAGTGAGAGAGAGGAGACAGATAGAGCGAGACAAAGATAGAAAAAGAAAAAGGTAGAGAGAAAAGAGAATAACAGAAGGACAGAGAGAGACAGAGAGAGAGAGAAAGAGAGAGAGAGAAAGAGAAAGAGAGAGAGAGAGAGAGAGAGAGAGAGAGAGAGATGGAGACAGAGAGAAAGAATACAGAAATATACAGAGGGGGAAGAAAAAAAGAAAACATTGGAAAGAGACCTACAGTTTCCTCCAAGAACTTAAAGAATGTATTACTGTTTGAGTGCTCCACTTTAAGACTGCATGGATATTGTGATACTGTGTTCAGGATCAGCAACGAGTTCATATTCCATATTCATTATTTATACATCCTCTCAGCTTCAATCTCTCACTCTCTCTCTGTGACTCACCGTGAACACAGTTGCTGAGATGGCATAGACCAGGAGGGCTTGCATGTGGTCTTTGGAAGCCTCTGTTTCCCCATTCGTTTCTTTTACTTCCTTTAAATCTTTAGCCACAGTCTCGTTCATCGTCAGTCTGTGGTCTATATATAACCACCACAGAACGCCGGTGCCTCCTACAAACACACAACACGCACCTTCAGATTTTCACACATTCACTGGAATTATCAAGCCACATCTAAAATCAGCCCCATACACGCAAAAACACAGTTATCAAGAACTGCTAACTGATTTTAACAGATAGATGTTTGGAAGGAGCTACAGCACATGATTCTAACAGTTTAGCCAAGGTAATTCAAATTCACTGCAGGCACTCGACACAAATACAGACTGTTCCAAATGGACATTTTCCAGCCCGAAAGAGCCCCACTCAGAGCTTGAGACCAGAAGAGAGATGGGCAGGAAGAAGAGACTTGCCTAGAGAGCCCAGCACCACGATAACAGTGAGAATCCACACCAGGACAGCAGAGATGTAGCGTATGATCACCATCAGAATCATGGAGAGCACTGCAGTGTACACACAGTCCACACATGCATGTTAGAGAAAGATTCAGAGACTCATAGAAATACTTACAACTGAGTACCAACAGACCTTTACTCATATTAGTAATGAAAAGCCTTCTTCTTTAAATCACTGCTACAGTGTTGTAGCTCCCTGTTTATGCTGTTACTTTTATATCTTATTATCTACAAGTTGTATGTACTTAAGTCTCCACAGAACACAGGCAAAGCTGAAATAGAAGTAATACCTCAAATCTAAAGAAAATTTGACATTAGTGCTGATCTACTGCTGTTAAAGGTAACCAGTACAAGAGTCCAAATCTCATCTGGGGGCACAGAATCAGAGCCAATCAACACACATTTTAATAGATAGGTATCAGGTATATTAAGTCTGATCAAATTCCAATCATTTGTTAATTTCCTTTTACTCCATTTCACTTTTGTTTACACGATAAACTGGCCAAACTGTATGCATAGTGATTGACTGCATTTAGCCAAGGAGTAACGGTGCATTCAAAGCCCAGAAAAAGGAATAGGCTACTTCACATGTGTTAGTGCAATTTGAATATGAAAGTATTTTATTCAAGATACCATAAAGTACTCTAAAAAACAACACAGATTAAAGTGGGTTACATTTTACTGTATGTAAAGATGAATTCCACTGACTTTTCCGAATTTCGGCATAATTAAATGGTTAAGACGTAATTAAACTCATTCAGAGTGGTTCGATACAAAATGCTCCATTCTAGAGAAACTTATCGAATCAGAATTGTTCACAGTGGTATTGACACAACAACCAGACATCCAAAGAGTTTAATGCCTCTAAAATCTACCACAGAAAGCTTTGACGCGAAGCGGTTACAAATATGCTGAATGATGCCCGAGACATTATTTCATGATAAGTTTTGGCATAAAATTAGTTTTTTTTAATCCATTCATGATGGACAGGTACATGCAGGGAGTTGTAAGGAAAAAACCTTTTTTACTACTGTATTTCACTACTGTCAATATTACATGTAAAAACTCAGAAGACACAAGCAGATTTACAGGTCATTCAGTTAAATGACTATATTTGTGTTGTAGACATCAGTTAAGTTTATCAACCCAAATCACTTCACCAATCAAAACCGAATGACTTTGTTCACATCTTAACCGCTAAATTTTGAAAAACTGGTGGAATCCTTCTTTTCCAACCTTAAATTTGACAGGGTTTTACTTTTTGAAGAGTAAGTATCTGTGTTATCTACAAAAATATAAATATCAGATCAGACTCTATATTTGCAGGTAACTCAAAATTAGCTGACTCAAAATGTAGAGACTCAGAATCAGAGAAAAATCTGAACCGGGACATCCCTAGAAAAAAATCATCATTCATATCATTGAGTCACGTCACTGGGCCTGCCTGAACTCCACTTGCACTAGTATTAATATTCTGGTCTCATCCTGGTGTGACAGGGCCATGTTCCAGCAGCAGAAAGACAGTGAATGCAGTTACCTAACGCTAACAGACAGAGCCCAACAATGATCTCTTTACTGGCCACCACCCCAGCGATCAGTCTGTGGAGCACTGTGTTATCACTGACAAACGTCACCACCGCTTCAGCAAACTTAGAATAGCAGGAGATGTCCACAGGCGTGCAACGGTTAAACAACGGCAGAGCTTTACTGCAGAGAGAGAAGACAGGACAGTGCAGAGTAAGCAGAAGAGGAGACTGAGGCAGGTTTGTCTTTAAGAGAAGCGAAATGAGAGTTTTACCTCTGTGGAACTGGAAGTTTGGGACACTTGTCATAGCGCTCTGGAAGGCTCGGGTACTTATGGCCAGCTAGCTCATAGGAACAGAGCTCTGAGCCTGAAATACAAAAAGAGAGGGCAGAGAATGATAGAAAGGCAGGTGTGGTAAAATCAAGAGCAAATGGACCAATCAACCTAAGTATATATACAGAATAAAACTGATAAGATCCTGAAGCCTCATTTATAAACAGAATATCAGCTTAAATTTGATCCCAAGATTCTCAACAGTTTCTTAAGAATGATTTATAAGAACAGTGTTCATGAATTATAAACTATAATGTCTGTAGCACACTGAGACTGCCACAAGGAAGCTTTCATGTGTACGGGCTAAGCATATTTAACAATAGGAACCAGACATCCAAAGCATTTATACCTCTAAAAGCTACCTCTCAGAAAGTTATTACACAACATGATTATGAATATGCTGCCTGACGCCTGAGACTTTGTTTTAGAGTGGTTTTGAGGTTTGGCAGTTGTTTTTAAATCCATGCAGAGAACAGCGTTACATGCAGGCAAAATAGTGCCCGATAAATGTGGTCTTTTTAGGAAAGAAAAAGACCACTATTTTATAATTGCTAACATTAAACATGAATAACCTCAGCACTTTTTCTGAGGCCCCTGGTTTTTCAAAAACTATGAATCTTAGCTATAATCTTTGCTACATATAATCTACAATCTACATGCTACAATCTAAAGTATAATTAAGCATTAATCTTAATCATGTATGCAGCAATCAATACAGAATCTGGATATGAATGACTGTACAGCACAGAGGTTTTGTAATTTGGAAGTAATAGTTCAGTCAAAATCATCTAGTCGCCATTAACATTATGCCAGCAACAACATGCTAATTATTGGCTATAAAGGTTGCATTATTAATCGTATTTCTATAATTATCGTGATACGAGTTTTCACAACAAACATATTGTTAAGAGCAGTGACAGAAAGGATCAAATAACCTTACACATACAGTATCAAATTGACATAATTAGATTAGTGGGACTCAAGTAACTTATTCATTTGGCTAAATGACCAGTTGCAAAATCCTCATGTGCACATCTCAAAAACTACTCGATCCTGAACTACTAGTCTGTAAAAATTCTTTAAATGTGATGATAACTCTCACTCTTAGGGACGTTTGTAAAATGAATGACTGTATGGTAAAATGTATGAAGCTGTAAAGACTACTGTCACAACAAACATGCATCATCACCTTTTTAAGGAATTAAACAAATATTTATTTGCTTTGGTAGTGAAAATAAAAATAAACATATTTATTTGTCGAATAGAGAAAGCTGTTGAGGGAATCCTGACCATTTTAAACTGAAGCAGCTTATGAAACTCACTCACGTCATAGGCTACAAATTCTCCACAAGGTTTTGCATAGGTCTTCATAGGTTTTGCATTATTTGCTATTTGTTTAGGAGAGTTGAATTAGATTTCTGTTTGCACAGCAAACAAAAAGCCAGTAATTGTGGCACATCCATTAAGAGGCACGCTATTTTGATAATAATTTATCGCTTCTCATATCATCGTTGTGATATCCAACAGCTTTACCGAACATACTGAACGTTTTATGTCCAAATCACACAGACCTGGCAGCTACTAGCTTGCATTCATCATTACCCAAATTAGCATGTCTAGTCAAATGTTTTCATTAAGGACTTCTACAAGTTCTCTACTAATGCTCATTGCACAGAAATGCCTTTAGGAATCTCAAACTCAAAGGATGCCAATCATGTTTTTTGCTCATGGTTGCATGTGTTGACAATTGTAGCCTGCCTTAAAGATATATGACCTTTACATGCTGATGTTAAAAGCCAAGCCAAAGTGCCCACTGACCCAAATCAACACAGATCAACAGCAATATGATAAACTATTTATAGAGAAACAAAGAAACACGTCAATCATGTCTGTCTTGGTGTCAGAGCCTACAGGGCTGAACCACTGGACTGTAAACAACAAACTTGCTGCAGGAGAGAGGGTCAATAGAGTCTTTGTTCAGTCAGCACACTCCTGTGTGTGTGTGTGTGTGCGTTAGGTGCTGAGATTGCGCGTATGCGTAAGCGCCCCTGAATGGAGATACAGTGTGAAGGAAGACAATATGCAAGGGTCACCACTGCACTCATAAGAAAAGTCTTTGTTTCGACAGCGGACGAAGCTGCAGTCAACGATTCACTGTCGTGACGTGATGGTGGCATCTGTGATGATGACCTGCAGCAATGTCCTTGACCAGCAGTTAAGTGCAGGCTGTTATCCAAGGAACACCACATTCATTGCTGAAGCTTTCATGTTTGCGCTCTGAATGGGTGCCCATTTGGGTAACCATTTATCTATTGCTACTACATTTGTTGTGAGGCCTTCTGATCATGTACCTTGAAGGTGGGAGGAACTTTTGAAAAACTACAAGCACTCTGGAGTGGAATCTTGAGGCCAGGCTGTTGGGATTTTTTTGCTGCTAGGCAACTGACACACAAGGAAGCCAGACAGCTAACCAATAGTATAGACAGCATCCCAATGGTTTATGATGTAGTTGCGTAATGCAAATTGTAGTGAGAGAACACTGATGGATGAAATCACAAAGAAAGATATTGGTTAATGTAAATACATCTGTCCAATGACAGGCTCATTTCTTTTCTTTTTCTATATGCACTGATGTATATTAATTGTCAAATCTTATTCTTCATTTACATTGTTCTTGTTGCGTTATTGTTTTGCCATGCGCCGATGACCAGAGGAGGACCAGAGGAGGATGGTTTCCCCTTCTGGTGGAGCTTTTCCTGCCACTGTTGCCCTTGGCTTGATAATTTGGGGCATGGACGTAGATTTTTGGAAAGTCGCTTTGTGACAACATCCCATGTAAAAAGCACTATACTAAAATAAATCTTGAATTGAACTGAAATAAAAAAAATGATGAATTCTGTCAAACTGATGAGGCTGAGCAATGCACAAGAATATTACATAAAATGAGAAAAACATATTAAATTCTAGCTTTAGGCTGAAATGCCACTTTTAGACCTTGCTTTTTACCTAGGCCTTTAGTTAACTAAAGATATATTTCTTTTATTGTGTTTTATGAAATTAATTGTATTGTGTAATTTATTTATTATAAAATGTCCATCTTTGACTTTCTTTATCTATTGTTTTTCTGGTACCTTTATGTTATCCCATTTTTTATTTTTGGCATTAATTTCCCCCTCCCTTGTAAATTGTTTTATTTTTGTGAAGCACGTTTAGTGTTTGCATGAAAAGTGATATATAAATAAGCAATTTGTTAATATTATTATTATTATTGTTGTTACAATTATTATTATTTTCTAGGCCTATATGCACTGACAACACGCTGAACAGCAAATAAGAACTATTTGTACTGTCTGCATGTTCAAACATGTATTAGATGGTAATGGCACTGAGCTTATGATAACATAAAATCACAACATATTGTTTATTTGTATTTCTTCTAGTGATATTTTTGTAACGAATTAATGCTTATTGCCCTAAAACTTAGCTTCACATCTCATTTTCTCAGATGGCCTAAGACTTTTTCTCACAGTATTTTCAGTATTTCAAAGTACAATAAAACCTGTGATGTCAACCTTCATTAAAGTCAGTGTGTATGGCTGATATAAATGCACAGTTACCATCACATAAGCCACACCTTAGTACCTCAAAGAGATTCAGTGCATCATAGTGCTTTTTGCTTTAAGGATGACTGTTTTTGCACACATCACCTTTATAGCAGGGGACTGGATGTGCTTTCATTTTGAATGACTGCAGCATTTACTTGACTTATAAACCCTGGTGCAGTAGCTTCCATCATACCTAAAACCATTAATACACATATTTACAATCATATTGGTTATAGTGCTCTATAAACGTGTGTTTGTAACTGAGGAAATTATTTTTCTACTTATACTTAGTCTTCGCTTCATTGTAAACAACAACCGACTTTAGTCTCAGCTGATTTAATGCAAGGACTGGCTCAGTATGTGAATCTTGATGCTAAACGCTGCCTCTGGAGTGCTTGGTTTGTGTTGGTATCCAGTGAATCATGAGGCTTCCTTTGAGAAGTATGATGGGTCTAACTGAGTGACTCACCGTTGATCATGGCAAAGCGCCGTAGGTCCCCATACGTCTTCATCTCCTCAGTGGGACACTGTGACACACAGAGGGCCATCGACTTAATCTTCCTCTGAACAATGTCTATGTTGCAGGGATCCAGGAAGAACACATATCTGTAAATATAAAGTCAGATGAATTATTTTTCTAATACAATATATTTCAACCCCTTAAACACAAAGGGAGAGTTTTCCAGACAATGCAGCCTAGTCTTGGACTAAAAAGAATTTCCAAAGGTGATTCACTACTGATACAATAATCTATTAGAAGATTAAGCATAATCCAGACCTGAGAAACTGGCCTTAAGGGTCTGTATTTGGGCAATTCAATTATTCACTCTCAACTACATTACACACATATACCTTTTATAGAAGTTGCTGAAATATTTACAGTAGTTACCAAAGTATTAAGATTAATAACTATGTAATAATTATCTGAATAAAATATACCACATTTAGCGTTGCTACCAACACCAAGGGCCACGGGTTATCCGATATCCAAACTGATAAACAAAATCAGAAAAGAAAAGAAAGAACCTATTCAAATTGACAAGAATCGATGTATCTCAGCTGAATAGATCAGGCACCAAAATAGAGCGTAGAATGCAGTCCTCAGCATTGTGTGATAAAAATCGTCACTAGGCAGCACATATTTTCATCCCAGGAGCACTGGCTCACCCCAGTTTTTTGGCAGAGAGGTGAAGCAATGGCTTGTTTCTACACTTGGCTTGTTACTAGCCAAGCTCTCCATCGTGACCGTGGCCTTGCCTTGGTCTTTCATAAGATGTGGAGTGGGCACTGCGCCCACACGGAGCCGTGAGGCCCATTGTCCTGTATACTCAGCACAAAAGCAGCCTGTCAGACGCTGAAGACACATGCGACTGCCGAGAAGGAGAAAACGAGACCAAGAAAGAGAGCTCGAAAGCTAAAACAGGGCTGTCAACACTGTTGTGCCGAAGAGGTTTGATGCGTGGCTGAGATGAGATGAAGTACTCTGCCCACAGACCCTTTGTGTTCTCTCTGGCTTTTCTGAATGCACGTCAGACTCACCAAAACCTGTACCAGACTTCTACTGACCTGCAGTCCAAATAATCCACAAGCAAACAATTAAAACATCTTACTCACAGTGAAAGACAGCTGTTGACCTACTCATGCTCCACCCACAACGTCGTCGTCATTGTCAGGTTGAACAAGGTTTAAAGAACACTGGCAAAAATTCCATTTAACCTAATGATAAAGTGTAGCACACTTTGTTTAGAGTCGCTACATATCATAGAATTTCCACTTTAAAATGCTACACTACTGAGCTGGCCTATGTTGTGGTATGTAATTTAAACCAGGTAAAGTTGATGTTAACTTGATTACACAACAAAAACATTTGAACTGTCCTAAGCATGACCTTTAACACGCATACAAAATGACTATCATGAAAATTAGTGATAAGCAATAATATCAGAATGATATTACCAGATATTTATATACCACTGGACAGACTTTTAGATTTTACCACCATGTCAAAGTGATATCTGATGATGTATTTATTCCAGTCCAGAAGAGCAGAATGTTTAGATGATGCTGAGCTACTGTGCTACAATGTTTGCTTCTTCTTCTCTGTTCTGTGGTTTACTTTGTAAACCTATAGAAATAAATGTTATATTTCTCTGTAATGCTTATTCAGGCAGACAGTCCATATTTCTATATTTTACACATGTTTATGTAATGGCATTGTTATCTGCATCAGCAGATATGTCTGTGAAAAAATATTGGATGTTGGCATCAGCCCACTATTTCCATATCAGTGCATCCCGACTAAAAATAACAACACACTGTAAATATAGATATTTTGACAAAAACTCACATGCTTATTATTAGTTTAAATGTGATTTTCACTGTGGACACCTTACAGTGGTAAAGGTAATCAATGTAACCCTCAGGAGTCTATAATTATCACTGCATTTTCCTGTGCTATCTACATATAATAAAATAATAAGATATTAAATTACATAGCTAGTTATGTAAATGAATTACATTTACATTCAATTTGCATTCTGCATAGACAGGTTTGAATCCACACTTCCAACTGTTGTCTGTTGGTTTCAATGTAGAACAATGACGAAACACGTGGTAGAAGTGTTTTTTTTTTGCAAAACAAAAAAAAACACAAAAAGCAAAAAAAGTTCTGCACTATCAACAGAATTTCTCTGTTTGTGTCAGTGAGCTATGAGTGAGAAGTTATTAAAAATGGCATAATTTTTTGGTCATTGCTGCTGATAACTGCAACTTCTATTAAAGAACTGTTAGAGCTAGAGACAAACAGATACATTGAAATAGAGAAATTATAAACATTTTAAAAAATTTTAAACATTTTTATAAACATAAATTATAAACATAAATTATAAACATTTTAAAACATATCAAACTATGATTTTTTTTGATCATTTTGTTTTATATTTGTAGTCTTTATATCTGGATTCACCACACATTCCTTGTTTGTGAGGAAATACTTTCATAATTCACTGCTCTGTTTCTAAGAGTTTTTTCATCACATAAGAAAAACCAGTAACAGTTGTAGGTGGTCAGGGTATCACATGGGCAGTGTCACGGACAGCATTAAAAACCGAATGAATGAAGTTGTGTTAATCTGTGCAAACTAAATTAACTTAAACCATCTATAAGCCTTAGCTATTCAGTTTTCTCTGTCTGTTGATCCTATAACCACCAATTACACCTCCAGTGTTTATTTTACTCAACAATGGCTTCCCACTTACTGTGTTCAATAGCAACACCACCAACCTTCCTCAGGCAAGCGCTGCTGTGTGGGAGAGTGGACAGCAGTGCTGTTTGCCATGACCATGAAACAGAAATCATCTGACCATTACAGAGTTACTTCATACAATAAAATCAGTAACACCATGAGCAATGAGAGTGAGAGAGAGTGAGAGAGAGAGAGAGAGAAAGAGATGGAGTGAATTGACAGCTGTGCAGACCCTAATTGAATCCCGTGGCAGCTGTCGGCTCAGCGGAGTCCTACATCAGGTATTTGCATTCGCCCCGGTGAGCTGTCATTCACTCAGCCCTCCCCTCAGCAGTGGGCCTGCTACCTGCTGGCCCTCTCTCACCTCGTTATCTGCACTATCAGAAACCAGCAGCACTAACACTACTCCTGAAGCACCAGATACAGGAGCCCAGCACACTGTCCACTGCTGCTGCTGCCTGAGGCAAGGGTCCTGTCAGTAAGACACACTATAGACTATAAACCATTTCTATGATTATTCCTATAATAGATCAGTTCTATATTCTACTTTTATTATTGACTTATCTTTTATCTATTATTGTTAATGACTGCAACTAAAGATTATTTCTATAATAGATTAATCTAATGATAATCATTGACAAATCTATTGACCATTACTGTTACTGACTGCACCTGGTTATTTCTATAATTGATTAATCTGTTAGCTATTATTAAAAACTATTGCTGACTCACTGTTGACTAACGTACTATTATTGTTACTGACAGCATGTGATTATTTCTACACTTCACACATTTATCAACTATAATTAACTAATTGTTGACTACTTATTGATTATTACTGTTATTGACTGCAACTAATGGTTTTTATATAGTCGATTAAATCAGTCTATCGACTACTATTATTGACTAATTGTTGACTAATCTCTTGACTTATTTATGACTGCAACAAACAATTATTTCGATAATCGATTAATCTGTTGATCATTGTTAAAAATGATTGACAAACTACTGACTAATCTATTGATTACTATTATTATTGACTACAACTAACAATTATTCTCATAATCAACTAATCAAACCATTAGTGCTTTTGCTGTGTTTTCTCACATTTCCCAGCACCACTATAATTTAAAGTCCTGCCTGTGGAGCAAGAGCTTTCTTCTCTTTTTGGAACAAAACCAAAGAAGCCATAGCACCTCCTGTGCTTCTTGCAGCATACTGTAATCAAAACAACTGCATATATCACAAGGAATATTATAACGCATTGTAGAGGGTTTTAGATGCATTTTTTTATTAACAATACAAACAAATAATCGTTGTAGTGGCACTAGGGACCGTGTAGGGAGACAGGACTCTACAGGCAAAAAGTATGTTGCCCACTTGAAGTCCATTCAAAAGTAGCTGTAAATTCTGGTAAAATTCAATGAGCATTTCTAATACATTGGGCTCTAAATATGTGCTGAAGAGAGTGCTAAAATGCTAAGCGCTTTCCTCTGCACTGTGTACTGTCAGGCAGCTAGCGCTGAAATTAATTGGCTAATTCACAGTTGTCTCTAGGTGTATTTATAACTTAATGATAGTAGCTTCTTGGCATCACAACCAGTGGTTCCAGACTGTCCCAGAACTAGGCTAAACTTAATCATGGCCATCTTAATCAAATCAGCTCAAGTTAGCAATATCTGCAGTTTCACTTCATTTTAATCAAACAGGTCCTTGGTCAGGTATCAAATATTTCTAACAATGCCTACAATTGCTACCTAATGTGGTAATTACAGAGTGAGTCAGGAAAACCCAGAGGACCGAAAGGTCTCCAGAGCAGCAGTGGATGAGTTAAAGCTGGAAAATGCTCCCGTATAAAAGATGACATTCATAAACCTGAATGCCAAGTTTGATTTGGCCAACGTGATTTCGGTTGTATGAGTCAGCAAAGAACTTTGGGGAGTGAAGAATGAAATTCATTAAGGAAAACCTGGATCTCTACCTTGCTGACTATTGCTGATAGGAAAGATCTTGTGTGGGGCTACAGGGAATGACACAGACAGACAGTGCTTCTAATACGGTGTGGCTCCTTTCTATTACTATGAGTCATGCAAGAGGAAAAAAGTAAAAAAAATGTTTTTTTATACACAAATAAAAACAGAAGTCTACATGGTGGTGAAATTAGCACATATAAATCACCTATAATGTTAACAAGAACGTTAATATTCAGGTTATGTGCTAATTACCGAATCAATTTTACACATAAGACATTAAAGCAATGCAATACAAACAAAACAAAAATCTGTTTCCTACCTACCAAGGCTGCGTCACCAAAAAAGGAATACTTCCATCTAGATATTTTTCAAGCTGTTAAATAAACTCATCACCAGTGAAAACACCTCTAATTAATCACTCAGCTTCTGCCAAGTCACATCTCCAAACTCCTGGCAAAGTGGCGAAGTGGAGAGCACACTTAAGCCCAACCACACTGACAGTGGAGAAAGTCATTTGACATCGATGCAAATGAAAGGGCCAGAAAAACCTGTCATTCCCCCACCGGCTGGCAGGCATTAAGCAGCATGCGGGGTGTGACAGTGGCCTCCTTCAGGGTCTTTCTGAATTATTAAAGCCTCTGTGTGGTACTGCCAGGTCTCTGACGTCTAAAGGTGAAGCCACAGCTGCCTGACATGTGCATTGATGTGATAATCGAAGAGCACAGAGCTGTTCCCCTGTGCTGCCCGTGCCCTTGTCGGTGCACAGAGAGTGGATGCTTGAGAAAGCAGAATATGTGGACGGAGGAAAAAAGAAAATAAAAGAAAAGAAAGAGAAAGAGCGCTGACTCACTTCCTGTCCGTATGGTCCAGGCCGCTCAGCTTGACCCCTTCGATGGCCTCGTTGCGCTGACCACAAGTGTTCCCGTAGCTGTCATATCCAAACACCAGCCTCGCTGCGCCTCCCGTCACTATGGTGTACCCACAGATAGCACCCTATGACAGGCAAACTCACAGTCAGCATTCAGCAAAGACAACAAGTACAAATCAGTGGAAGAATCAAAATCAAGCTGGTCGGCGTAAAGCGAATCTTATTCTTCGTATGTAGACGTGCACAACCAACAATTAGAGCCTCTCTCAATATTCACCCACAGTATTCTCTGGGTATCATAATTGTTTTTTTTTTAAAATACAGAGCAAATTTGATGTAGACGTAGTCTTTGTCTTCCAACCTATTACATGACACAGCAGTATTGTGAAAATGTTTAATTTTTATGCATTTATGCATTAAACCACTGCTGTCACAAAGGAAGACTACTGGAGATAAGCATCCAGTGAGCAGTGGAATATATTTAAACTAAATGAGATGTTCTGTCTATGATTTATGAGGTGGTAAACAGACTGTGGTAAATGCCTCTCTAGGTCACATATAAAAAGAGATCCTTTCAAACAGCTTGCACAGCAGTAACCATTCTGCAGAGAGAGATGATGCTCTAAAGCGATTAATAAATAATGACTACGTACTTGCACGCGAGTTTGGGAAAGCAATATAAAATCACACATGATCATATAATGGTACAAAGATCTAACGTGGCCTTTCCTTAATCTCAACTCTACAGTTCCTACATGCGGATTAACATATTCATTTTGAAACATTTGTAATGCTGCATATGCAGTAGCCCCATAAAGTATTTGGGCACTTTAACCATTTAACAATAAGTAAACTTTAATGAAGTTCTTTAGGCTACAAAATGTTTAAATGATATTTCTGAGAAAGACACTTTTAGCACTCTCTCTTACTGATAGTAGAGTCTTTGTTAGGAGAAAGCCTGGAGAAGAAATCCAGCAAGACTGTACTAAGAGTACTGTAAAGCACAGAGGAGGAAATGTCAACGTCCTGGGCTGTTTTTTTTTTTTTTACAGTGATGTCAATAAGCTTGTGTTAACTGATGGGATCAAGTGTGCAAAAATATTCTGGATGGAAAAACATAATTGCTCAAACTATCATGATCCAAAACACACCAGCCACCTTCCGAAAGGAATACTTTGCCAAAAAGAAAATTCCGGTTTAAAATAAGTGCCACTGAGTTTGATATTGAGCGTCCTAACACAATGAACTTAATACATTTTAAGTATGGTGCAAATGTCCAAATACTTTTTGGGACACTTGTGTAGCTGACGTTACATGTTGAAAAGCCGTTATCAGAAACACAATACAAACTTGTGAACAGAGTGACAGCTGTCAATACTGTCCAGCACTGCTACTTCAGGCCAGTGACACTCAAGCCACTGCATGTTCAGCTTACCATTCCCACGCAGAAGAGCGTGAAGAGCAGAAACCATGGCAAATCCGTACAGCTTCGGTCCTCCAGGGGTTTCCATTCTCGTTTTGCCCTCTAAAACGCAGAAATGCAATGTCATCCGAGTCAGGTGTCCTCACATTACTTATTGGCTTACACAAAAGCAGCCTACTGCTTACTTCAACGTCTTGTCTAAGTGACAGTTAGCCTGAATGGGCATAATGAATTCACACTAATTCAAAACAATAAGAGGCGTAGTTAGCTGTCCACAGTCAGACAGTATGCATTCATGAAACATGGCATGTTTTGATGGGGTTTAGTTGGACATGCACCTTCTTTGTAGTCAAGCTAACATGAACTGAACACGTATGCTTTATCCGTATGGAGGAGGGATCCCAGTGCAAATCCCCGCAGCCTCAACATGCTTAGCCCGGCTTTATGGACAGCTAGCTGGGTGCACATTACGCGCATCAGTGCGCCTCAGAAACAAAATACACAGCAACCAGAGCTGCGATACAACCAAGCCTAAGGAGACGAAAACCCACGAGGCTGAAGTTGTCTTCCTATTCGCCAGCTTCTTTTTCCGATTTTCCCGTTCCACCTTAAATGGTGCAGCGGTTATATTCTGGCGCTTCAAACGTTATAATAACTGCTGCACCATTTAAGGTGGAACGGGAAAATTCGAAAAAGAAGCTGGCGAATAAGAAGCTGACTTCAGCTTCGTACCAAACCCTGAGCTTCAAACGGTATGCATCGACATGCGAAGACGGATGGAAGGATGGAGGGAGGTGGGGGTATAAACAACAGGATTACACGTTTTACAGCAACACATCCGCAAATAGTAAAGACCTCGGCCGCGAACGCGGAGGATAAAGCGACAAAAGCAACCTTTTTCTTTGCTGAGCTCGTCAGGCGGGCCGTCGAGGGTGGAGGAGGAGGACGCGGGTCTCTTACCTCCGCGCTGCCGCAGCATCCCATTGCAGGCGAGAGGTTTAGATCCGCAAAGAACTAACGGCTACACCAGGGGAGAAAAACAATAACGTTAACCCCAACTTGCAGGGAGTTGACGGTGTTTGTTGTTGTTGTTTGATTTTTCTTCCACCCTGCATGAACACTACGACGACAGAGCCATCAGACCGCGGGCGCTAACGGACTCCCCCGTGATCGCGACATGCTAACTAACGGCTCTCCTCGCTCCGGGGGGAAGAGGGATTACTACTTTAGGGTTTTATGGCGCTGCACTTCCTGGAGGATCCTGGAGGAGCAGGTGTAGCCGGAAAAGGAACAGGCGGGCCTCATCGTCCACTCACACGGCGAGCTGGAATGGTGGGACGTTGGCGGAGGCCGCCAAGTTTGAAATACCGTAACGGTTAGGCGTCCTAAGCCGAGCTAGCTGCTAAACTCGGTACACTGACATTCCCTGTTTGAAAAAGATACTGGCCGAGTCTGGTTCTATTAAACAGCACACACTGTTTTGGTATCAGCTCGGTTTCTTGTCCAGAGTTCGGTTCGCGAGCTGTTTTTCTGTTGTAGTTTCAGAAGAGAGCCACTTCAATGCAGTCAGTGCTGAGTGGGCGTGGCAAAAAACTACATCGCCCATGATACACCGCTCACTCACTGAAGCTTGCGCTGTTTTTTTATCCTATTACTCTGCGATTAACCTGTAGTTGAGGCAACTAAAACGATGCAATAGCCTTTCGAGTAGTGGTCATTTTTTCATGGTATTAAAAAACGAAACTAAAAAAATCCCCAAAATGAAACAAGCTAAAATAAAATACATTAGAAATAAAAAAATACACTCTCGGCTTAGCAGCAGAATCCGCACATGAATCCACCCTCATTATCATCATCACCACTAGCTAGCTCAATCCCTCCCCCTCCGGAGGTTCACACGGTACGTCATGGGGCGCGCACCGACTTCTTTTGTTGTTGTCTAAGAAAAGCAAAAAACTAAGGGCAGCCTACAGATTAATGAATAAGTAATAACTGATAACAGTCTGTTGTACCAAGCAGCTTGTCCGTACACCTGCCTTATAACTAGTTCAAGATTCAATATTCTTGAAGGCCAGCCACTTGTAAGGCCAGCCACTTGTCCGTCAGCTTGTCAGTTTGTCCGTACACCTGCCTTACATCTAGTTACATGTTACATCTGGTTTAGGAGCCTCCACTCCCTTAGCTGAAGACTTCTAACACATGGACTGAAAGAAGACCCCCACTAGCTGACAGTAGCTAAACTACTCGAATCTACTCACAACCACAACAGCTCCAGCACTTCATCTTCAGCAGTAGCTGTGATGAATTCACTGCTCTGATGTTCTGTTTTTAACCCCTTACCAATTTTCCTTTCTACCACTGGTTTGCAACTTATCTGTATTTCCGTGAATCATCAAAGTAGTTAATCCACCTTTCTCCACCTGGTCCTCGGCTGAAAGGAGCCTGATGTTGACCTTCTCTTCTCGCTCATCTTCTGCAGTGTGCAGCATTACGTGTGAACTACAGCAACAGCATGGAGCTGCCAAGCTGCGATACAGAAGGGAGCCATTGTTCTATTGTTCGCTGTTGTACCAGGGAGAGAGAGAGCATCAGTCAGAGAGGGGGAGCGAGAGAGAGAAAGAGAGAGAGAGAGAGGGGCAGAGACAATGTGTGTGTGTGTGGGAGAGAGAGAGAGAGAGAGAGAGAGAGAGAGAGAGAGAGAGAGAGAGAGGGAGGGAGAAAGAGGGAGAGAGAGTTATAGGCGGATGAATAGATCCCACCTAATATACTCTACTGTAAACAGCTGTAAGAAAATAAATCTGGCGTCAGATTGATTGGAAGTGCCAGTTACCTCTTTGACCACTAGAGGGCAGTCATGTACAACAGATAAACCAGTTCTTGCGACGGTCTCATGAATCTGATTCTGCTAATATAAGTGTTGTTTATTTAGTGGCGATGGTGTTTAGATGTTGTGAAGAAAAACTCCACCAATACTGAGTTGCCAGTAAAAGGTTTATTACATAGTAAAACAGTATCATATCAAGCACTATAAAGTACCTGAGAGAGGATCTGTGCCAATTCTAAATGTCCCCTCCCGAACAGACTGACCAACAGCATATATATATGGTTCTTGTTGTTGAAACAGGAGACAGAACATATGGTTCTTTTTAAAATGATCTCATCTATTTGGAACTAAGAGAAGAAGGGAGAAAGTGAGAGGCCCCCTTCCTATGGACCTTTAAATTGAGGGGCTTTAAATTGAGGGCCCCCCCTGGTTCAAACATTCCTATCCCCTGCACAAACAGAGCACACAGAGACTCCTAGATACTTGGAATTTCAGACATCAGCTTATACTCAATGTTAAGAGTGTTTTTACCTTCTTCTATCAAAAGGTTCCTTTTTAAATATACTTCATAAGAAAAGTAAACTGACAGGAAAAATACACGTAGAAATAAATAAATACATTTTCCTAAGTTGTGGCTACTGCAGGGGCCATTTCTGAACATTTGGGCACTAAGAAGCACCCATAAGTGATGTATGTCTCATTTCTACTTTCTTAATTATTATTTTTATTTTTTTAAATTTTTTTTGCCAGTAGAGTCATGTTATCATAATATATAATGAATAGCCACAATGACAACAACAATCTGCATACTTGCAGGGACACTTGTAACAGACTTTAAACTTTTAAGACAAAATCTTGGCGGCGTGGCAGTGTGGCTAAAAATCCAGCATCAACATACTGACTGAGGACAGTGTGCTGAGATACTCACTGCTGCATGAACAAAGGACTAGTGGATCTACATATTTATAGAAATTAGTGGAGTAATACAATAATGTTTGTGTGTTTGCTTAGTTTCCAGAACATATGTGGACCTACAGTGTATGAAATCTAGCAGAAAAGTATGCTGACTGGCCACTTCATTAAGTACACCTTCACACTCATTGTACATTTATCAGCTTCACTTACCATATAGGTGCACTTTGTAGTTCTACAATTACGGACTTTAGTCCATCTGTTTCTCTGCTTACTTTGTTAGCCCCCTTTACCCTGTTCTTCAATGGTCAGGGCCCCCTTAGGACCACCACAGAGCAGGTATTATTTGGGTGGCGGATCATTCTCAGCACTGTAGTGACACTGACGTGGTGGTGGTGTGTCAGTGTGTACTGTGCTGGTGCGAGTGGATCAATCACAGCAGTGCTGCTGAGTTTTAAAACACCGTAGTGTCACTGCTGGACTGAAAATAGTCCACCAACCAAAAATATCCGACAGTGTCCTGAGGGCAACATCCTGTGACCACTGGTGAAGGACTGTTGCTGCGTGAAGGGGGTCAGAACGCACACTATGTTGCTGTGCATGCTGGGGACTGTTGTGCATCTGAGGGTGAAATGGGCTAATGAGAATAGAAAATTCAAATAATGTCATAGGCCGAATAGGACTGTGTCACGGGCCTGAAGAATGAAGAATCCAAACCCCAACCCAAACCAGGGAATTAGCCATATGTCTGGAGAATTGAAGTTTATTCTTGCACACAGGTACCAGACACCTAGCCAGGCCGTGAATCAATGGACTGACACAGTTTTATAGCTGGACTGATGCCAAGATTAGACCCAGCTTATATATGACAAATGACAGGTAGGAGTGGCTAATAGAGTGGACGGTAAGTAAGAGCAGCACTGCTGTGTGTGATCCACTCGCACCAGCCCAAAACACAGTTAAATATCACTCATTCTTGGTACCTAAAAATATTTTTTTCTCTTTAATTCACTATTAAAACATTCAGAGTGGTTTAATGTGAAAAGTATGATTCTAGAGAAGCTTACCAAGTCAAAATTGTTCACAGAGGTGGTGGTAAGAACCTGAGTTCTCATTGATTCAAGCATTTTAATGCCTCTAAAAGCTACCTCACGGAAAGCTAATACATAAAGCAGTTGCGAATAAGCTGCCTGGTTTCTGAGACATTGTTTTATGAAAGCTTTCGGCCTCATTTTATTTTTTTCAAAATAGCAAAAAATACTCAAAAAACACTATTGTGTTGTTGACATCTTAACTTCTGGTTCCTATCACTACAATGAAACATTTCACAGCAAACCACTTTGCTTACATTGCAACAATTACACTAAAATTTTGAAAAATTGGTGGATTTCTCCTTCAAAATTCTGTCTGTAAACACTGTATTCAAGCAGACAACTTCTAATGGCCACCATAGCTTAGATGCCCTCTGAGTTCTGGTGTCTCTTTCCACCTCATGATTTAACGTGCTACTGTTAGGGGTTAGTGTTAGTTTACCCTTTATGCTGATCTGAGACCAGCATTTCAGCCTTTTATATCATAATATCAGGTTTGTGTAGGGAGGCTTGTCTCCACACCTGCATGAAATGACAACCTCCACTGTATAATCTAAGGTCAGAGATTACTTTATTGGCTCGCTGTCTAATTCTTGTTTTTTGTCTTTTTAACTCTGCAGTTTTATTTTCAGCACATTTATACTCTGCCTTTTTTCTAATTAGCTTAAGAAAACCAGGTGAAAGTTTGAAATGTTTTTGAAACTTTTTGCCCAGTGAGAAAAAGTTTAAACAAATTGCTGAGCAGGCATTAAACATGAGACTGCATTTCCTCATAAACACAGACACAAACCATGGCTAAATATATATTACACCACATGCTTCTGTGGTTTAAGGATGCATGCTCTGTAGAGGAACTGTTTACCTTATTCTTAAGCACAATAACATCCTTCCTTAGATCTCATGACCTGAACTTTTACCCCTAATCTAGTGACTCACTGTGGTCGCATAATACTTTTTAAGGTCTGAGGTCTTTCTGTTTAACTGTGTAAGATCAAGTCTTGTTGTCCTGTATAGACTGTGCATCTGTCAAGGCCTGAGAGCATAAAAGACCAGATGCTCCAAAGGAGAGCGTTTGGTGAAGGGCTACACATTACCTCCTGTAATCAAATTTGCATCTTTTTAATATGGAAAGTCATTCAGAGTCATCTGATGTGAAAATGCTCCATTCAATAGAAACTTACCAAGTCAGAATTGTTTACAGCGGTGCAAATAGCTTTATAGCTTCTAAAGGCTGCCTCAAAGAAGATTATTAAAAAGTTTTTTTTTTTTTTAAAGCTGTTCATAATGCAATGGCTGGTGCAGTGGGTAGCGCTGTCGCCTCATAGCAAGAAGGGCCTGGGTTTGATTCCTGGCCAGGCTGGACAAGCAGGGTCCTTTCTGTGTGGTGTTTGCACGTTCTCCCCATGTCTGCGTCGGTTTCCTCCAATTGTCCAAAGACATGCAGTCAGGCCAATTGGACACACTAACGTGCACCTAGGTGTCAATGTATATGTCTGTCTGCCCTGCGACGGACTGGCGACCTGTCCATGGTGTTTCCTGCCTTCCGCCCGATGACCGCTGGGATAGGCTCCAGCACCCCTTGTGACCTGAAAGGATAAGTGGCTTAGAAGTGTGTGTGTGTGTGTGTATTCATAATGCAGAGATACATGCAGGGTGTTGTTGGCAAAATGGTCCCAAGAAGAAAACACGTTTTTAAGATACATCACTATTTCACCATTCTCAACAACATTACATCCACTCAGAAGACCTATGTTCACTGGTTGTTTTGGATAGCAAATTAAATGGCTGTCTACTGTAAAGTCAGTATGTTTTGCTACAATTGACCATTTCACATCAAAACAATCAGAATGACATTGTATAAAGAATTATGCAGAAATTCAAATTTAAATTATGTTTAACTGATTATTCTGTACTGCGATGGACTGGCGACCTGTCCAGGGTGTATCCTGCCTTCCGCCCAATGACAGCTGGGATAGGCTCCAGCACCCCACCATGACCCAGAAGGATAAGCGGTTTAGATGATGGATGGATGGATGGATGATTATTCTGTATTATTCCTTTAGTAATGCTGGGTTGTTTTATGGAGTTAATAACTGGGAAGGGGGCCTCAAGGGCAAACGTTTGAATACATCTATGACAAGATATAAAACATGTCACTAAGTATGTCTTCATTGTAAGTGCATGAACTTCCCAAGTGAACCTTGCTCTGAAAATGTGCTAAAAGCTTTCTTTTTCTAAACATGGCTCTGTGTAAGAGCTTCCTGGATGCTGTGGGTACAGTATACTGTCCCTCAGGACACGCTCAGCTCAGGCATACAGAATGGCCCACTTCCTCTAGATACATGACACAACACGTTTACTCCTACACAGATTTCAAGAGCCATACCAACATCACAAGCAAAACTCAGATCCATGCTGCATTACATACAGCTTATTTTATACGCTAACCGTCAGTTGTGTGCCCGTCAAAGCATAAAATAAAAGAAATATCTTAAGAACACTCTTATTAGAGGCAATGATCAACTTGTGTTATTGAACTGAAACATCACATCATCCCCCCACACCAACATGATTAAGCCCTTACTCGCTAGGTTTATTACACTATCATCTAATGTTCTTAAACATTATTATGTATAGTTATTTTTTATATGAATTATTCATTTTTAAGCTAATATGAAAGTTATGGGGGGAGGGGTGAATGTCTAGAGAAACTCATGGGACCTTGGAGTTAAAAATGTTCAAATTTTATATTATGTAACATCTGTTAGCAACAGACTGGTCTTTTTTCAGCACAATTACACAATTAGAAATCAAAAATTAGTCTTCAACACAGAGTACTCTCATCAACACCAGCAGCCAAAGAACCAGCTAAAGTCTAGAGTAGATCCAAGAAAAAGCACTAGAGTGTAAAATGAAAGGATCAATAATATTGAATGTCCACCTCAGCCATAACAAAGGCCACATAAATTACAGCTCACAATGAAATACTGACATTTCAACTATGCTGAAGAGCTACATCCTGTTCAGAGTGGCCAAGCTACTGCCTGTGTATTACGATCACAGATTTAGCCACAGCAAACACAACATTGCTACATCTCTCCTGGTGGAGTTTACTGGAATCAACACCGCAGATGCTTGAACTTCCAAAGTCCACTTTGTGTCAAGCTGTTCTGTTCTCTGTATCCCTCTATTTCCTCATTCTGTGGTGTTTTTCGTCATTAATAATGTGGGATTATGTGTCATGTCTTCTTCCCCAGACTGAAGAGACTCTTCAACATCTGGACAGGAGCAAAAGCAGTGCACTGGGCTGTGACATCATCACATAACTTCTTCCCTACATCAGCAAGCATGGGTCACCTGAGGTCAACTGCAGTCTGTGTGGCTGTGCTCAATGTCATTAAAACTCTCTTATCATAGCACACATGCCATCTATGCAATACAGATTTATTGCAGGGTGACATAATGCGTGCTGAAGCAGATCTGTGTTGTCGTCCAGTCTGACAAGTTTGGTGTGGCTTCAGGAACTTACAGTTTACACTGAAATTCTAGTCTTATCCTTTAGGAGGCCTAGTACATCAAGACTCCCAGTACAATAAAGAATAAGAGCTAAAGACCTGTTGAATTCAGCTGTGAGTGCACGTTTGACACCCAAAGATGAGTTTTGTTTTTTTTTGTTTTTTTTTTGGCTGGTCAAAGACTATTTCACACAGCTTTCACAGTTCTCACGTTACACCACAGTTCTCACTGAATGCTGCCAAGAGAATAGCAAGAGAGGAAAAACATGGAATGTGACACGCTCCAAATCTGTGTTTGGTCAGTCAGGGTTAACTATTATGGTGTGGCTCTGTCTAATAATATTGCTCTTGTGCTCAAATGAAAACAAATACGCTTGATATCGACAGGCAATGAAAAATAACCACTGTTTGGAATGCAGAATGAAGGTGAGTCAGCGTAGGTGACCTTTGGCTGTTCTAACATTATCTTGTCACTTGGCTCTGCGCTCGGTCTTCGCGACTGCATTTCCCATCAGCATAAAGTAACAAAAACATGCTGATTCAATCATACTCCTGCCCAAAATTGAAGTGCAGCATGTTTTACCACCTTCCCCTGAAATTTGCAGTGTTCAAACACCTTTAGCAGAGTGAAAGATTTTTTTTTTTTTTTTTGGTAGGAGCCCAAGTGGTCAAGGTCCAGGACAACTGAGTTTATTTTGATTTATTGCTATTCTTTATCTGGCACAAATGGTTATACATAGTTTCTTGGGGCAGAACAAGAGCCAACATCTTCTGAATGTCTGGATGGATAAAGGTTAGATATAAAGCATGAATGTTGACTATTCCTTTGTTGTTTAGGCTCCGTTCCAAGGCATCTATGATATCATCATCGTTATCATCAATCATCATAATCATTATCTTGGGATCTTTATGGGACATCAACACTAGTTCTGAGGAACTCAGTCAAGCATCAGTGCTCATGGAAAAATGGGCCACCCAGGGGGTGGGGGTGGGGGGTTAGTTAAGGGTACTGATTGGAAAGACCCTCACAAAGACCGTTCAAATTCAGAAAGAAACCCTGTACAGTAAAACAAAAAAAAGTTTCAGAACTTACCACTGTGTAATTATCAGAGATAGTCTACTAATACAGGCTTATTTACTATCGACAGAAAAAAAAACATAAACCTAAAGCATTTTGTTGTTCACGGGGTTATTCCTTCCCCAGATGTTGGCCCGTTTTAGTACCCCAGGAGCTCATGGAGGAGGTGTTTTGGCGCTGCATGTGTTAGCCCTGTAAAAGCCTAAGCGCACACCTACCGTCTCGTGTCCGATAGTAACCCCGGCTCCGCTAGCGGATGCGCGCGGCTCTCCTATAAAGCCTTCGAGGAACCGAGCAGATGCTCTTTTTCAATGAGAGACGCTCACGTTGTCTGACCGGTCCGGGTCTAAGTGACTGAGAGAGAAAGTTTAAACCGAGTTTACACGGAATACACTGAATGCTCAAGACCAAATCATCAGGTGTATCACTGGAAAAAAGGTAACAGCGTGTCATGTCTTCTTTTTTCCCCATTTTTTGTCTTTCTCGTAAGGTGTCGCGAGTGACTGACTACGTGAAGCGGCTTTGAGTCTTTTTGTGTAACTTAGTTTCTCTAGAAAAGTCGAGCTTATGGACACTGAACTAAAGAACCCTGTGAGATTTTACACTGAATCGAAACAATACGCTGTAAAACGAGAAGTGTGGCGTTTCATCGCGTCGTTCGCCTTGTATTCGAGAAAAACAAGTCAGTTTTATGGAGTTAGCTAGCGTGTAGCATTACTGTCAGAGAAAGCTTCTGATGGAATATACATAAGCTTCATTTCGACTAGCAGCCCATCATTTGCCATTCACTTCTTGTAGAAGCTCTGGAAAAACGAGTGCACTTTGACTAGCTACCCTCAGAGCAAAAGCAGTCAGCTCTTAACACTTACAAGTGCTAAACTGTGCTATACAGTTTTAAAATGTGAAATATGTAACCTGGAGCTACCAGTATCTTATAAGTTAATAGCCTATATAGGCTACTGATAACGCTAATGAGAGGTATTCACAGTAGGTTGAGAAGCAGGTGGGTAGGTTTGGTCTGTGATGATCTTTGTACACTCTTTTAAAAAAGATGGTTCTTCAAGGGTTCTTTAGTAAAGAGAATGGTTCTGTTTGGAGCCATGAGTTCTATATAGAACCTCTCATGCTTCTTTGCATGGTGAGATGGTTCTTCTGATGAAGAATGTATTGTACCTTTTTGAAAATGGTTCCTCTATTATTACAATGTCAAGCTTGTAACAATAGATAAAGCCCTTTTGGTGTTACATAGAACTATTTTCATTCTCCATCATTTCACCATTAGAAGAACCATTTAAGCATGAAATTCTACATTGAACTCATGGTTCTAAACAGAACCACTGCCTAAATGGTACTCTTTTTACGTGTTTACACATATGTGGTATAGATTACAGAAAAGTGGGAAAGTTCTGGAAATTAGAGGCATATCAAAGATCAGTGGTGAACACCGGTATCTGATCACGCTGTACTGGAGCCTGGTTCTGTTTCCTTCATTCAGCTTCTTCAGAACACAGAAGTATATAACAGTGAGACAGTGTTTACCAGGGCCAAACATCTTCACACTCATATGTTCTTGTTAATATATAAGGAACCATCAGGTCATTGTCATATAGACAGTGAAATATAAAACCATGAATAGCCTTTCATTAAGGTAATGATGAAAGATTGTGAAATAATGAAAGAGACATTGCGGTACACAGAGCTCACTAACACTGTGGTTGATTGCAAATGAAGAGAATTGTTGCCGCAGTAATTGTAAACATTACTGTTAATTTGACTCTCATCAATATTTATTATGGTTGATTTAAGTTGGAAAATGTTTTTGTTTTCACAAGATGGTTTTAGTATTAGATATTAGAGAACATCTAGTAATATGGCTCTGCGTGTTAAGTAGGTGGACAGAAATATATCACGATGATACTTAAAGACACTTTCACGATACACAGCGTGGATCATAATATTTTGTTTTTCTGAGATTTTCTAAGTTAGAACAGAAAAAGAAAGAAATAGTAGTGCTACATTTAGAAAGTGCTATTGAAAACTATCAAGATAATGTTTTCAAAGCTTCACATGCTGAATCTGAATCTAATTTAAACGGATTAATTAATCTTTCTTTGTAATTAAAACATGCAGTCGCTCAGTGTTCTTTAAGTCCTGATGATATCTATATGATCAGAAAAACATGTCATAATTTTGCCCACCCCTAATATTAGGTCATATAGAGCATGCATGTTGTATGCCCTGAAATATAAAGCTATTCTTTATTCCAATTTTCAACTAAATACTTTTTAATTTAATTAGCAGTATAATAGATATATGTACAGTATATCTTTCTGCTCATTTAGAAGGAATACACTACCAAAGATCGGCTAAAACCTGGAATAAACAAAGAGAGTTTTTAAAGTGTCCCCTGTAACCTGATGGCTTAGACTAGCCGAATCTAGTCTATGTTTTTATTAGTCTTGGTCCTTCAGTTTCCTTCTAATATACATCATTGTTGCCAGGAATCTTGGGAAGGCATGGATTTCATTCACTCATTTGAGCAATGATGGATTTAGCTGAAGATCACACACACACTCTCAGCCCAGATGAATGGTTCCATTAGCATAGAACAGTAGAACAGATTTGCTTACAGACTCCCGGTGAAGCACTTTGATCAAAAGCAGCCATTGCTGAAGCAGCTACCTGGAGCTGTGAAATTCCTTACAGAACAATTCCCCAACAACACTGAAGTCCTTTGTTACTAGGAATTCTGGGAAGGCATGAGTGGGTGTACTTAAAATGGGATGGGGCAGGACAGGACAGGACAGGACAGGAGAGGAGGACAGGGAAAACGTGAGCAGAAGGGTTTCAGATAGGCTCCTGCACTTTGTCCTGGACTTTTGAGCTGTTCTGTTGGTTGCACTTGAAAGTCTTCTTTTACTCAGCCTGCTCTCTCACCGTGTCTCATTGCAGTCCAGACAGCTGCAGAGAGCAGCGTGAGGAGGACCTGAGTGAAGATGTCTATCTCCACTCAGCTGGGCCTGCTGCTGTGGAAGAATTTCACCTACAGAAGACGACAAACGGTAACTATACTAGAATTATTTCTCTTTTTTCCCAACTTTATTCACTCAATGTTACACATGAAGGGACACTAACGTCTATGTGTAACATTTCTCTAGCTAAGTGAAGATTAGACTGCAGGGTACAGAACAAATTGACTATGAACTAGACACTCAGGCACAACTTAACATTTATTCATTGTGGAGTATCTCTTTATATTAGTATAGACCACTCTTATGACTGCATTTTTATTGTGGTCTCTAGTGCCGTTGTCAATTACAGATTAAACTACTGTGAAAAGTTGTTTGGCCAGCTTGACTGGGGGCACTAAAAGTCCATCACATTTTATAAGACAACAGAATCTTGCTGACTCAGGAGTTATCAGTCATTAGTTATAAGGAGTTCAGCCAGCAAGGGTCACTCAACAGCAGGGCTCCAGGAATGGCCGCTGCAGGACATATAAGGGACAGATGTCCGTGACAATGCTCTGTCCTCCAGTAATCTGCAGGGTTACCCAGAGAGTACTTCAGTTCAAGAAGAAACAGATTCTGACACATAGCACATTTTTTTACAGTTTTGTTGTTGTTACTTGTTAGATACATTAGCCTTGTGTCTTCATTGCTTATTCAATGAAGCAAACTTTAGACACCTAGCGCATCTTGCCTAGGTGTGTACTGGTTATGAATTTTATGGTTGATTATAATTTCTTTACAGAAGAATCAGATGATGCATTGGATTAAATGTAAGAGGCTAAGAAAAACAATGAGTTATATATAATTATGCCACAACATTTTGGTATAAGCGTAGAAGCAACATTCACATACGACACGAGTGCATTTACACTACATTACACTATGATTGTGTGGAGCAAAAAAACTGCTGATTCTGATCTTATCCCTTGTCTTGGCTGATTAACTACATATGAGATAAGAAAAAAACTGTACACGTTTGATTTTCCACCAGACTGTTCTTTTATAATGTAAAAACAGTTTTCATTCCTTCATGCTGCCGAGTGGTTACATTGTGTACGGTAGCTCTAATGCATGCAGCTGCTGACTTGTGAAAATCTGAGATGCATGCATTTGTGTGAAAACAAAGTTCATGCCCAAAAGGCCAGACTGAGAGATGCGGTCAGGTGATCAATGACCAGCACTGAACATAAGCTGACCTTTCTAGACATCTATACTCAGCCGTCACTCTGCATATGCACTTTCTATATCTGGAAATGGAGTATTGATGTATGACTGATGAGCTTGTCATGTATTAATAATGAGCAGTATTAATAAAAGCCGGCCAATGAGAACCTGGCGGTGGAACATCATTAGAGTGCTGCAGATGCTTTGTTTGTGGGAGTGAAGAAGTGTGCAGGCTAAAGCCTAGGTCTTCTTGGAAGATCTATTAGCATGGGCCAAGCACTCATCTTTAAGGGGGGTGGATGGGGGTCTTCACTTAAATGGAAATGCTGATTTTTTTCTCCTCTCTTTTCTCTCCTCACATGTTTGCATTGCATAGTTCCAGCTGCTGATTGAGATAGTCTGGCCTCTTTTCATCTTCTTCATCCTGATTGCTGTGAGATTGAACTACCCCCCATATGAACAGCATGAATGTAAGTAAACACTTTGCTACAGAAATACAGTCAGATGTTAGGTAGGTTGTAGTATGTTTAAAAGTGAAAATATTAGACATTGTCCTCCAAACTTTTGGCTAGTACGCTAGATTATTTATCCAGAGTGGTCATCCATTTTCTGTTTTCTCCCTGAATTCCTGAGGTGACAGTGGAAAACAAAATGGCTTCCATATGTTGCAGGCAAAAAGACCTCTGTAAACACATCAACAAGCTGTGTTGTCTAATTAGTGCTTCGTCCTGCAGAACTGTTCTGCAGTTAAAAAGACGACAAATTACATAATAATGAAAGAAAAGGTTCTCTGCGAGAGAAAAGTGCACATTTGACAGGATTTCTTCGGCCACTACTGCATTTATGGTGTACACTTATTGAGCATATCAGGCATTATCAGTGATAACAAAGTGTATTTTCCTTAGTAGCACTTTCTCTCGATCAGAGATTAGGATAGGGCTGGTGTTATCAAGGACAAGCTGTACCCACTGGCATATGTACAGTATTGCACCCATTGGGTAAAATGACAGTTGCTCTGCCATATCATATTGCCTGCTGCAGGTGTGATTACAGGTGACAGATGAGTAAGAAATATTAGAAGGTAACCTTTAATAAAGACATTGCAATGTTTATGGCTGTTAATTCTAAAGTTTGACTGTTAGGATACATAATACATTCTACTCTATATGCATCTAAAAAGTTCAGATTCACCGCTGGCCTCTGTTTGATTTAGGAGAGAAATCCAAAAATTGTGTCAGAATTAAAGACTCATCAGCTTCTTGATATTAGAGCCAGTAAATGTATGAGGTGTTAACTGCAGTTGTAATGTCAGTGAAGAACGATTTATTGCAGCATGCTTTTTTATGGGACCTTATTGCTCTTCTAATCTCCTTGTCAAAGTTCCATATTCCATGAATGTTGTTCAGGACTACTCAGACACACTTGGCACGTTATCTGTGGCACAGGCATAATAAATAGACTTATGAGATAGCACATACTCAGTGACCTGAACTGTGGCATTTGCATTATTACTGTCTTTTGGATATAAATAAAAGTAATAATGGATGTTCTTGTAGCACAGGGTTATAGAAGATCATGCTGAATAGCTGTCAGCTGCTTCCTCGTGCCCCTGGAAGTGCCATTCACTTCAATTTTAAGCCTCAGAACACACCATGAAACACCTGCAATACAATGTATATCATTAATTCCCTATAATGTTGTTAATTTTCTGCAATAATGTATTTTACAAAAATGTAATTTGTAAAGCGTGTGACTTCCTAATTTGTACAGTTTAACCTTTTAAAGCAGATGCAAAAATGTGGATATTTCTGCCATTTAATCTGTTGTTTTCAATTAACCACATGAGGTCTTAATGCTGTTGCTTTATAAAAATATTTATTTGATACGTATGGACACAATCTAACAAAGCCTCAGACTTGTAAATAATAAGAGCACACCGATCCGATCTGTGCTCTGAACGCATCCAGCAATAATTTAAGCCTTGTGCATCTTTTATACAGTGATAGAAAGCATAATAAAAAACAGAAACCTCAGGTTCTGCATACTGATACATTTTTCTGTGGCCAATGTGGACATGCACACGCCATAACTCATCTGGCAGCAAGTTTAAGGGGCCATCACCATATAATTTCTCGAAATTACCATATGTATCCTGGATTGAAACATCATATCCCACACTCAACACTCAAAAACAAAAACAACACAGTGTATGGCCGTCTATTAGCAGGTTTTATTATCTTATAGTGAGTGATCATACTAGGATCGAGATTACAGAGGGAGCTCCAGGTTTAATGAATTACAGAAGATCATGTTTTATAATGACTTGTAAAAACTAGAGATATTGCAGGTTAAAATCACTAATCTCATCTATAATCACAAAAATGTCAGCATCTTCACAAGCAAATCTAATCCTGCACTAAAATGATAAAATATATATAAAATCTCAATCAGGCTCCTTGTAGCCATCACCTACTAACTAGGCAGCAAACATCTATGTGTGCCCTCAAATAATGATTCCACTGAGATCAGTTTCAGTTCTTTGGTGTCTTGTTGTGTCAGACACGCCAGAGTGAAGGATGTCATATTGAAGGAGGAAGCATTTTCTGTGTTGTATTTCAGTTCTCCATAAAGCCTGAGTCTGAGTGATGAGAGCAGAATAGTTTTCCTGTGAATCATGCAGCATGTGAGTCCTAGCATGTTGCAACTGCTCTGAGGAACGATTGGTTAGACAAATTTCCCTTTGCGGAGCGACCCGTTACGTAGCAGTAATCAAGTTGAGAACTATAATAAACAAACAATCTAAACTGTCCACAATTCTGATTAAAACGATTAACGTTTAAGTTAATGACATTGTAAAGAGGTTAGTTGATGATGTATTTTCGGTCATTTAAATTGATTGAGTGCATACACCGCATTCATGGTTAATCGGGTTGCTCTCTACCTCTTCAGGTATTATCTTATCTTATGCTGTGCTTAGCGCTGGGCCAGTTGGCAGTCTTAAGGTTGACTGATAGCAGACCTACTTTTTTGACTTGTCACACAAATGAGTGTTATTCTGGGGGGTCAGTCTTAGGCCAAAGGTCCAGCATTGTGCTTAGGCAATCACTCTCCCTTCGATAAAGTCACTCTACAGAGCTGGCTTCCTTTGCAAGAAGATTCAAAGGCGCTGATGTTTGCTAGCTTCTGTCCTGGCTCCTAGATAAGATGATCACAGGGTGCACGGATACTATCTGAACCAAGTGTACTAGCGTGGAAACAACAAAAATCTCACTGTTGCGTTTTTTACATCATGTCTGGAGCTTACACTGTAGATTTAAGCCTGATAAAATGGCATCATGATCCATCTGAATTCCCTCTCGGTTTACTTTTGTAGCTAAACAAGAGAAGAGACCTGTAGAAGTTGAGAGTTATATTATTACATAGTAGTGGGTGGTATGGCCAAAAATTTGTATGAAGGTATAAGTACGATTTCAGCCTATATCACTGTATGGTGTATTAATATGTATTTTTTCCCCAAATAAAACTAGTGTCAAATTATTCTGGGATGTCCTTTCATTCCTTTTCAACTATTTTTACTGTAGTAAATCTATAATATTTAAATTAAGCAAAATAGTAAAAACAGAAGTGAACAATATGTAGACAGATGTAAAAATTACTTTCTTTCTTAAGAAGATAAAGACAAGTGCATGTAAATATGTCTCTGAGCATGGCGAAAATAGTGCTAAATATTGTTTTATGTTGAAATTTCTTAAATCATTTGTCAAACCAGACTAACTTACCTCACACTGCAACTCATGATATGGGAGTTATCTGTGCTTGTTTGTGGCGCACTGATTTATAATGATACTGATTAAAACATTCTGTATCAGTAGATCCAAGTCTGAAGTTCTGACTTTTTTTAAGACAAGAAATAACAGAAATATGGTAAAAATGTAAAAGAAGGTTTTTCATTCCTTAAAGCAAAAGTGTACAGACAACACTTTTTCATCAAATACCTCCCCTTCTACTTATGAACACAAATAGATTGAAAGTGTAGAATCCGTACTTTCAACAGAATTTCTCTGCCTGTTTCAATAACCTATTAGAAAGAAATAATTCACATCAAATTACATTATGCTTTTGTTGTCGCTGCAATTTCTGCAACATCTAAGGGTTAATAATCAAGTGAAAGTTGTTTCAAATATTTGTTTAAAGACTGAAACTGAGGATCAGAGTGACTGGTCTTTCTCTCCCCTTCATTTCAATCACCCGATAAAGCTACTTTTCTTTCCTTGTTCCCACTCTCGTTTCTCTCTCTAGTATTGTGGGAACTCTCTTTTCTTCAGTGAAGCAGTTAATTATGTCAAGCCCCTCTCTTTCTTTCTCCCTCTGCCTGTCTCAGGTCACTTTCCCAACAAAGCCATGCCCTCAGCGGGCACTCTGCCATGGATCCAGGGCATTGTCTGCAACGCCAACAACCCCTGCTTCCGCCACCCCACCCCTGGAGAATCCCCCGGAGTCGTCGGCAACTTCAATGATTCTATGTAAGTTTGAAAACACGAGTCAGCACATGGCAGCAGCCCAACAGAAGATTACAATAATGTTGTAAACTGAATTACAATCAATTACACATTAAAATAACTAGTATTCATGAAAATAAAAGACATATGCTTGTGTTAATGTGCTGCTTTTACTTTTTCAGAATCTCACGACTTTTTTCTGATGCCAAGAAAATCTTACTGTACAGTCAGAATGATAAAAGTCTGGATGGGTTTAAAGAGCTAATCCATGCAGTGAAAGCTCTGCAGAACAACACTTCAGGTAAGCAGACAGTGGGTGTAACTTTCAAAAGCTTGGAAAAGTTCACATTGTAATGAAAGTTTAGGGATTAATCTCCACCGCTTAGTACTGGCAATCTATTCCATTTGAATACTGGATAGATGCCTAACATTTAACATGTGAATCCATGTGGAGCTGTAATGAGCTGAAACGTTCCTTTTGTATGTAGTGAAAATTTCCACTAGGAAAGGATGTGGGCGAATGGCTCTGTGTTCAGATCTTTTGGGCGAGCTGTGGCAAGTCAGTTTGTGTGGGTGAGGACAGGCGGAAGACACACACATATGTGCACACACCCTTTCCATTCAGTCCTCACGCGACACCTTGCTTCCCCTTACCGCTTACTGAGCAGTCTGAAACCTCTCTTCCCAGTAACACTTAAAGCTGCTCTCGCACACACCAGCGAGTGGTCTATAATTGTGTTACGTTGTATAATGGAGGCTGAGTGTCAGTGATGGGATCCGATACAGTGATTCAACTTGCTATTTTTATAGCATGTGTAGTTGAGCATTGATGTGGCTACATTTCAGTGGACATTGATGCTTTTGGGCTGTCGGTGAATGGCAGAAAAGGTGTTGGCTAATGTACTTTATTAGTGTAAGTTGAGATGGCATAGATGTCATCAAGTCATTAATGATTGTGGAGGACATACACTACTGTGCTAAAGTCAAAGACCACCCTTCATTTATTGAACTCTCAGTCAAAATGGCCATTAAATACAAGTTATTCATTTTTTAGCATCAGGAAGAAACAGAAACTGTATACTTAAAAGAAAATTACACAGAAGCCTCAACAACTAAATTTAACATAAAAAGTTTCAGCATTTAGTGTCCACACTTTGCCTTTATTACAGATTCTATCATTTTTGTGTGGCTTGCTGTCAGTTTCTCAAAGACATCTATAGGAATATATTTTGCACCAGAGTTCAGTTTTATAAGTTGGTTGCAATTTCTGCTTCTCATGATCCATGTAATCTCAAACACATTCAATGATGTGGAGGTTTGGACTTGGAGGTGGTCAGTACATTGCTCTGAGAACACCAGCAACTTTTGAACTTTTCGAGTTGGCAGTTTTCTTCTTTTATCTGATGGTGAGGGTGTTGGTGGTCTATCAGGACTTGCATAGTTGTTAAAGTCCCATTTTCTCTTTATCTTTCAATCTCTCTTTTTAACCCCTTTGACTTTCTCATTCCTTGCGAAAGTGAATTATTTTACATCTAATCTCTTCAGAAATGTCTTCTGAAAGACTAATAACTTGTATTTAATGGCAGTGTTGACTGGAAATAAATGAAAGTTGGTGTCTGGCTAAGTGTTTGATTACTGATGCTTGTATTGGGTGCACAGTTCATTATAATACCTATGCTTGCGCACTGGAGTTGCAGCTTTCAACTACTGATAAAGTACTGCTCTCACTGGGATGCTACCCGCATGATCTTAACAGTTTATCTGCATTATCTTGTCTTATTTTTCATGGCCTTACATTTCAGCCCTGCTCCAAGTCACGTTAGGGGGTTTCAAAAATGTGCACGTGTTGCCATTAGTAAAGCTGCCTCCTTGCTGAATTTGGAATGAGAGTAGGCAAAGTAGAGGCAATGTGATATGAAAAATGCATAGGAAAAGAGCCTAACCCCCCACCCCCAATCAAACCACAGCTTCAGAAAGTGTGTCTCCGCCTCTTTACATAACAAAATGTAAGCTTTGAACCAGCTATGCAAGTATTGTGGAGCCTCTCCATGTTTCCTCATGCTGCGATTACATTCTTTTATGTCTATATTGTTTTCTCATGCATACAAACAGATGGCAGGGCACTTGAAAGCAGTGTGGGTCACCAAGTTTGTCATTATTGGCTTTAGCTGCTTAGCCAGTTCCGTTTAAACTCATTCACACCAGGATCACAGCTGTGAGGACTGTGGAATCTTTTCCGATTTATAAACAATGTACTGCTCGCCCTATTCTTACAAAGGTTTTTGATTTTTCATGAATATTCTTGGTTAGTGTTATTATTGTGAAACATATACGTCAGTATATTTGTTTAGCTTGCTTGAAGATTAAGCCTCCGCAAGCATGTTGGTATCATGCATAATTCAGTATCTGTTGTCTGAGTGATATATGTAGCTACATGTCTTACTATTGATTTTTCTTATCTTCTGGGACTGTAAACTTGAGTCTACGTTCTCGTTGAGCAGTTAGATATCTTCCATAACACTGCCGTTCTGCCCTATCTGAAGTGCAGTGGCCTATTACTAAAAGTCTACTGACATGCTGTTGTAAGCACTTAGCCATGCCAGAAACTCAGTAATTCTTCTCTGCTGTTCTCTACACTTCTTGATTGTGAGTTATTGAGGCCATATATTTTAAATAGTTGCCCCTACTCATAGTCTGCATGTTAGCTTTTTAGCTTTTTCTACTCCATGGCATTTTGGACCATTGCTGTTGATTCATTTGTCATGAAATGTTCACACAACAGAGAAGCTGACATTTCACCCTTGGTCTTTCGCATTGACTCCACAGTTTATTTGACTCTTCACCAGCATTACACCTTATTCTAGTTCTAGTAGGGTGGATTCAGTGGGGAAAGGCTTTAACAATTCAAGAATCTGTCGTCTCCTGGAGCCTTTGCCCCCCTCCCTAAGAATGGAGAGTGGATACACTTCCAGCCTTTGTTTCCTCGAGGAGGCAGACAGGGGAATGGGGGCATTCAAGACAGCGAGGCTACTCTGAGTAGAGTTTTTAGCAGGCTTTTGTAGGGAAAGGTGTGAATGGGCACACTTTACAAAATTCCATGAAAGCTCAGGTGTGATTTCTGGAGTCCCAGGTACTTTACACAACAAATGCAATTTATTTTTCAGAACGCTTAGAGAGGAATTCCACCAATTTTCTCCATAATTCAATCATTAAGGTGTAAACAAAGTCATCCAGAGTAGTTTAATATGAAATATTAAATAATTACTCATATGAATTCTAGATAAACTTACCAAACATCTGAAGCATTTGAGGGCACAGGGCATTGTTAGACATAATAGTACCCAAAGAAGAGGTGTTTTTTTCAGATTTATCACTGTTTTAGCATTCTCAACGTTACGTATAAAACTCAGTGCACATATGTAGGTTCACAGATGATTTTGAATATTAAATAAAATGTCTATATTTGCATTGTAGACATTGTGACTTCTGGTTTACTACCACTGTAAAGAGCTAATAATTTTCTCTATTTTATATCAAACCACTCTGAATGACTTTCTTTATATTTTGACCAATTGGGGGAATTTCTCTTTAAGGTCTTTGCACATAATATACAGTTTCTTTGTGTAATTATTCATTATTGTTTGGGTGGTTAAAGCATTATATTTGCTACTGATCAATGTTGTCTTTGGTACTGGCAAGATGACAAACAATATAACAGATTGGTTATGACCCACCAATCACATTTTTAGACAGATATCAAAAAGCATTAGTTTGCCTTCTGCTTGGTCATGTGTGGGGACAGAGGTGTGGGGATAAATATGGCAGTGAAATTCTCTGTCCTTTCACTTTTTCAAGTTAAGAGTTTGTTGTGGCGTCTATTTTTAGACATTTTACCACAAAGTGTTCATGTGGTCTTTAAATGTTACATAGTTTTTGAACTTTGAAAACCATTGTTGTTACCATAATATTAACAAATAATTATTACCAATTATTATTACCAAATCATTCACTTTATTTAACAGTAACTCTCGACTGATAACCATAATAAAACATTTTAAATGCTTAAAGTATTACAAACACACAGAAAAACTGTAGAATCTTGGACATTTCTAGACCATTCTTGAATGCCTGTCCCCACCAGAGTGCATGGCTGATACAGTGAACCTATGGCTCAGCCCACGTCTGTGGCATACCTCAGGGATCTGCTTGCTCAGGCATGCACTTGAACTTTAAAAGATAAATGAAACCTAATCCAGAAAGCAGGAGTGCACACAATGGTCCTACACCAGAATGAGTATCTGAACATTCAGCAAGTGAGCACATGTCAAAGGATTAGGGACATGGTAGGTATGCACACGAAGAGAAAATTGTAGAAAATGGGATAGCATTTTCCTGAATAAATCTCAAAATGAGTAGGTGGATCTGTTGAAAAATAATATTTGGTCAAGTTGCAGGAAATTGAACTAAAGCTATTACAAGGTGTTTTTTTCAAGGCACATGTTAAAACTGTATTTGTACTCTTCAGGTTTCAGGCTTAAAGATTTCCTGAATGACAACGAGACCCTGTCCACATTCCTCATACAAAATGCTTCCTTCTCTGAGAATACTGTCCAGGACATTCTGAAGGCAAATGTGAACCTGGAAAAGGTGAGCAGTGAAATAACAGGTTGACGTCTTGATCCAGTTCCTTATCTTCAGTGTGTGCCATTACAGCACAATAAATTCTTTGACCGGTATAGTTAAAAAAGTTTAACTCAAATAATGTATCTGTCTTATCAAGTGTGATGTAGTTTCTGTGGTCCATATGGTATTTAGGACATGCTTACTGTTTTTCTTGATCATGTTATTATTAGACTAGACAGTCGGGCAGTAATTGTCTCCCTAAGATCAGCTGTGAATGGCTGCTGGCAGACAGATACCATTTACAGTTATAACTGTATCCTGAATACTCATTAAAGGTAGAATGGTGTTTGACCAGTGTAGGATGGCTTTTAGTTCAATAACTTTTGGTTCAATCAAAGAAGAATGGCTGGTGTCTGATACCATTGGCATTTTTACAGAATAATTTTATGCTACATATTCAGACATTATGGGCCTTTGAGCAACTGCATGTTTCATTACAAAGAGAGCATAATTAGACTTTTTAAGTAGATTTAGAGCAGTGTAATGTGGAAGAGTAGAATAAAAATCACTGTGCCTCATTCATCAACATCTAAGTTTTGTCTTAAATTTGTTCTTGAGAAAGATCCTATGAAAAAGTCCACATCAGATTCATGATGTGTTTTTAAACTGCAGAACCTTTGTGCTCTTGAGTGTGTGTAGATTCTGTTCTGACATAAGAACAAATTCTATATTAAGAAAACACTGGTAAATGTCAGAATCTTTGTGAAAACTGCATAAGTGGATTTAAAGAAGAAATTTCTTATAAAGAACGGTTGGTGAATGAGGCCCATTGTGTTCATAGTTTTTGAGTACTTTTTAAAAGTGACACTACCAATGTAAGCTTCATAAAAATGAAAAATTGTGGTGCATATCATGTATCATGAAAATATCTAGAAATATTTTGAGGTTATAATTTTGCTAGACCCCTCACCACTATGTTCAGTTGAGAAGTAGCCTCATTGTTATCACAAAGACAGCTTATGTACCCTGTTCATCCTTTCACTCCATCAGAATCAGATATGCAGATTATCACCCTTGACTTTTTTTCCTCCTGTTTCTCTGGCCCGGCATGTCTCAGGTGCTAATGAAAGGCTTTGGGGTACATCTGAAGGACATGTGCAACACCTCCAGCTTGGAGGACTTTGTAAACATCACAGACAGGAAGGTGGCCAAGCTGACCCAGGACATCATCTGCAGCTCCTCACAAAACTGGCTGAACCAGGCCGAAAAACTCTTCATGACCAACCTAGACTTCTTCAAGCCTATAAGGGTAAGAGAGGAAAATCAGAAAAAAGATTGTACATAAAACATATTTTTGGTTCTGACAAAGCCCTTCTGAAGTGACAATATATACTATACATATTTTAAAGTTACAGTCTACTGTTATGTTTTAGTCTGTTTTAGTAGCTTTTAATATTTGTAAGAAAGTAATGTGAAAAAAACCCACATTGAAAGACAATAGGCCACGTTTCTATAATAGAATTAGTGCTTCTTGGTATTTGCTATTTTTTAAACTAATTATTTGAAAGACTATTTAATCAGATTATTACATACACCATTATCTCAACAACACCTTTGACATGGTGTTACATATGGTGTTGCACACTGTTCGGCAAAATACTTTGAAAAGTGGTGATAGCTGAATACTGAATACACTGTCCTAAATGTATTCAGTAATACATTTCTTTACAATACACAAAAAGTAACATATTCAGAATACATTTAGAATGCATTTACAATACATCTTGGAAAGGCAGATGAGATTTTTTTTAACTTAGTAAACACATTCTCGCTGTTACTGGTTGGCAGTTTTATTCATGTAATTATTCTGGCAGTACCTTTCATGAAAAAACTCCTTATCTTTTAAAAATCAGAACTTTTTTTCTCTCTCTCACCACCTGCTTCAGTCCACTGCTGCTCCCACAGTTCCCCGAGCAGAGATCCAGTACAACACTGATGCTAAACTTATCACTTGCAAACATGTCCACTACTGAGAAGATGATTAGTTTTATCATTCCTTGAAAATAACTCAGTAATACTGAGATTAATAACAGATAACCACATCGATTTATCCATCTACACATACTGCATTTACAAAATGTAACTTGGACCGAATACAGGTGATTATAATCGTTTTTGTATTCTGAATACATATTCCCATTGCTAGTAATCCATTACATCCCAACCCTGGTGTTACAGTACAGAGACCACTCTTCTTTAATTTTTCCAGTTAAAACAGCCATGAAGTTCAAATTGTTTGTTTGTCAAGAGACATTGCTGAGGACATCAGATATAAGATAATACACTTGCAAAGTCAAAGGAAAATAAGTGAAAAAAGCAGGAATTTCAGTGTGAAGTCATTGTTCATTTAAAATTTCTGAAAGCCCCTTGTTTTTGATGGGGCTTTCATTATAGGTAGACTCATAGTCAGTAACGAGGAACCTAGACAGGTGACATAAATTAACCAGATGCTTGAAGAAGTCAGTGACTTGTTGAAAGAAATTACTTTAAATGACATAGCAGGAAAGGATTTGTTGGATTTCTTTCCATTTGTGTGTCTGTGTGTTTATTTGTAAGGGGAAGAGCATTAAAACCATGACCACCCTGCTGTCCCTTCAGGGCTAGTGAATATAGCAGGGTGAAGAGGCCATCATCTTGTCTTATCAGGGAACTTTATACTCACACCTCTCTGACCACTGTTGTTTTTCTTCTCTGAGACATATACCAGGTGACTGACTCATTGATTTGCACTTTGCAGAGAAGCAAACAAACTCTAGGTTGAAAAGAAAGAGAGAGAGGCTAAAAGAGAGAGAGAGGGAGAGATGGAAGGCCTGTCTTGGCTTGTTCACGTACACTCCCATGTTAACATGTAGCCTGGAGATACGCTTGGGAATTACAGCACGTCACGGAAGCTTCTTAGTCTTCTTCTTTGTCTTCGTCTTGTGTTGGTTTATCAAAAACCCACGAACATCACGTTGTGTCGTACGGTGTGCTCATCAGCAAAATCTGACAATGTGTCAGTGCAGGGGTTATGGAATAATGGCTCACTCCCAGGAAAAGCAGATACATTAATAGAGAGTGACTTACAGATGGCCTACAGATAGTTGAATCACTGGCATGTGTTTCATATTTTACAGTAGGTTGTGTGATACAACATTTATGGTTTTATTTTTATTGTTTACTCCCATTCAGTGAATGAATGCGGTCATTTAGATATTAATCTAAGATCTGACTTCACAGCCTTGTAATTTAGATAATAAAAAATAAAATCATTCTGAAAACAGTCAGGGCACAATGACATTTTATGTAGCAGTGAAGAAACGAAAAATGAAACCTACAAAAAGACACAGAAGGCATATGACAATAATAACACTTTCCTATTCAACATGCTTCAGAGTTTAGCGCAGGGTTTGTGTTCAAATACTTTTCATTATTATTTCATTCTTTAAGGCACATTATTTAATGTAGCACATGCTGTACCAAAATCTTTGAGATTCAAGATTCTTTTATTTGTTTTGTACACGTTCACTACATAGGAAATCTTACTCATCAGTTACAGAGATAAATACAGGATTACTCACAGACAGTTCACATCAGTTACAATAACAATAGTGTGTAGGACCAGACAAGACAGTGCAGGACAGATTTAAGGCCTCTACAAGACAATTTTGTGCAAAAGAATCATAACACAAGGGACAAGGGACATAACACAGACACACTACAAGTATGAGCATATCTCAGCACAAAAATAAGCATTCAGTCCAGTCATTTAAAGGCATTGCAGGCAGTGAAACAGTGATAAAGTAAGAAACGGTAGTGCACGGGGTGGGGGGGGGTCGGGTGCAGTCACCTATGGAGAAGGTAGCCTGCTATAATTCTCAAAAAAGAAGCCCAGTAAAATGAGTTGTGCATTAAGTGTGCATTAAGTGTGCATTAAGTGTGCATAGAAAGGGTGTCAAGAATCGTTAAAGTAGATTTTTTCACATTTTCAATATCTAATGTTTGAGATGTGAGCAAAGTCATTAAGAGTGGTGGTGATAGGAACCAGGAACAGAAATATTAAATTTCGTTTATTATCCAAAACCTCCAGTGAACACACGTCTTCTCAGTTTATATATGTAATGTTGATCATTGTAAAATAGCAGTAAATTTGAAAAATAAGTTTTCTGCGGATGCTGTTTTGCCTTACAAGACCTGTTTTAGCGAAATACGTTTTGGGCCAAAATGTTACGTTATATAATATCTTTTTGTGATGTAGAGGCATTAAACACATTGGATAGTTCCTTTCACCACCCCTGTGAACAATCGTGGCTTTGTACGTTTCTCTAGAGTGAAGCATTTCAAACCAAACCACTCTGAATGACATCTTAATGAATTCATTATGCAGAGATTTTGAAAAAACAGTGAAATTCTGCTTTAAGCTGGCAAACTGCAGATGGATAGAAGTTGTTCCTGAACCTGGTCGTGTAGGCCCAGTACCTGTGGCCAGATCTCAGTTTAGACAAGAGGCTGTGACCAGTATGAGTTGGGTCATGCAGAATGGTGCAGTGGAGTCCTATTCCTACTGTTGTCAAAGTAAATGGTCTCTATTGCTTTTAGAAAGGTACCAGTGATGCATTATACAGTTAAACTCATACAGTTAAACTCTTTGCTCTTTCCTTGCAGTCGGACGTAAGTTCAGGAACCAGTGATGCCCGTCAGGTCGCCAAGGCCACAGAAAACCTTCTGGAAAGCCTGGGTTCTCTTGCTGTGGAGGTACGCCTAACATGATCTAATACCACTCTTAAAGCTCATGTTAAATTAGAAATCACTGGAAATCACTGTGGGGTTACTGCTACAAGTTGAGACACTTAGAAACATGCAGTATGTGCATTAGCTGTGCTGTTGGCTTGGAAACTCCACTTTAAAGTTCACTTTCAGACCCCATGCAAACAGCACCTTTGAATATGCAACTGTTCAAACTGTGGATCTAAGACTAAAAACACATTTACACTGATGACTAAGAGCAGTTTTGGGATATGAAGAGCCTAATGATCTAAATGATGAAGAATCCAAGTGTGTGAATATGTGTGTGAAGGTGTATGTGTCTCTGCCACACCCACTGTTGGGATCTGGTGAACAGTCTGAACTTGACAAAGGTTCACTTTCCTCAACCTGACTGAAAACAATAAGTTGTTTTGGTCTCAGGCTTAAAGCAAGACAGTGTCCAATGTATGGTTTTCCTGCCTTTGCTAGTGGCCCCACCAAGATTTTTTCCATAGAAGCATCCAGAATGCACTCTTTTCATTCTCATCTTCTTCCCTTTGATGTTGCATAGTCAGCTGTACCTCTATGAACCTATAAAAAGCCCCAACCTGACATTGTTTAAACCTTCAGATCTGCTTAACTAACATCTACATGCCTACAGTTTTGTAGCTTGATTTTACCCCTAAATTTCCCCTTGTGACAAATTTTCTCAGTCGGAAGTAAAGTTCCTGGTCAGGAAACAAATCAGTCTTTAGCTGGATCTGGATCTGAGCTTGAAGGGACTGAAAAAAGTGCACGCTGATATGTATACATGGCAATAGAGGAGCTGCTTGTTGAATACTGGCAAATGTGTGAGTGCCTCTATAATTTCAGTGCCTTTATAACCAGAACTTCAAGGCACTCACTTTGCAATTTTAGGTCAGCTTTCCAACCCCATATTTATCCACATTTTGCATTTTCTTGTCTTCTTGTCTATGCAGTTTTTGCCATGGATAATGGTGAGATTTGGGATTTTGAGTGCTTATTCATAGATAAATCTTGTTATGTGTGCAGTACCCTTTTTGCCTAATGTGTTTTGCCTACACTTCTTTTAGGATTTTATAAGTCATGCCCTGCATCGGGTCTTTTTACTGGATTTTTTTATTGATCAGTTAGAGCATTTGAAAGTGCGAGTTACTCCAGTGACGACAGCAACTGCTGGGCTGCTGGAAGCAGCAGTAAAAGTGTCACATTTTGCCTGGATGAGGCTGTAACTCATGCTGTGGTTTTTGTGTGAAGGGGGTGGGGGGTGGTAGAGGGGAAAGTTGTTTCAACTCTCAGCTGGACAGAGCTACGACCAGGCACAGCTGAACAAGCACAAAAAGGGACACTGAGTGAGTGAACAAGGTTGTTCTCTGAGACAAGGTTGCAAATGGTCAGCATTTGCAGAGCGTACATGCTTCAGACATTCGATTCACACAGTTTAGTTGTAAGTCTGTGATCTCTATGCTCGGACAAAAGCTTCTCTGTCTTCTCCCCGTCCTGGAGCAGTAGGGAAATCCTCAAACCACAAAATACAAGCACTTCCTTCTGGGTCAAAATGGATCCATTGGACTTACCCATGAACTCTAATAACCTTTTTAACGTGTCTTTGTGCTGCCTGGCTTGGTGCAGATATTTACCAGAACTCTGTATTCGAGACCTTTTGGAAGAATTCAAAACAATCCTGTGAGCTTGACCTTTCTGCTAAAGGAATAATTCAGCTGAATCTGTGAGTAGGGTGGCCTGGTTTTGGAATGGACAGTCCTGTACTCCAAGGTCCAGTTGGTACCAGAATCGACTGGACATTTCAGTGTCCAGTTGAGTCTAATTCTTAATGCATTCCATTTGTGGAGGTAGGTAAAGAGCCATTCTAGCCCTGCAGATTGAGACATATGCCAAATTAGGCTATATGGTATTAAAAAGATAATCCGACCAGGTTTTTCTCAATTACAGCTATTTTAAAAAGTAATTGAATATGAATCTTAATTGTTTAATGCAGAGAAGATAGTGAATAACACATCCCATGGTTTTACAAATATAACATTTATTTATACGTTTATTTATACAACACAGAGTTTAACCTCCAATGTCCATTATAGAAAATATGATGAAAAATGTTAAAAACAACCAAATAAATCAAAGAAAATAACCAAACTGTTTCAAAACACATGATACAAACTTGTGGTCTACTTGTTAGCTACATTAGCTTTGTAGCTCCCATGCAAAACTGAAGAAGCAAACATCAGACACCAAACATGCTTTGGCTGATGTTTAAATTTAAGATAAGGACGTGTCCATTTGATTTTTCACCAAATTACTCCTCTAAGTCCAGCACTTGCTCAGTACACTTGACAGATAACTGCCTAAGGACACATCTCACTTTATGCTATTTTCTCTACATCTGTATTTGTTTGTGTTCGGTGTTATCTGTGTTGTCCTGGGACAGTGCAACAGCTGTTTCTCCAAAACGCCCTCCCTCTCCTCTCTCTCTCTCTGCTTGCATGCCCTCTTCTGTTGGTGCACTGTTAGACGAAATTGGAAGCATGTGACAATTTGGCTTGCTGATGTGGCTGAGTGAGTCAGATGGGAGCTAACAATTTTCCTCAAGCATATCAGCAGTGCTAAAGCTGCCTGTGTCATGTCCCACACCTCTGTGCCCTCAGCTTTAAAGGGAATGACCGACAGTAACTTTTCACTCCTCTCCTGTTTGTCCCTGCTCACAACTCATGTTCTCGTTGACTCAGGACTTTGCAGGGAAAACACAGGAACAGGAAACGAAGGAGTGTTCGCAGCTAGGTCAAAGTGTGTCTGCTTCTCTTTCCTCTCAGTCGGTCATTTGCATCTTTTTTTAGTCATAATTCTTTTGATTGTCTTTTGTTTCATATAAGAGCACATCCTGCTTATGTTTGCAAAAATATCATATAGAAGAACAAGCTTATCAAGGTGCTGTGTTTACTTGACTGGAGAGTGTTCAGTTTGGCAGGCCCTTAGGGCTGTCACTCCCTCTTTCAAATCATGGTGAATAGAACATAAAACATGAGTCAAACAACAGCACGAGAACAGTGGAGACCTGAACAAATACATTGCTCACTGGTGTACACAAGCTTAACAATCCATCTCACCTGGCCACCTGCTAAAAAGGACTTTCATTTTGATGTAGACACACAGATACTATAGGTCAAAAGTTTAATTTTCTAACCTTGTAAAATAAACATAAAATTTTCATTTTTTCAAGAGATAACAGCCAATAATATATATATATACATATATATATATATATATATATATATATATATATATATGTGTGTGTGTGTGTGTGTGTGTGTGTGTGTGTGTAAGGGATCTATTTTGGTTCGTTTTATGAGCCAAAATTTTTAAAGCATCAGCCAACAAATACAATAACATCTATGTGCTCTTTACCCAAAGCTTGCACTTTGCAAATAACTGAAAAAAAAATAGCCAAATTAGACTGTGTTTCCACCTGCTCTGTACAAGACAATACAACTCACTATGATCTACATGATCTTTTATTTGAAGACTGAGACCAATTTATTAAACAAGAAGAGTCAGATGTGCTCTGGCTTGTTTAAAATGAAAACTTTCAGCCACAACAGGCCCTTTTGAGGATAAGACTGAACACCCTGGTCGAAAATCACTACTGTTTACTTCTTTGATAAGATAAGGCCACATTTTCATTTCTTCAGTAGTCCACTGGTACCTGCTACCTTCTACCTAGCAATGGCCAGGCAAGAACAGGTTCACCTGATCAGTCACATGGCTTTATTTTATTCTCATTTACATTATTTATTCAGCAAGCGTGCCTCTTTCGTAATTTATTGCTTTTCTTTTTCTATCAGCAAAATGTGTCTGTACAAAGTGAGTGTGCAAACGTCTGTGTGAATTTTGGCATTTCCCATCCAATTAACTTTTATTTGATATATCAGAGTATATGTGTGAACATAAGTGGATGGAAACCCAGCTACTAGTGGATAGGCCTTACACATGCAAAGATGTGGGCTCACAGTAGGCAGATGCAGTTATCTTCATTATTATACATTTACATTAGTTCACATCATAAAATCATAACACAGATCAGCCAAATTAAGAGTAAATCAAGCAAATCTCGGCCTGATTCTCACATTCAGATGCTCCTGAAGGATTAAACTATGTTAGTAAACATTTTTTTGTTGTGTTGTGGTAATTGTTGGCAGATTGATTCAATTATATTCCTTATTACATTCCAAATATTCCTTACTTGCTTCCATACTTTTAGCATGTAGTACAAAGAACGTCTCTGGGCCAGTGAAGACCAATATTCTGATCACAGTATCTGGCACGCTGTGATCTGTGAAAGTTCTCGCAAAGTGATTAATTTCTCTGTGCTACAGAGTTACAGAGCTACAGTGCTTTTGGTCTGATACGTTTCTTCTCAGGCCTCTAACCTCTGTAATGTTCCTACAGCTGGCCAGCATGCGGAGCTGGAGTGACCTGCGAAATGAGATCCTCTTCCTCACCCAGAATGCTACCGGTTCACCCAGTCAGATGTACCAAGCTGTATCCCGAATAGTGTGTGGACACCCCGAAGGTGGCGGGCTCAAAATCAAGTCACTTAACTGGTATGAGGACAGCAACTACAAAGCCCTGTTTGGAAACTATAACAGCAGTGATGAGGAGCCGGTCTCAGTCTATGACAACACAACCAGTAAGCACTCTCCAGTGTCCTGTTAGTTTATCCCTAAAACTGAAGTTATTAATCTTACTTCAGTACCTATTCAGGAATCACTCTAAATTATGCAGCATCATCTATGTTCTCTTTCTTTTTCTATTTTAAGTCTGTTTAAAAGAATTTGTAGCTGGAAGCCATGCTGAAAGGGGCCATGCTGTTCAAAGGCTCTGAATATGTTAAGATTATGAATATTTTATACTTTATGTTTTCTGAGACTGTCAGAAATACCTGTTCCATTATGTGATTGCAGCTCCCTACTGTAACAACCTAATGAAGCACATGGAGACCAGCCCCATCTCTCGCATGATCTGGAGGGCTCTGAAGCCACTCCTAATGGGAAAGATCTTGTACACCCCTCATACACCTGCCACACAGAAGATTATCCATGAAGTAAGCAGCCTTAGCTTACCGAGCCCCCAGCCTACTGTTAATGCTTGCAGAAGAATTATTTATTGTGATTAGTATTAATAACAAAAGAGTTTTTTATGTCAGTAAACTGAAATCATGTATGTCATCTCATGGCTAATTATTTTAATCATTGTTATCATTAATATTAGGAGAACAAAGTGATTTTACTTCTTTAGCAAGTAAAGCATTTCTCTTCTTCTAGGTGAACATGACATTTCAGGAGTTGGGTGTCCTCAGAGATCTGGGCGGAATGTGGGAGGAGACCAGGCCCAAGGTCTGGAACTTCATGGAGAACAGCAAGGAGATGAACCTAGTGCGGGTAAGTTCTGCATTTTACTCATCACTGCCCCCCTGTGGCAGGCACAACATCAGTGCATCTCTGAGCTGAGCTGACAGACACAATTGCTGGTGTTTAATCTACGTAATGAGCTTTAACCTTGCTTTTTTGTACACAGACATTACTGCAGAACAATGCCACAGCCACTTTCTTCAGCACTCAGCTGACTGGAACTCAGTGGAGTGTCCAGGATGTTATCAGTTTCCTGTCCAAACAGTCGGAGGACACACGCTCACATGGGACAGCGTTCACATGGAGAGACGTCTTCAACGAGACTGACCAGGCCATTATGAGCATATCCCGCTTCATGGAGGTCAGTTTTTGTCCCTTTTCTTCACTTTTCCTGCTTAACCTACCGTCATAAATCCCTCCATGTCACAACAAGCAGTCTTTGTGTCTGTCAATTTTAAATGCAAAAAGAATGTTGTTTATTTGATCTAAATATACTTACAGTTTTACTACATTCTTCTAACTACTTTCCTGCAAGTGGTTGACTTTGATATAAACCAGTTACATGAACTCATGACACAGAAGAAAAGAAGAAGTGAAAGCAAAGTAGCAAGCAGAAATCTTTTATGCAGACCAAACAGCAAAATTGACATCATTCCATTTGGAAACTAATGGTTTAAATCTGTCAAACCAAACTACATGAAGATCATTTTTAATGATTGTGTTGACTCTCATTACAAAGTAATTAAGTCAATGAGTGAGAACCACTACAACAAAAGGAATATACTGAATGAGTGTCATAGTGAGAACCCCTAACTAAATAAATGTCTCAAATGTGATAATGTGTGTAAATATATTGTTTAAAAAAATAAGCTAAAGGAGTGTCTGGCACTGGTATATAATGTTAACATTAGCACACATATAAACCTTTTCAATCTGTGTGGCTATTTCTAAGCCCTCTAAGTTCTCAACACAAACTCTTAAATAAATAATGTTTAGTAAATATATTGAAATAGCAGCTAGTAAATAGGAAACCACTGTGTGTTTGTTCCTACAGTGTGTAAATCTAGATAAACTGGAGCCTGTGAGTACGGAGGAGAAGTTAGTCAACGAGTCTCTGGGTCTCCTGGACAACAGGAAGTTTTGGGCTGGAATTGTGTTCCCCGACATCGACTCAAACAGCTCAGAGCTCCCACCCCATGTAAACTACAAGATCCGCATGGACATCGATAATGTGGAGCGCACCAACAAAATCAAGGATGCGTAAGTCAATACCTCCCTGTTTACTTTATCCTTTAAAAGTCAAGCTATATTATTATCATTTTGTATTAATGAAGTACTGTAATATTATAGTAATTTCAAATCCTTGTCATTCATGTCCTCTTCTACAATAAATATGGTGTCAATTAAAAGGCTAGAATTCACATTTTTAACAGAATTTCTCCACTTCTTTTGATGATCTATGAGTGAGATATTATTAATATCGAATTACACCATGCTGTTATTATTGATCATGAAAACCGTGACCTCAATGGCCTAATGTTATTAAACCAGGTTAGCGGTGTAGCATTAATTTAATGTTAATTGTAATTTCTTTCCACTACTTCAGGTACTGGGACCCTGGCCCCAGAGCTGACCCATTTGAGGACCTGCGATATGTCTGGGGTGGATTCTCTTACCTGCAAGATGTTATAGAGCAAAGTATTATCAGAGCAGTAACAGGGACCAAAGAGAAGACTGGAGTCTACATCCAGCAGATGCCTTACCCATGCTATGTTGATGATATGTAAGTTTCTCTTAGTTTCCTGTTTTTCTAGATAGTCCTTGATCATTGGCTTTGTCTTTGTTTGCTTGTATTGTAGAAGTGGCTAAAATATTTGTAGACTGAATCTTTAAGGCATCATTTTTGTCTCCTTTCTATCTGTAGTTTCTTGCGTGTGATGAGTCGTTCCATGCCACTCTTCATGACCCTCGCCTGGATGTACTCTGTGGCCATCATTATAAAGAGCGTGGTGTATGAGAAAGAGGCCCGCCTCAAGGAAACCATGAGGATTATGGGATTGGACAACGGGATCCTGTGGTTCAGCTGGTTCATCAGCAGCCTAATTCCTCTGCTCATGAGCGCTGGACTACTAGTGCTTCTGCTCAAGGTAGCATTACTGCATGGATTTCACCACTCATCAGTTTCTTCCATGTAATTAGACCAATATAGTGTCCATGATTAAAAGAAGAAGATACGTGTGAAAGTTTAGTTCATACAGTCCTTATCAACAACTTAGCTAGTTTGCATTGTAGGCCATGTAATTACTGAATAATAAGACCCAGTATGTCATAAGCCTGGGATTTTAAAGGGGTTAAAGAAAAACCAATAGCCAACATGTGTCACTGTGCTATCTTGCTGTTTCTTAAACTCTTTAATTCATAACCCCTATGCTTATTGCTTTCGAAGGACTATTATTCGATAATTAAATGGAAATCAATGCAGACGGGTAAAATTATTCTTAAGTTATAGGAATGATAAATAGAATCATGGGTCTGTCAGCAGCTCCTGACTATTTATGGAGTTAATCCACTTCTGAGTCATATCCAGTCGAGCTCTTCTGCTGATTTTTTCTAGTGTATGTTAAATACAGTTGTGGTTTGTAGTGAATCCAGCTTAATTCCGCTGAATACAAGAATAATTGCATAGAAGACTTTTCTCAGTAACAATGACAGCATACTACAGAAGTTAAAATCCTACTACTTGCTTGAGGTTTCATAAAATTGCTTATAGAAATATAGATCAATGGTAAATACTTGAGTAATATGATCCCTATAATTGTTTGTAATTATAATTGTGGTAATGGATATTTACCTCTTTTTACAAAATATAGTAGTATTATAAACGTACTGTGTTGGATATTATTACTCTGCAGCTGTAGACAGACAGACAGATGACTGAAGGGTGTTGATTATTTATTAGTTCCAATTCTCTTTGCAGCACTTTCCAGATGAGGTACACTTTTGTTAGGGAACTGAGCAGAGAGTAAATCTGAATGACTGCAGCCAACCTAAATTCTGAATCCAAAATCTTGTTTTTTGATTCAGAGGATGATTAACTTGCATTTGAAACACATTTAAGTTAATCATCCTACAAGGACTTGCCCCATTTTCTAAATGATAAATAGATAATTATTGAACTTATTAGTCATGACTGTGTTTTTCTTTTCTTTCTGCAGATGGGGAACCTGCTCCCTTACAGTGACCCTGGTGTGGTCTTCCTCTTCCTGGGCTCCTTTGCTGTGGTCACCATCATGCAGTGTTTCCTCATCAGCACAGTATTTGCTAGGGCCAACCTGGCTGCTGCCTGTGGAGGAATCATCTACTTCACCCTCTACCTGCCCTACGTGCTGTGTGTGGCCTGGCAAGATTACATCGGCCTTCCCGCCAAAGTCATCGCTGTGAGTTTACAATCACCACTGCATGAGCCAGCAGTACTCCTGTAGCAAAGTGCAGTTGTGTATATGACCTCATAAGATTTCCAAGAGTGACTGTGCTGGTTTATCTAAGATTACACAAGCATACTGCCCCAAACTGCTCTGTTTATCTACAAGAGATGTCACTGCTCTTGTACCTGTGCAGTAAATGATAGAGGGTGCCAAGTCTAATTCTAGAGTAAAGAGACATTTTTGTATCATTATAACATTATTACTACATGTTTACTAATTCTATGTGACCAGCTTCTTATCATGTAACAGGGAATGAAAGGGGTTGGTGCCTTATTAGTCTTAAGTAAATTGCTCTTCTAATGGTAATTCCTCTGCTCTAGCTTTTCAACATTAACATTTAAGGACATCAGCATCATTGAGTGCAGTTTTCCTTTTAAAGAAGAGATTGAACTATATTCAAATATATGACAATAACAGAAATTTAACAGTACAACGTGTCATATTGTATTGTGTTGTATCACTATATCGTGGCTAGCATGCTAGCTTGTTGCTGGAGCATTAGTTCAGTACACTGTGAAGCACATCTTTCGTTTTTCATATATTCTACATTTATAATGTTGAATGCTCTAATAAACTAAAAATTAACGTATTAAAATATTAAAGTAAGGCACACTTTCAGCCATGCCTTATTTTGGCTGTATCAAATAATGTATTGAGACACCACTGTATCATATTGAATCAAGCTATGAATTACATCCCTACATATTAACTAAAATTAATATTAAATAAAATAGGAAGAATTGAAAATAATTATAAAAAGGGCTTATAAGGATGACTGTGTGAATATGTGACACTGTGTAACACTCAGTCCTGTAGCTCCAGCACTGACTGTCTTTGTCTTTGTTGTCTGCAGAGCCTGCTGTCTCCGGTGGCATTTGGTTTTGGCTGTGAATACTTTGCTCTGTTTGAGGAGCAGGGAGTGGGCATCCAGTGGAACAACCTCATCTCCAGCCCAATGGAGGAAGATGACTACAGCCTCACCACCTCCATTATCTTAATGTACTTTGACTCATTTCTCTACGGTGTCATGACATGGTATATAGAGGCTGTGTTCCCTGGTCAGTATGGCATCCCCAGACCATGGTATTTCCCTTTTACCAAGTCTTACTGGTTTGGAGAAGGAGACCAAAAACTGACACCCACTATACAGGGGAAGAAAGCAAATGCAGGAGGTAAGAACATTACGCCTGCTTGTGTGTTTTATGACATATGGTGTTGCAGGACTGTAAACATAGTAGGAATAAAATAATCCTTATGTAGCTGTAAATTTAGTGCTCCTCCCAACAGTATCCATGACTTAGTCTTTATGTTTATTTCTAGCTGTGTGCACTGAGGAAGAGCCTACTCACCTGGACATGGGAGTGTACATTGAGAACTTGGTGAAGGTCTATCACCACGGCAAGAAGTTGGCAGTGGATGGCCTGACGCTGGGCTTCTATGAAGGACAGATTACCTCCTTCCTGGGTCATAACGGAGCAGGAAAAACCACCACCATGTAAGTAGCTGACAAATAAGTGTTAAACCGTTGCATTTTAGAAAAACCTCATATAGTTAGCTAGTTAGCCATGGCCTTAATTGATTGGGCATACTTCAAGCACCAAACGTTAACCAAGACCTGATAAAAGAGCCTGACAGATGATGTTCATTCAATGTTTTAGGTCTATTCTGACTGGTCTGTTTCCACCAACCTCTGGCACGGCATACATCATGGGCAAAGACATCCGATCAGAGCTGAGTGCCATCCGGCAAAGTTTGGGTGTGTGCCCTCAGCACAACGTCCTTTTCAGCATGTAAGAGCTCTTCATATTTCAGATTTTTCTTTTGCATTAGCTGCACTCGATCATACCAGGCTGCATTTTAACAGATAAAGTGCTTATCAAAGTTCTTTCTTTTATTGCTGTCCAGTGCATTCTTAGAAAAAGAAAGGTCTTTGAAGACCTCCTCAGTTTCTGTCATTGAAACTGTTCTTCAACCTAAAGTTTGGTGTCAGTGTGGTTCTGTTTAGACTGAATCACTGGTCTCATAGATGTATGCTGTCTGTACAGGCTGACAGTAGAGGAGCATGTTTGGTTCTATGCGCGCCTCAAAGGCCTGCCTGAAGATGCAGTGAGAGCCGAGATAGATCAGATCCTGTATGACACTGGACTGCCACACAAACGCAAGTCCAGGACAAGTGAGCTCTCTGGTGAGTGGAATGGATCATACAGTGGATAAAACTGACAGGTTTGATGTCAGCCTAAATGTTGAGTGCTAATGATTGTTTTGTTAAAGGTGGCATGCAGAGGAAGCTTTCAGTGGCCCTTGCTTTTGTTGGAGGGTCAAAGGTCGTCATTCTGGATGAACCGACTGCTGGTGTGGACCCTTATGCACGTAGGGGCATCTGGGACCTCCTGCTGAAGTATCGTGCAGGTATGAGCTTCAACTCTTACTGTTATTAACCCTTAAAACTACAGTCTTATTATTCAGTTATTAATCTTGAAACTTACAAAGTGCTATAAAAGTTTTCAGTAACTACTGTAAAGCTATGGAGTTATGAGAGTGAGGAACTGAAACAACTCTATGGGTCAAACTATAAAACTATAGATTTTACACAGATTCCCAAAGGGTTTGTCTATATTGAATTAATGTTGTAACAAATAGTAACAAGTAGTAACAAATCTTTTATGAATTAGCTAGTCAAAACACATTACTCAGTGCAGTGCTGTATGTCTTCCTGCAGGCCGCACGATCATCCTCTCCACTCATCACATGGATGAAGCAGACATCTTGGGTGACCGTATTGCCATCATCTCCCACGGAAAACTGTGCTGTGTGGGTTCCTCTCTCTTCCTGAAGACCCATCTGGGAACTGGATACTACCTCACTTTAGTAAAGAAAGAACCAGAAGCTTCTCTCAGCTCCTGCAGAAACTCAAGCAGCACTGTCTCTTATGTCAAGAAGGTGAGATGTGCCTCCTGATATTGGAAACCTGGTTTGTTTTTACATATTATTCTTGTGTTCTTGAAGGATATGTGTAAAGATTTAAATTGTAACATTGAATGACATGTCTCTCTCAGGATGATGAAGCCTCAGAGAGCAGCTCAGATGCTGGTTTAGGTAGTGATCATGAGAGTGATGCTGTCACAGCTATTGGTAAGCTTTCAATCTGTGCTTCTAAGTTTTTCTGCTTTTTCAATTTTCAATATAAAAAAATCACAAAAACATGGGAAAAGTGTATTTATTTCATTGAGTTCAAATCATTATAAAACATCTCCTGTTCCACACACACATATAAATGTGGCTTTAAAAGTTTAAAATCTGCATTTTGAACAATGAGCTAAGAAAGAGAATAAATGAGACTAACATCTAACATTTGCACATTTAATTCTGTTATTAATCTCACTACTAACCCAATGTGTGCCTGGTTCTGAATGTACCTGCAGGCTCTTCATGGACTGACTCACCTATTGTTCCCGCAGACATCTCTCTCATCTCAGGTCTGATCATTAAGCACGTCCCCAACGCACGCATGGTGGAGGATTTGGGACATGAGATCACTTATATCATGCCCTATGAATCCGCCAAAGACGGTGCCTTCGTTGAACTCTTCCATGACTTGGATGATCACCTCGCTGATCTGGGCATCTCTAGCTATGGTGTTTCTGACACCACCCTTGAAGAGGTACAACACTGGTTTAACTGTGTCAATTGTGTTAAATTGCAGCAGAAGTCAAGATTTCCAAGGTAATTGTCCTTTCTCTTTACATGACTGTCTTGGTTTTTATGTTGTTTTTTTAGATTTTCCTGAAAGTGGCAGAGGACAGCGGAGTTGATACTGAAATGTTGTCAGGTAGGACTCTCATCCGTAAATTCACCGCAATAATTCAAGAGCAAAGACGAATGCAGTGAGGAACACACTGTGGAGGGGAGAATAGCTTGACTAATGCATGTGTTTCTATCTGCACAGATGGTACCCTTCCCGTACGTCGACGCAGGCGACATGCTTTCGGAGCTGACCACCAGAGCTGCCTTAAACCGTTGACTGAGGACGACAGATTTGATGGCAATGAATCAGAAGCTGACCCCGGTAAATCTTTTACCAATAAACCAGTTCACTATTAGATCAGTGCAAGAAATATTCAAGTTATTAAGTCTTTACAGCAAACATGTTCATGTCCAGTTAATTGTTATAAATTGTGTTTAACAGATCTTTTCCCAATTCTTCTGTACATTTTTGTTTCCTAGATTCCAGAGAGACTGATTATTTGAGTGGTTCAGATGGTAAGGGCTCGTACCAAATCCAGGGCTGGAGCCTGAAGAGACAGCAGTTTGTGGCTTTGCTATGGAAGAGATTTCTGTATGCTCGTCGTTCCAGGAAAGGCTTCTTTGCACAGGTGTGAAGTGAATAAAGTGTTCTCTCAGCAAAGAGTTTTAACACGCCACTGACCTCAGGCGTGATTCTCTGACAGAATTATGCTGAACACTTTGTACATATATATGTATATATATATGTATATATATATTATATATATATATATATATATATATATATATATATATCATGTATATACATCTCTGAATGCATATACAATCAATAATGTAACAGTTTATAGGCATACTCACTGAGATGTTTTAGAGGCATACTCACTGATTTATTTTTGTTCTGTTTTACAGATTGTTCTGCCTGCTGTGTTTGTGTGCATTGCTTTGGTCTTCAGTCTTATTGTTCCCCCATTTGGAAAATACCCCAGTCTTGCCCTGCACCCTTGGATGTATGAGGATCAAGTCATTTTCATCAGGTACCTATTTACCAACTTTGTATACACCTAGTCCAAGTGTAATCTTGAAGTAGTGTTAAATTAGCAAACACTTTTATGCATTATAATTTACAAACTAAGTACATTTTTCCTCACTTTTTCTAACAGTGACGATGCTCCTGAGGATGCCAGCACACAAAAATTACTTGGTGCTCTAATGGAAGGCCCTGGCTTTGGAACACGCTGCATGGAAGGAGAACCAGTACCGTGAGTAAATCATGATGTCAAGTTAATGAAACCCAGTTATCCACACTTACCCAGGAATAGTATGCTAACCTTGCCCTCTGACACCATGCTTGCAGAGATGCTACTTGCACTATGGGTGATGAGGACTGGTCTGTACCGGAGGTTCCAGAGAGTGTGCTAGAGGTGTTCAGGATGCAAAACTGGACCATGGAGAATCCCTCCCCAGCTTGTGAGTGCAGCTGTGATGGCAAGAAGAAGATGCTGCCAGAATGCCCTGTCAGCGCTGGAGGACTGCCACCTCCACAGATGAAGATCAGTGAGAGGGATACCCTCCAAAACCTAACTGGAAGAAACATCTCAGATTACCTTGTGAAGACTTATGCTCAGATCATTGGCAAAAGGTAATATTTAATTTGAACTGAATAAAACTAACTGGAGTGACTCATTGACTCCATAAATGTCTAATCTGTAATTATTTTTATACAAAGCATTAATGTAGCTGCACTACATTTTTCTTTTGCACAGTTTGAAGAACAAAGTCTGGGTGAATGAGTTCAGATATGGAGGTTTCTCATTGGGTGCTAGAAGCACTCAGTTACTTCCACCTGCTGAGGAGATAGATGATGCCATTTCTCGAGTGAGGGAAATATTTAACTTGGAAAAAGTAAGTTTATTTTTATTACTTGACATAATTATTATTATTCTCTCAACAATTAGTAACGTTGTGAATTACCATTTTTTTCCCTTGTATCTCCAGAACTCAGGGACAGCAGCTGACCGCTTCTTAAAGAGTCTCTCTGCCTTCATTAATGGCCTGGACACCAAAAATAATGTGAAGGTGGGCTTATGCAGCATTAAAACATTTTGACTATTTTTTCCTATTTATTGTGTCCTACACTAAAGTAGTAGGTGAATAATTAATTTAATCAATTAATTAAAGTTAATAAAGTTATTAATTCACACTAACGTTTTTTTCCAGATCTGGTTCAATAACAAGGGTTGGCATAGTATTGGAGCTTTCCTCAACGTGATGAACAACGGTATTCTACGTGCCAATCTGCCCCCAGAGAAGGACCCGAGTAAATATGGCATAACAGCCTTCAACCACCCTCTAAACCTGACCAAAGAGCAGCTCTCCCAAGTGGCACTGTAAGTGCAATATAACACTGATTGCTTTATATGACTATCAAATACAATTGCTCTAATCAGATGTTTAAGTTTCCACCTAATCATTAACAACTGGAATGTTATGTTTTATTTATCTTTAATAATTTGCTCCTATATTTTAAACTTTAATTATTTCAGGGTGACAACCTCAGTGGATGTGCTGGTGTCCATCTGTGTGATCTTCGCCATGTCCTTCGTCCCTGCCAGCTTTGTAGTCTTCCTCATCCAAGAACGTGTGAACAAAGCCAAACATATGCAGTTCATCAGTGGTGTACAGCCATACCTGTACTGGCTGGCCAACTTCATCTGGGATATGGTATATGTCTGACTTTTTAGGTCACAATTTGAAAAATTCTTTGACATGTCATTTGTGTGTCCCTGTTTGATCTTTTTTAATATGTACGGAATACATGCTTCCCTTCTGTGTTACAGTGCAACTATGTTGTACCAGCAACCCTGGTCATCATCATCTTTGTGTGCTTCCAACAAAAAGCCTATGTCTCCTCTACCAACCTGCCTGTGCTGGCCCTGTTGTTGCTTCTGTATGGGTAAGTGGGTCCAACTCAAGCTCTCCTGCAATGGCTACCGGTTGTTTTGTACAAAGCAGCACAGTTGAAGTAAACAGGCATGTAATGATAATCTCTCTTTCCCTCCCTCTCTGTCTCTTTGTCCCTGTCTCTTTAGGTGGTCCATCACACCTCTGATGTATCCAGCCTCCTTCTTATTTAAAATACCCAGTACGGCTTATGTCGTCCTCACTAGCGTCAACATCCTTATTGGCATCAACGGCAGTGTGTCAACTTTTGTATTGGAGTTGTTTGGCAACAATGTAAGTTTTTTCACCATTGTTTTCAACATTGTCACATCAGTGAAGTCTGAAAGACAAAGTAGTTTTACTCAAAAAGTGTAGTGTAGTCTGGTAGTACGCTGGAAAGTCTCAGATCACAACAATGATCGAATAACAGATATGCTTGTGTGCCCGCAGTCAAATTACATGTTTTGTTGACTTTCTAAGTAAAAATAAGTTAAAACATCCTCCACAGGTAACACATTTTAGTGCACAATTTCAGTGTATTTTCTGACTTTAACATAAAATATAAAATATGCCATAACCTTTACACAAGCCACTTGGATGTTTTATTTTATCCAGTATGTTAAATTCAGCATATAAACAGTAATTGTGCATCAAAATGTGCAGAAGCAAGTTCTCTATAGAGAATGTGTTAACTTCTTTTCACTGCAAAATCAGCAAAACATGTCATTTGTGTAATGATGTTGGGTTAAACATGTTCTGCAAGTTATGTGATTCAATCAAAGAAAGTAACAAACATACTGTCACATCTGAGTCAACAGATTATCTATTGTCTGATAATCTTAAATAAGAAATGACCTTATGCATGTCTTACTCACCTCTTCTTGTTCCCCCTCTTCAGGAGGTTGGTGGCATCAATGACATTCTGAAGAACGTACTTTTGATCTTCCCTCACTTCTGTCTGGGGCGAGGTCTGATCGATATGGTGAAAAACCAGGCCATGGCTGATGCTCTGGAGCGCTTTGGTAAGAATAGCTGCTTAATTTCTGAGGATGTAAATCTCTGAGGATGTGAGAATGTGTGTTTTACTTATAACACAGTGCCAGTATTTTCAGGATTAATCATAAGAACTTGAGAGTTCAGAAAAAGAATGTAAGAGAGCTTACATTAATATGTTGAATTTACTTTATGTGTATATGACGTTCACATTAATAAAATATCAACATAACACAGTTTTGTCTCTCAGTTTACTTCTGGCAATAATTGTGAGGCTGTAATATATTTTATTCATGTGGATATGATGTGCACATTTGAATAAAGTCTATTAACTGAGCGTGTGCACATGTTAAAGGGGCTTCTTTTTGCTTTACATATCTCTAACAGTTTGGTCCTTTTGATTGAATACAGGTGAGAACCGTTTCCGTTCTCCTCTGGCGTGGGACATGGTGGGTAAGAATCTCTTTGCCATGGCAGTGGAGGGAGTGATCTTCTTCATCATCACTGTCCTCATCCAGTACCGCTTCTTCTTCAAACCTACGTAAGCAGCTTCATCCACAAACACACTCAAATATTAGCATCTTGGTAAGGAAAAGTTCATTGATCATTGGATTTTTTGATTGACTTTGTGGATGGTGGTGGCTGTGCAGGTCTCTGAGTGCTAAAGCTGAGTCCAATTGGAGAGGAGGATGAAGATGTTGCCCGGGAGAGGCAGAGGATTGTTAGTGGAGCAGGACAAGGAGACATCCTGGAACTCCGAGAGCTCACCAAGGTCTGAACAATTTCTTTTCAAGTTTCTCTCCGTAGCCCTTAGAGGATGTTATTGTCACTTTGTCAATGCAATAATTCTGTATGCTGTAGCATTATGTCTGCACTTCTGACCATTCCATTGTTTTCATGTCCAAAATAACAAAAAGTACACTTTTTTAAATATATTTTTTAGATATTAAGATTTTCTGCAAAAAAATCTGTACACACAATAGCGACTTCTTATCAAATCTAATTTCTAACAAAACATCACTTCTAGTACTTTGTAGTGTGGTTTTGATTGAAAGTTTAGAATTTTGACAGAATTTATTCTGCTTTGTACAGTGAACTATGAATGAGAAATGAATTCAAATTATGAATTCACACTTTTATTATTTCCAGATATAACTACGACTTTAAGAGGTAACTTTACTGCTTACTTGAAGGGAGCTCTAATCATAGTGTTTTGTTGTGCCACAGGTGTATAAGAGGAAACAGAAGCCTGCTGTGGATCGACTTTGTGTGGGCATTCCTCCAGGCGAGGTGAGACATTGCTCACATACACACACTGCTCACTTCAAACATGTCCAAACAAAACAGACTAGAGGTTTGACCTTTGTCTCTTCCTTACCCCAGTGCTTTGGTCTACTTGGTGTGAATGGAGCTGGAAAGACAAGCACATTCAAGATGCTGACAGGAGATTCTGTAGTCACCAGTGGCGAAGCCTTCTTAGCTAGGAAAAGGTAAGGCAACATAAGCAGAACCCTTCAACAGTTTAATTACATTTACATTTACATATAAGGTGTACGATTTTTGGTTGATACATTACAGGTCAATACATTGTTGTCTTATGACTGTCATAAAATCAAGCTATAATCAAACTAATCACAAATCAATCTTTTTGGATCTGTTGTTCTTAGTATACTCAGGGAAATAGACCAGGTACATCAGAACATGGGCTACTGCCCTCAGTTTGATGCCATCAATGACCTGCTGACGGGCAGAGAGCATCTGGAGTTTTACGCCATCCTGCGCGGAGTCCCTGAGAGGGAAGTGTGTGAGGTGAGTACACTTTCTTCAGGGAACAAGGACATACAGTGTCATTGATGCAAAGCACCACTCTTACATAGCATTTGTTTTTCTTCTATGGTCATCTCCACTGTCTAGCTGAAATATTGTTACTCTGAGTGAATGGTTCCCATATCAGTAATCATACTGCAATCATAGCAACTTCAAATGAGTGTTTGCATTTATGTAGGAAGTCTTTTACTTTGTACACACACAATATGTGGCAGTAAACATACTAACATTAGTTATTAATAAATGAGTGAATGAGTTAAAAGATAGGTCCATGAGAGGATTTGTATCTAAAAACACCTTGAAAAGAAAACAGATGAGGTTAATGAAACATTGTGATTTAGTTATAATCCTGCATGGATTTAATGTGTGTCTCTGGCAGGTGGCTGAGTGGGGCATCCGCAAACTGGGCCTGGTAAGGTATGCTGACAAAGCCGCCGGAAGCTACAGTGGGGGCAATATGCGCAAACTCTCCACCGCTATGGCGCTTATAGGAGGCCCACCCGTGGTGTTTCTGGTATGCACACACACACACATTTCCCTCATTGCTTACACAATCAGCTCATGCTATTTTCTCACTCTGGGAGATCATGTGCTCTGTGCAGCACCTGACAACAAAAACACAGTGGGCCCGATTCCTGTGACTGTTGTTTTATTTGTTCTCCCAACAGGGATCGCAGTGCTGTTGTATAAGAGAAGTTAAATTAAAACACTCAGCCAACCACAGCCTCAATTCTCTGACAGAATTAGGCTGAATGCTTTGTACAGTTGCACATTTGTTTCTAGTTCTTTTAATACATGGACTAGTTTGGAAACTGTTTTCAAAGTGCAATAAGTACATTTAATCCACAACCCTAATCTAAACCTCACTTACTCTAACCCTAACCTAAACCTCAGTATAACACCTAGTTACATAACACGGTGTTTCTGAGTTTAACCAGATAGTTTGCTAACAATTTCAGATGTTACAGATATAGTGGCACAAAAATCAAAATAAATTGTGACCAGGACTTTAGTGCACGCCATGGTAAAGAATTGGTAGATTTGCCACTAATCCTGGCAAAAACATACCGATTTGTGACTTTTCGGTTAAATCTGTTGACTGACCTGCGGATGGTTATGCTGTTTGTCACAGGATGAGCCCACTACTGGTATGGACCCCAAGGCCCGCCGTGCTCTGTGGAACTGCATCCACAGTGTCATCAAAGAGGGTCGCTCTATCGTGCTCACCTCACACAGGTATGATCTACTGCACTCATTCAGTCTAAGCTGTATTCATTATATGCATAACTCTTATTGCTTTTCTTATTATATGCTATGCTATTATATGCTATGTTGACCATGTTGAGGAGGATGGGTTCCCTGTGAAAAATGTATATATATTCCAAATGTATTTATCAAATATATTTTTGCAATGTCTGAAAATGACCAAAAAATGTTTTTGTTAAATGTGTATATTTTAAAATTTAAAATTTATTATGCACTCATTCAGTCTAAGCTGTATTTATTATGTGCGTAACTCTTATTGCTTTTCTTATTATATGCTATCTGGTGTTGACCGCCCCCCCCCCCATGAAAAAAATCTGTGTGTAATATTTTTCCATACATTTTAAAATAAATGTATTTTAAAATGTATTTGGTTAATATGACAATATATTCTAAAATGTGCTTTTGTGTTTGTTATGTATTTCGGCATAGATGACAATGCATTTGAAATGTATTTTAAATATATAAAAATATATGTCAATATATTTTTTCTGTATGGGCCTTTTGAGCCTTAGTTCTTCTCAGATATCTGTAAAGCTACTTTGCAAAAATGATAGTATTATAAAGCACTATACAAATCAATTTGGATTGAATTTATTTGAAAAAATAATGCTGAGTGAGGAAAGGTGAAAGTTAAGACCACCACTGGCTCTTTGTTTAGCCCCCATGAAGAAATAATGCCTTTGTTGCCTGCTAGGTAATTTTTAACATAAAGATTTTGTGAAATTCATCTGAAATATCCCTGCTATGACCCTCAGCAGTTTACCAGTAAAAACATGTAGCTGTTACGCCAAAAGAATGGGCTACATACAGTATATTCATTGTTGAAGATCATGCCCACATGCTTATATTCCATTTTACCACTAGAGAGCAGAAATTCCCCATGTCTCTCATGTGAATCTCTGTATTTTGCTCCTTTTGGCTTGTGTGCTAACCTTTGCTCTGTTGTTCCACAGCATGGAGGAGTGTGAGGCCCTGTGCACCAGGATGGCCATCATGGTAAATGGCAGATTCCGCTGTCTGGGCAGCGTCCAGCACCTGAAAAACAGGTGAGATAACTTTACAGCTCTCAAACTGCACTCAAATCACATTCAGTTTTGCACTAAATCAAGTACGTTCATATCATGGCAAGGATTTTTAGTGCTTTCTCAGGATTTGTAGAGATTATAGAGTTGTAGAGAATATAATCTGGTTTTCTGTACTTTTTTTGTTGATCTAACCTTTTTCCTTCACTGGTATCTCACTCTTTCTTGGTATGTGTTCCTCATTGTGTAGGTTTGGTGATGGGTACACCATCATCCTGAGGGTAGCAGGCCCCTGAACCAGACCTGCAGCCTGTGATGAAGTTCATCGAGAGCGAGCTGCCTGGTAGCACGCTGAAAGAGAAGCACAGGAACATGCTGCAGTATCAGCTCCCCTCATCCCTCTGCTCCCTTGCTCATATCTTCAGCATTCTTGCCAAGCACAAAGACATCCTCAGAATAGAGGACTACTCTGTTTCCCAAACTACACTGGACCAGGTGAGAACAATTAGCATCAACCTAATTTAACACAATGGCTAAAGGTGTGACATGCAGTATTTGTATAGTTTAGCACTGCGTTAAAAAATATATATATTCAAATGGCCCATATCCTACATTTCTCTGATATTAGAGGTTTTATGTAGCAAAAACTGTCTAAATTCATTTTTACATGACCATTTTTCCAACCTCTCTTCATCCCTCTGAACTAAACAGACTGTTTTTATTCCTGTACCTTTAAGACTGATATATGTAAGTGGTCTCTGTTTCGATTGTTAGCCTTGTATTGTACCTCATACAAGAAGCAGTTATTTTCAAACTTGGACTATATGGACTGGAGACTTTTGAAACTTAAGCAGTGTTTACATACTTCATCAACTCCTTTACCTAAAAATATCAGGATGATGTGGAGAATGGGAGGTAGTCTAGCACAATCTGGAATTTAGGCTGCCATTTGCTAATATAGCTTGGTTTGAACATGCCTGAACTTGACAGGTATGATTCTGGCAAGTGTGTTGAAGTTCAGTATGAGCTTATTTGCATAGTGGTCTGACTGTTATGTATTGGAAACTAATGCTTTATGCTCTAGTCTTCACCCATACAGACCATCATATCTGTGTTGTCTCTGAAACACGTTTGACAAAATCATCACTCTGAATATGTGCTGACTGATTCTCCCTGTCTTCTAGGTGTTTGTTAACTTTGCCAAGGACCAAAGTGACGATCACTCTGACCACTCGATACGGCGTAAAGAGCATAAAGAGGCAGTGGTGGACATTCCTCTGCTCAGCTTGCCAGTTCCTTTAACGAGAAAGGAGAAACCCAAGGAGAGCTTTGTTTGACCAAAAGACTTTTACTACACTAGGAGTAAAACTGGAGCCAGTGAAATTCACTTATTTCACATTGTCGTTCTTGGTTTTCGGCTGCAGTCTGCTAATTCATTCGCTCAGTCAGCCATATCAGGGCTGCAGGAATATGCAGGTGCAGACACAGTAGCTGAGAAACTCAATGCAAGTCAATGCAAAAAGATAAAGTGTCCACTCGGGATGTGCTGTGGAGTCCGGATCACCATGCTAATCCCAGATGAGAGTGTGGAAGTGAAACTTGAATAACTGCCATAATTTCGTTCTCATGCGGACTGTTCAGACAATTTGAGTCTTTGTGCAGTTTTTGTATTTGTAGTTGACAGATCTTTTAAGTATGTTGTGTAATTTTGGATTGGTAACTGCGATTGACGGGAAAATTCAGGGTCAGTTTCTTTTTGTTTGTACTAGAAATGACATGATGAAGAATCACAATCTTTTTTTTTTTTTGAGCCGCCAAGGGCTAAAACTGCAGTACAAATGCTGTTAAATTGATTATGTGCCTTTATTTATGAACAAACAATTGTTTTACAATTTTTTGAAAAGTCCAGTGGGGACATTATTTCGTACAATATTTTTTCAAGCAGTGCCTGACTTTTAATATTGCAATCTAAGAGAAGCAGGAGAAGTGTTCACTGTTGGAACGTGAGCTAGAAACGTACTGTACAGAGAAAAATGCTGATTATTTTTAAGAGATTTATTTAGGAGGAGTTGCCTCCCAGTCACAAAATGTAACATATACCTCAGTAGATACAGGAGCCCTGACATTTCAGCATTTTGAAGGACATTTGAGTAGTAGATTGGAAGAAGAATCTTCTTACGTAGGAGACTGACTTTAGGTGAAAGGGTGTCCTTGGGGGGGTGTTATGAATCAGTGTACTGTGCTCGTTCAGCAAAGCACAGCCACTTCCTTCTAGACTACATAACGCCATGATCCGTCAGTATTCTGGAACAGAGCTTTTCACTGGTCTCAGAGAAAGGATGGCCATGGGGTCTGTCCTTTCAGTCCTAGCACTTTATTGGCTGTGTTAATTGGAAATGTATTAATTGAAAATCTGTTTACCCGTTTGCACTGGATTTTCCACAGAAAGAAATCATTCCACATTTATTTTTTGTTGTACCTCCTCGTTTTCCAACATGAAATGAAAATTCTTGCCTTAGTGATGTTTCTTATTTAATACCTGTTTACATTTCAGATGAAAGGCTGTGGAACATCTGTTACTCACCTTGTACAATACTTACACAATAAAACATGACAAACGTACAACACAAATTGTATGTTTTTCATTATGTTGTCACCCAAATAATACTTTGTTTGCAATCATTTTGCATATTTTTATCAGTATCTTTACACAGAATCAAATGCTATGAATGTTCTTTAAAGTCAACCTGAAATCAAAATGACATTGAAATGAAAAAAATTGGTATTGTTTATGACTTGTTAATTTGCGTCCATATCATATTAAGCATGATTCGTTTTCCCCTCATCTTCTACCGAAATGTAATGACTGTTACCCATCTCTAAAATGCCTTCTGGTTTATTTATTATTACATTACTGTGCACCAGTGGGCAGGAAAACAATATTAACTAGTAATATCATGTTTCACCTCACTGTCCCATCAACCCCACCTATCACAAGAGAAAATGCTCAGCTAGCTCAGAGGCCCTTCCTAATACTGCATTTTACTCTCATACTCATACATTAAGGTATGGAAGGAAAATGTGTTATGATCTCCAGTTCATGTTGCTGTAGTTCAATTCCAGATTTTGCACTGGTAGGAAGAACAAGCTGGTAATTATTGTTCTGTTTCCTGTTATTAAATATGAGTATCTTTTCCTGTGTGTAATTAGTACTTGAACAGAACAGTTTCAGTGTTCAGGGACATTCTTTACTCTCACATCTTAAGACTGACAATTTTTTAAAAAATAAATCAGTCGATTTATTTTTATATAATTACATTTTTATTTTTTAATCAATACACCTTTAAACCTGACAAATGCATTAGAGCATTGTTACATGAAAGAAATGGCTACAGCTATTTGTAAACATGCCTGCTAAAGTAAGGCTTGAGGTAAGTGTTGAAGGAGTAACACAAATACCAATATTACTGCCCAAGTGCAATTAGTGAATAGAACAGGTGCATAGCTGGTTAAAGGTAGCACAGTGACAGTACTCAGGACCTATAATGCTATTAAATGCCACAAAGATTTTTTAAAGAAATCTGCAAAGAACATATTGGTAAAAAGTGTAACATATTGGTACAAGATATTAGACGCCAAATACATCCTTCACCACTAAAGACAAGCTTCACTCAGACATAAGCAAACTAGTCATTGAAGTAAAATATGTCTTAGTCCAGGCCACACCTCAGAGTAAGCTGTCCAGCATACACATTCATTTTAAAATGAAAGAGCTTTTTGTTGATCAGCATACGCCCGGATTAAGTTTGTCCAATGTTCTACATACAATTCTACCCATTTACTGTAGGGGTGAGAAGGAGCAAGGAAACATGAGCTTGTTTTTCTGAGATTCCAGGTACGCAACGCTCTGCCGCACTGTAGAGATAACACAAGAACACGGTTATGAGAACAAATAACAACATCTTATTCAGAATCTTTATCTATGCAGTCATATGCAAAAGTTTGGGCGCTTGGGCATTTTGTTGTTGAAGTGAAAATAAGTTAACATATCCTCTATGGAGAGCAAACATCTGCACATTTTAATGACCAACTACTGTTTGCTGAATTTAACATATTGTGGGTTCTAGAAAAGTTGTTTTATTTTTTCTGATATGTTGAACTTGGCAAATAAATAGAAATTGCGCACTCAAGTTTGTGGAAAATGCCACATTTAAGTTTGTTCCCAGTAGAGGAACTTAATCAATCTTCAATCCTGTTCAGTCTTTTTCAAACGACTGCGTAACATTTAACTTTAGTTAGACATTTTCAAAACACTCTAGACTGGAAGATAATCGAAACATTGAAAAGATAAAACTCTAAGGTTTAAATGAAATAACAGCACAATAAAATAACAGAAAAGGAAGAGAAAAGGTTCTCTTTGAAATCCACTTTTATGCTTTTTGGTAATTGATGTTTTTACGTTTATTAGGTTTATTTAGGTTTACAAGTTTTTCTTTCCTTTTTAACTAAAAATGTGTCAGCTAAGAGCAATATGTTATGTGAGTTTTTAGTCATTTAGCAGTAATTTCATTTATGGCATTTATGCATTGGGCAGATGGTCTTATCCACAGGGAACATAACTCTCCCAAGGTTATAGCATTGTGTGTTTGTCTGGGCAGGAACTCAAACCCTGGTCTGCCACATGAAGGGTAGCAGTGTTTTCCAATATGGTAGAACAGATGTGATGAAGAGAGGTTTTACCTGCAGCCACTACCCTGGCATCAGTATGAGCTCTGTGTCTTATAGCTGCGCGAAGGTCTGCACTCTCATACCACCACAGAACATGCACTGCAGCACACAAAAGATATATTTTTTGTTTACTGTATTTACTGTACATTCTTGTACAGATAATAAATAGAATGAAGTAAATAAAAATAGTCCCACCCCAAAAAATGACATTTGCAAATTTATCACTATTTTACTATTATCAACGTTACACACATAAATTCACGTGTAGGTTCTGTGGCAGTTTCAGATAGTAATAAAATGGCTATATTTGTGCTGACATCACATACCAATTCTACTGCAATATACTGCAGTTTCTCAACCCTATGTGACACCTACCTCTATTGAGTTGTCCGAACTCAGAGTGGAAGACACCCACTGGGTAGGCGTACCCTGGTGCTGCATGGGTGTTGACTGAAGCGTGAAAGGCCTCGCCCCACACGGCTGGACCACCAGGCTTCATCTGGAACGACACCAGCTCATAGACACCTGGGGAAATCCATACAGTGCTTTAGTTAGTGGAGACTGAACCAGTTTCAGATTCTGAATAGGTCAGTTGAGTTTTTGATGAAAAAGTATTTCCCACATATTTCTGCCCTCTCAGTCAGAGACAGTGACAATCTGCTGGATCTGATAGTCTAGCGTTTATTTCTGTCAGTATGACACGGCATGAAACTCTCTATGCAGCACACTATAGCGCCCAGCTCGAACACTGCTGACCCCATTCCAGTGTGGGGTCACAGTACACACAAACACCACCAATGCAGACAAGCAGACTGTTTACGAGACTAACCCTAATCCCACCCATTCATACTCTCCATGAAAAGCTCTGATTCACTGACCAGACACCCAAACATTCTCTTTCTCATTTTATCCTCTCCATATATATATATATATATATTAGGGGTGCAGGAGAGAGAGAGAGAGAGAGAGAGAAGAAAACCTTGTATCTCCATTTCTGTTGTTTTTCAGTTTTTGAGATAATTTAAAAATGCCCTTTGCCCTTTACATTGTGTGTACATTTCATGATGAATGGACCAAAAGAAATGACCCAAAATGACTTGTCTGGTTACACTGACTTACATTAAAAAAGTAAAGTATGTTTTTTTGTTACCATTTTGGAGATTTGGAGTTCAGAACGGCAGTGTTTGTGGCTTTTTCATATATAGACTGTATGGACTGGGGAATGAATGTTTACACATTGTTACTTCAAAAGACATCAATGTTGAAATAATATGTAAAACTATCAATAAAGTAAGGAAAATTTGCTATTCCATGATATGGGCTCTTTAAGTCTTAAGATTCATAACTGAATAATAAGACTGTGGTCTAAGGAGTTAAAGAATGCTCACCTATTACTTGTCTTATTACAAAGAGAGCATAATTAGTCCTGTTTAACTGGATTTAGGGCAGTGCAGAATGTAAAACTTCTAAAAATCACTGCATTCAGAATTTTAGACAGTATTGTTTAAAACGAAGCACTACTGGTTCTTGTTTTATCTGTTCAAACTTATTAAACTTCAGAAAAACTAAATATCATGATGCACTTTATATATAGCACACAATTGAAATGCGATGATGTCATTTTTGTCATATGGCACACCTCTATTAACAACTAAAGATGGGAGATGTGACAAAGCATACTTAAATACCTTTTCACAACACATATCAAAATGTCACATTTTTAGAGGTTTGTGAAGCTGAAACTGACAAATTTCAGCAGCAAAACCAAAAAGTGCCACTTTTTAAAAAAATATAAAAAAAAACCTATAACTAGAATTTTTTATTCTATGTTTGCAAAAATAATCTATTTAAGCAACATGAGAAACAAATCAACTAATTGGAACAAATAAACAAATACATAATGATACTGGCATAATGGACTGCTACCAGATCAGCAACTTGTTACTATACAGTTTATGTAGTTACTGTACACCGATTCTTCTTGTTGTTGTTTACAGGCTCTCTATAAATGGAGATGGTATGGCCCTGAATGGTAGAGATACCACTTTTTCTTTGCTGATACCGAGACGTGTACTGATACCCAGACTGATATTAAGACCTGAAAGTATCGGCCAATATAAATCCATATTTCTTCACTGGAAAAATACTTTAAACTTTGAAAGGCTTTAAAGTGCTTTAAAATAAAAATCTTTTTTTGTTGGAGTGTTTCAATTAAAATGAGCATTTAAAAGTAGGCTATCATGCTCAAACTACTCAATCACTTTACTACCCCACAGGAAGAACTACACAGCTAACAACATCACATCACACAGTGTGAATGTGTACTATTTCATCATTGTCCAAAAAAGACAAGCATCTCCAAAATGGTGACTTACAGGAGAGAAAGCGCGCAAAAATGTTCTGTGTGTTTACAAACATTAATGTAACAAATAATTTTGGAGCATTTCTACTTCATTATTCAAAAAATGTTACATATATATATATATATATATATATATATATATATATATATATATATATATATATGTGTTACATATATAAAAAACTGCTGCTGTGTTCAAATTATGTAGAAAAATAAAGTTAACTTACACAACTGCACTGAATTCATCCTTTTTTAGAATCAGTAGAACATGGTCTCTGGTAAATCTAAAAAAGGACTAAATTTCTCAGGACTAAATCTGTCTTTAAAGGTCAGATGCAGTTGTTCAGAGTTCTTGAAGGAAAGAACATGATGGCATAATTTAGCACAACAACAGTAACGTATCATCATATCTCACCTCCCTCTTTAGGTGGTTTTTTGACTGTGCTCCACGGCACCAGGTATGTGACCTCATTGTCCTGAGAGCTCAGCATTGGCATGGCTTTAGAGATGTACTGCTCCATCCAGTCGGGGTCCTCAGCCAGGGCTGCTCGCACTGCTGCCCGCTGATCATAGCTGTCTAAAAAAGCAAGAAGAATAATTGACAAAGACTGACTTTGATTCTCTCCACATTAAAATTAAAAGAATAATTATTGGAAATTGCCATAATGAAATAATTGAAAATATGAATGCCACAGACATTGTAACGCAATGCATTTAAGCAAAACTAATGTTATTCAAAGTATTATATAACTATATTATATACTTATTATATACATTATAAAAGGCATAAACTATACAGTGCTGCTTCACTGTTCGTGAACCTTCCAGCATTATGTAAATTTCTATGTAAATATGACCCAAAATATAATTAGGTCTTCATTTAACTCAGAACAATAAATAAAGAGAACCCAGAAACACAAATAATGCAAACAACTATTCAGTTTTTCATTAATTTACTAAACAAAGTGAATCAACAATAAATGTTTTTGTTGCAAAAGTATGTGAACCTCTGCTTTCAGTAATCAGTGTGCCCCTATGAGCAGCACTGACTTTAACCAAATAGTTCCTGTAACAGCCCGGCACACTGACTTGGAGGAATCATTTCCTTCAGAATTGCTTTAACTCTTATGTTAGTGGGCTTTCTTGCATGAAAGGTCCTGCCACAACATTTCTATTGGATTGAGGTCTGGACTTTCTTTTTCAACCATTCTTTGCAGACTAACTGGTGTTTTTAGAGCCGTTTTCTTTGTGCAGGACCCACCTTTTGTTGAGGTACAGTTCAATGATGGATGCCTTTACATTCTCCTGAACAATTTCTTAATACAATCCAGAATTTATAGCTTCATCATATGATGGCAAGCTGTCCTGGTTCAATAGCAGAAAAACAGCTCCAAACCATGATACTGCCACCACTGTGTTTCAAAGCTGGGAGGAGGTTCTTATGCTGGAATGCAGTATTGTTTTTTTTTAAACAAAACATTTCTGATTTAAAATTTAATATTTAAAATTTAATTTAAAAAAATCTAATTAAAATTTTTCTTATCACCTCATCCAGGCAGTCTTTTGGAAACTAAACAGGCAGCAATGTTCTTTCTGGAGAGTAGTGGATTTCTCCATGTTATTATTGATAGATACTATTCTCGGTCAGCGTTTGCCTGAGTGTGGACTCATGAACACTGACATTAGCCAGCGTGGGAGAGGCCTGCAGATCCTAAGATGTTACCCTGGGGTTCTTTGTGATCTCCCAGAATATTATATGCCTTACTCTTGGAGTGATTTCATGTTAGATGACCACTCCTGGGAAGGGAAACAATGGTGGTGAACTTCCTCCATCTGTACACTATCTGACAGTGGATTGGTGAAGTCCATACTCTTTAGAAATTGTTTTGGAACCTCTTTTAGCCTAGCAAATGTTTTTTCTGAGGTCCTCAGTTATGTCATTTGACTGAAACATGACATATGTTAACAAATGTGTGTGGTAAAAAACAGACTTTGATAGTGAAGACTCAGGTTAATGTTTTTAAATAGGGTGTCATCCAATTCTTCGAATCTCCGGACACAATTATCACTTATACCAAACTGATCATTCTAGAGGTTCACATACTGGCAGCCAAAATACATAATGCTTGTGCTTTTTGTTTTATTGGGTTGTGTTTATCTATTATTATGACTTAAATGAAGATCTAATTTAATTTTAGGTAAAACCTCTGCAGACTTTCACATAATGATATAGGGTTTACAAACTATCAATCAGCACTGTGTGTCCAAAGGTTTGTGTTCATGCAACCTGCTCCTCACTCATCATTCACATTCAATGTTTCTTCTGCAATCAAGAAACATTTAATGTTACTTTGAATATTATTAGGACGTTCCCCCTCCTTCTGCTGCATCAACAGTTTCTACTCTTCTGGAACGACTTTACATTAGATGTTGGAACATTGCCGTTAGGATCTGATTGCATTCAGCCACAAAAGCATTAGAGGATTATTGAGGTCAGGTACTGATGTTGGATGATTATTTCTGGATCACAAACATTACTATAACTCATGCAAAAGGTGCTGGATGGAGCTCCATCACTTCATGGAACCCAGTTCCATTGCTCCACACCCCAACGCTGGGGGCTTTATACTCCTCTAGCTGACACTTGGCATTGGGTATGGTGACCTTAAGCTCATGTGCTGCTACTCCAGAGCGTCCCATTCTATCGACAAAGCTTTTCTTTAAAGATTATACAAGCTGTATATTCACAACTGAACAAGTGTGTCAGCCATCGCTCCACCTTAAAGTAGCAGAATTCACTAATTAGAATGGGGTGTCTGGATACTTTTGGACCTACAGTAGCCACGTTTACATGCAGCCTGATAATCCGTTAATAATCCGACTAATAGCTCAATCGGAATAGAACACGTCCATGTAAACACCTCAATCGGAATAGACTAGTCCGATTGAGGCCATTCGGAATACAATTTCTATCCGATTGAACGAGGTGGGTAAACTTCTAAATAATCCGTTAAATAGAAGAATAATAGCCATGTAAACGCCTGAATCCGATTACATTCCAATCGGAACGTGTAAGTATGTTCTGCGCATGTGCGTCGCGTCATGGCGAAAGTTTATACCGTTCAGCATGGCGGAGCAGAAACGGGTCTGCAGAGGAGACGAAGTTTATGCTCTGATCTTTAAAAGACGGCGGTGGAACGGACGTCCAGCTTATGAGTCTCAGAACACGACGTCTTCCTCTCGCCGCTTACTTTATAAGCACATGTGAAGCACGTTTTCCTGAGTCTGACATCATTTTAAAGCAATTAAAACACAAGCGCGCCAACTGGAAACTCATTTCACGCGGACTGGACCTCACGTGATGTTCGCTGTCATGGTAACGTTTACTCTAAACGCTACTCCACGCATGCGCGTCATTTTGCATCGGATTACTTGTAGTGAGCATGTAAACGAAGATTTTCCATCAAATCGTTGAATAGAGTGTGCATATAAACACCTCAGTCTGAATCTGTAATCGGATTGTATTCAATCGGATTGGCAAAAATCTTTGCATGTAAACATAGCCAGTGTAGCTTTTTACAGTCTCTAATTTACAACAACACAATAAAAGGATGTTCTGGTGGAGTGCGCAGGGAAATTTTACTCTCAAGCCTTCATTTAAAATTCCATAAATTCTGCTACACAAAAAACTCTCACCATACTTCCAGATGTGGAAGACCTGATTGAGACCTCCATACTCCACACTCCAGTACCCCAGCAGCTCAGAGTGTGCAGTGCGCAGGTTGATCTTCTCACTGGTCAGTTTGAGGAACGCAGAGTTCAGGTGCGGATGGATGCAGTAGGTGCGGAACTCATAGAACTTTCCACTCTGCTGCTGCGGCCCAGACGACATGAAGGCCTTGGGTTGCTGGAGAGAAAAAAGAAGAACATCACTGACACCAAGGGGTGAGCACTGGAGTTACACAGCTTATGTCTACTGCCAATGTTTATTTAACTTGCTGCAGGGTTATTCCCTCATGAAGAAATTCCATGCTATTCGAGACCTTTTATTCCAGTAATTGTTTTTTTTTCCTTTTCGGGACTTTCAGTGCTCAGTTTTCTTGTTATCTGTGAAAATTATTGACTGTACTACAGCAAGAGACAACATGGAATGTGATATGTGAAAAGGAGACTGCGGCAGAGCAGAGAATTAGAGAATATTTACATATTTTATTATTTGAATTTTCCCTTTAAGATTTAGAATTTAGGTATGTTGAGTCTGTATTACAGTCGCATGAACACATTTGAACACACCTGGTCAAATTACATGTTTTGTTGACTTTCTAAGTGAAAATAAGTTGACACATCTTCTATAGTGAACTTAAATATGATATTTTTCTGCAAACTTTAATGCACAATTTCTATTTATTAGCAGAGTTTAAAATAGTAACAAATAAACAAACATATGGCTGTTGTCAAATGAAAACCTCGTATCTCCATTTTTGACATTTTTCAGTTTTTGACATAATTTGAAAATACTTGTTACCCTTTACATTGTATGTAAATTTTATGGTGAATGGACTAAAGGAAATGAGCCAAAATGACCTGGAAAAAGTCTGGTTCCATTGACTTACATTAAAGTATGCTTTTTTTCCTTCACCTGTAAAGTTATTTTGGAGAGGTTTTCTTCCGACAACAGCGATATGTAAAATATAAAATGTGTCATAAATTTTGCACTGACACATTTTTATTATTTTTTTCTTATATGTTAAATTCAGCAAATGCACACTAATTGTGTATTAAAATGTGCACACACGTGTTCTGTGTAGAGGATGTATTAACTTACTTTCACTCAGAAAATCAACAAAATGCAATTTGACCAGGTGTGCATAAACTTTTGCACACAACTCTTTGATTACTGAACATTCATATTTCTACAAAAACCTTTCTGGAGCTTCTCTACTCTTCCCAGTGTGGAAAAAGTGCTTCTTAAATTACATTTTTTCTTGACTTTCCAGACCTGCAGAAGAATATGGCCTTGTATCAATAACATGAAAACATTAACGACACTAATATAATATAATTAGCTATTAACTGACTGACTGACGAATTAATTGATCATTTATGAACGGACTAACATAAAGTAAGAAAAAACACCTTGGGTGAAGAACAAAAGGACATGTTTAGTTAACTTTGTCCTTGAGTCTTGAGTGAAGTACACTTGGACTGGGCACCACATATCAAAGCCCTGAACGTGCAGGCTCATGTTAATTATAAACCACAGCAGCTCTCTGTCTCTCTGGACCCTGGACACTGAAATAAGACAGGCCTTCTGGCATTGCTCCACAGCTGTACAAAGATCAAACTGATGTAGCCTGCGATTAGTGCAGAAACATTTATCAAAACTCTAATATTTAAAATCATTATATATGTAAATATGTAAAATACTTCGGGAATATGTCAGAAATGCTTTCAGAAAACTCTATCATAAGCTCAGGGAATGATTTACTAAACGCAGAGCTGTAACTAGATGATGCACTCCAGCGTGGTGTGCTGTTGTTGTTATGGCCAAAGCCCCCCACAGCCCTAATAGGTTAACAATGGGGGCGAACTGCACCCCACCCTCCCTCACCAACGCGTCTGTTTGGGCTTTTACCCATGAAAAGTTTCGCCGTGGTGCACTAAAAGGCCATTTTTGGACAGAAGAGCGCTCATATGAAAGCAGGCAGGCAGGAGTCTGTCTGCGCGCTGCCTGTTGTTTTCATCCTGAAGTGCCTTACAGCCAAAGCTCGTTCAGATCTAAACCACCTCTCTGCTCATCAGAACTGACCTTTTGAGCACTCCTCGCACAGACGATGTTGTGAGTGTGGAGTGTGGCTCTCCGGAGCGCCTGTCGGATCTGAATCATGACTGCTTTAGTCCACTCTGTCAGTCCAGCAGCTGATCTGAAGGCTACGTGCTCTTAGCCAGGTTTGACATGCTGCTATTTTCCTCACAGCGCGATGCCCTACGGAAGCCGAGAAGGCTCTGGCTGCGTCCACAACCTCATACACTGACACACTTAATAATATTCAGTACTACAGCACAGAGTGAATACTAGTACACTAGTATGTGATACTGGACACAGCCTCTGTCATTCAACCACACAACATTACAGGAAGGCCAGGTAGATAGATAGATAAATAGATAGATAGATAGATAGATAGATAGATAGATAGATAGATAGATAGATAGACAAAAGTGTGCAAATGTTTTGGTGAAAGTACGTTTTGATTTTGTAAGAGAAAATAAGTTAACACATCCTCTACAGAGGTTGCATATTTTAATATATATATATATATATATATATATATATATATATATATATATATATATTTGTAGACATAATGTTTTTTTCCCAATAAGTTCAACTCAAAAATCCTAAAACAAATAGAAATTGTGCACTTGTGCAACATTTGAAGAAAATGTTTGTTCTCTGTAGAGGATGTGTTTACTTATTTTCACTTACAAAATCAATAAAACATGTCTAATTTAACCAAGAGTTCAAACTTTTGCATATATGACTATGCACATATATGTATATGAGTTACATATTTATATGTATATTCACATATTGACATATTTAAGTAGTATATTGGTAATTCCGATGTATGCACACATGTATGCACTTTCCAAACAGAGTTCTTTTTTTATATCTTACATTTAGAACAAATATATCTTCATATATCATGTATGGATTTATTTTTTTTATTTTTACATCAGCATTCAATTTTATACAACAAACAGTCAATAAACAGTGGCAGGAATGCAGAGATCAGTCGCCTAAGCCCACACTATTTTTAGGGTTATTATGTAGCCCACTGTGTTTTGGATTGTGGTCAGCAATTTTTGGGGCAGACGGAATGTTTATCCCTTAATAAAGAGAGGGACAATAGGGAGGCTCTGTTGTAACTGTTGCTGGCAAGGGGTGCCAGGTAGGTGGGGCGGACCGGCTTCAAAATATCAGCACCTCTCTCACTTCACATGCAAACAATTTGCTGTAGGTGGTCAAACTCATAACACCAGCTTCACACACTGCCTCACATTGGGAGCGTACTGCAAGCGAAACATAGACACAACAAGAGCAAAGAAGCAGTGGAAGAACTTCATCATCAGAGCTTCAGATATTTAAATCTCCTGCTTTCACTTTTTGGCAATATGACAGGGACAGCTGTGATACTGATGTGCCTACTCCTCATCTTTTCTGTGGGTAAGTCTATACTGGGTCCAGATGAATGCTAGGCTAGTATCAACTACCCTAAATCAAATGCTAGTATTCTTTAGGATATGAGGGAGGAAAGTGGTTGTGCATACTCAAATAAATTTGAGACACAAATATAAGCATAAATCTGTCTGTAAGTCTATTTACTTATAGATTGGTATTGATTAGCTTATGGTTTCTCAGGGCATTAGTTTTGATGCTGTGATTTAATTATTAAAATATATGTTTCTGTAAACATTTTTGAAAATTTTTCCTTCAGATGCAGAAGACAAGTCAAGGCTGTACCGAAGGGTAAAAGATGTCTGCTAATATTACTAACACTGCTCTGCAGCCAATACTGATTCTATACTTCTGTGATCTATACTGGTACCGTTCCGCTACATTGTAACCAATACTGATATTATAGGCTACTAGTAATATGTGATCAATACTGATATACTACTACTCTGTAAGCAATTTTGATACTATACTACTTTGTTACCAGTATTACTACTACATTACAACTCCATAACAAATATTGACACTAATCGACAGCTTTGGAACCAATACCATTATTGTATTACTATGCTGTAACTAATAATGATACTATAGTTCTACTCTGTATTTTGATACAGATACTATATAACTACAGCTTTGGAACCAATATTATTACTGTTCTATTACTTTGTAATAGCATTGTAGTAATATTATTTACAAAGTAGTACTATAGTATCAGTAAACAATATTACTACTACTCTATGTATACCATTCTATGTATTACTACTATTCTTTGTAACCAATACTGATACTATCCTACTACTCTGTAATCAACATTACTACTATACTATTACCCTGTACCAAATACCACCACTACAGTATTACTCCATAGCCAATACTGATAGAATACTACTACTCTGTGATCAATATTACTGCTATACTTTTTACTTTTTGTAACCAATACTGATATTACTACTTTTGAAACAGTAATGAGACTATACTACTACTGCAACCAATACTACTACATTACTACTCCGTAATCAACTACTGTACTATTACTCTGTAACCAATACTGATACTATACTAATGCCATGTAATCAATACGATACTATACTATTACTTTATAATCAATACTGATTGTATACTACTACTCATGAGACTATATATTACTACTCTGCAATCAACACTACTACACTGCTACTCTGTATGCAACAATACTACTCTACCACCACTTTGTACCCAATGTCCTAAAGCAACAAACAAATGTTATTATGCCTCATTGGGATCTATAATGGGCTGTGTTTGAATTCAACAGCCTGCATGTGGGGACATGAGTCTGACTCATGCATGCCCCCTCAATTACTCTCCGGTCTGTGGAAATGATGGCATCACTTACCCCAATGAATGTGCCCTGTGTGTGCACAGACTGTAAGTATAGTCATACATGTCAATATAAGAGCACATTCTAAATAAGATAAGATTTGCTCTATTTGTGTCAAATGAAATTCTGTCCTTGTTTACTATTGTGTCTGTTCTTAGGAAATGTCAAAATAATGCTGAAGCATTTCTTTACTGATCGACTGTCTGCCCACAGGCAAACCAACACTGACATCCTGATTGTGAAAGAAGGGAGTTGCTGAGAAGGACAGGAAACTCCTCTTTCACACGATCATCACTTCTGCGTTCGTTGTTTGTGCTTGTTAGGGTGCATTTTTCTACTCATATTTATACAGTGCTTAGAGCATGTTATCGTTTTCTTATACTCATGTAGATGTGAGCACTATTGCTTAAGTTTGAACTTCGCTATTAAAGATTAATTTCATGTATTATAAAATGTGTGTGGCCTAATCATTTCTAGTACAAGCTAAAACACAACGCTATTTATATTTACCATCAGTTTGTCTATTGGAAACAGTGAGTGTTTAGCATTTTCCACACCAATTCAGAATACATTACTAACAAGACAGATGTGTTTTGTATAAACAGACATAAAATTCAACTTATTTTGTGCAAACTTATGATTTACTAATAACTAATATGCATGTAGAATAAGCTGATGTCACAAATGTTCATTTTAGGTACATACTCCAGGAATTGCGATGTCTACAACACAAAAGTAGACATTTTATTTACTATCCAAAACCACTGTAAATCTACATGTCTCTATATGTAAAGTTAATCATGAGAAAATAGTTATAAATAAAAAAGAAAAATCTTTGGGACAATTGTTGCTTAGAACCCTGTTCTCCACCTCTCCACAGTTAATCCATTTAAAAATATAAAAATAAAACATTTTACACCAAAAGCTTATCTCAAAACTATTGTAAAACAATGTCTCAGGCATTAAGCATGTAAGAATTTTCACTGAGAGAGCTGTTAGGGAGCTTTTATATGCATTAAACATCCTGCTGCAGCATTCTCTTCAGCTGCCCACGTCAGATTTAAAACCCTGATGCTTGCCTACAAAGCCAAAAATGGACCTGCCCTCATTCTCTGATGGCAGTAGTTAAAACTAGACATCTCCCTAGAGGCCTTCAAGTTTCAAGTACAGCTCAGTTTGACCCGCCATCCTTCAGGATGCATGGAAGACAAGCATCAAGATCCTTCTCCGTCCTGGCACTCAGGGGATAAACCAACTTCCGATGGCTGTTCCCACACTGTCTTCAAATGGCAACTAAAGACCCATCTCTTAGTGAAGCACTTACGTGAACAACGTACTACTGTACTAGTATTTATGCTATGTCTTAATTTTGTATTTTTCTTTCTAGGTATCATCACTATTTTTCGTTTGTGGCAGTGTCTGAGCGCAAGGGTAGTTTGGATTGAACATATTTGTATTTGAGTTGACAACAAAGCAGTTTTGTAAGTCAATCTGGAAAAGAAGGTCAGCTAAATCTAAACATCAATAAACACCTAAGATGTCTGGTTCCTATCACCATTGCTGTGGACAATTCTGGCTCTAGAACGATTTTACATCAAACCACTCTGCATGATTTTGTTTATATTTTAACCATTTAATTATGCAGAAAATTTGAAAAAGCAGTGGAGTTCACCTTTAACTGCAGTAAAAATAATACAGTCAGAGGCAGCTTCTGTCTTGAAGCAGCCCTGCCTGCACAGTTCAGTGATTCCCTTATATCAAAGTCATGATTCATTATTTGCTCATTCAATCTTTCATTGATCTATTTAAATATTTAATGGTTTTTAGGGTTGAATTTCCTACTGTGTTAAATCAGAGAGATACTAATCTGTGCGGGTCAGACCAACAGGAGCGGGAATGTGAAGAATACAGAGCGGAACTATTGTTTTACAGCCGTGTTTTGCACGATGCACGTTGACGGACAGATACAATGACGAGACTCCCACGTGTGTTTTGGGTCAGTGCTGGACAGATTTCACGGCTGTTCAATCCTTAAAGAAGGATGAAGTACTGACATGTGTTTGTGATACAAGTTCACGAGATGTCTCCAAGCGAGTAAAGACTGTGAGGAAGTGTGTTTTAGAGACAGCAGGCCGGCTAGCACAAGGTTAGCTGTGTTAGCTGTCCATCTCTGCGGGTCAGCATCTCCCCAGATCCTCCAGACCGAACAGTAAAGCCTCATGTAGTTTCTCCTCGGTGTGTTAACTCTATGTTGAGACCAGTTTCTGCGTTGTTTGGAAATCTATCGAAGAGTAAGCGCCACTGCACTCTGCCCAGCACGAGTGGTGTTAGCGTCATGGCTAAAAGCAAGTACGAGTACGTGCGGGATTTCGAGACGGATGACACGTGTTTGCGAAACTGCTATATTGTCGTGCGGCTGGATGGGCGAAATTTCCACAAGTAAGTAGCTAGTACATTTGTTAAAGATGAGCCACCTAGGCGTGTCCTGTGGGCTGTTAAGTGCTCCCAAACGGCCTTAGCTTTCTTATCGTAGCTGTGCTGTACTTACGAGGCTGAGGTTGGCTTAGTATTCGCCAGTTTTTGGTAGAATCTCCCCGTTCCACCTTAACTGGTGCAGCTGTTACTTTGAATGTAACGTTATTGAATGTAACTGCTGCACCATTTAAGGTGGAAGGGAAAATCTGAATAATAAGCTGACTTCAGCTTCGCCTGTGCTTTGCTACTACTTAGCTGTACCTGAACTGCACTACTGATACTTACACTGCATAAACTGAAATAAGTAGTGGTTTAATTCTGTTGTTTTTGCAAAGCTGTGACTGAAGGGTTCACGCATGAACGCGTTGTCAGTGGGAGGCAAGCTTTTCCTGAGTTCCTGACAGTAATGACACTCTTGTCATTGACGTGGGCGTGGAAACAGCACTTCACAAACACTTTGTTTTTAGGATAAAAAAAAGTATTTCCTAAAAATAAGCACCATCAGGCCTCCACATCTGCAGGACAAAATTTGATGGAGTATATGATAAGAGTGAGTGTAGCAGCTTTGCAGAACTTGAGAATATCACATTTGATGCATTATGGTTTTTTTTTGTTGTTTGTTTTTTTTTGTCATTGTTGCAGGTTTGCTGACCAGCACAACTTTACCAAGCCCAATGATGATAGGGCTTTAGGCCTGATGTCACGCAGTGCCCGCTCAGTCATGGAGGAACTGGAGGACATTGCTATAGCATATGGCCAGAGTGATGAGTTCAGCTTCGTCTTCAAAAGATCCACCAACTGGTTCAGAAGAAGAGCAAGGTAAACTCGAACCCAAATCACTTTAGCTAAAGCTGTTCAGTTTTCAACCTAAAAATGTCACAGACTGGTAATAGAGCCGTTACAACGTTAAAGTCGACATGAAGTCAAACTTGAACTTGTTAGTTATTGTTCCTGGTCATATTAAGCACGGTCATGTCATAAAAAATATTTCCCTATAATCTCCCATCAAAGCTGTAATGGCTTTTGCCAGCCTCTAAAATATCTTCTGATTTTTATCATGTCACCATGCACCAGCAGGTGGGGAAAAAAATAATATTAACCAATATTGCTGTGTTTAGACTTCTACTCCTACCACTCCTGCATAGTTGAGTGAAAATGCTCTCCAAGCTCCCTGATACCATGTTTCACTTGGAAATAGTTATAGCAGTCAAGGTTTGTGTAGATGCTTTGAACCAGTAGATGTGCCACTGTTTTGTCATTTCTCTACTAACTGCATTGTATAATTAGAAGAGGTGGACTGATCCCTATTCCTGAAGTGTGTGTCTTGCATTCCATATGTGTCCAATGTTTTGAAGCAGTCAGAGAACAAAGTGAGACTATTCTTTTCTCTGCCTCTGTCCCCCCAGCAAGTTAATGACCCATGTGGCATCTCAGTTCTCCTCCAGCTATGTGTTTTATTGGAAGGAGTATTTTGGAGAGCAGCCGCTGCTCTACCCTCCCGGATTTGATGGCAGGGTGGTCTTATATCCTAGTAACCGCAACCTCAGAGACTACTTAAGCTGGAGACAAGCAGACTGTAAGTGAAGTTTTTGTTTTTTTTTCCTGTAAGGATGTGTGTGAAGTGGCATGCTTATATGTGATGTGTTTTGGCATTTTTTTCCACCAGGCAGTGCAGTACAGTTACAAATCCATGATCATACATTTTGTTGTCATTTCCACTGCCAATTGAATTGTAACATACCTGTGCTAAAATTGATTACCCCTTTCGCTGGATTACCAAGCACGCTGAGCTGAAACATGTGGATGGAGTTAGTAATGGGTGCAAACTATCATTTTCATAATCAGTTAATTGGTGTATTAAGGTTTCGATTAATCGGTTAGTCAGGAAAAGACACAGTGCAGCCAGTAATCTGTCAATATGACTAAATATTTCATGTCATACACAATATTTCTTTCAAGAAATTAAAAATACAAGGATTAATCACCCTTTTGTACGGTACTCTTTCAAACAAACAACTCCTACACTATCTTCTATCAAGAGCAGCAATGCCACAATAATCCTTCTACATTGCCCTTAAACTGCTATTTTATGCAGTGTCAAAGGTGCAGAAACAGTAAAGAAACAACACATGAGCAAATCCTACATGGCGGTCTAAGTACTATTATGGAGGTAATTTGATTCTGCAAGAACTTCACATGGCTATTCAAATTATTTCTTCTTGGCCTCTGACAAGCCATAATAGTAATAAATGTTATAAAAATTAGTAAAGCTTTAGTCACATTGAATGCATCGTTTTTAGTTTGGGTGTTCCTTACATTTGTTTTCAGTGATTCTAATTATTTTTATTGTAAGTATAACTTCTCTGATGTCTGTTCATCTACAGGTCACATCAACAACTTGTACAACACAGCTTTTTGGACACTTGTACAGAAGGGTGCACTCTCTAAAACGCAGGCAGAGGAGAGGCTAAATGTAAGATTGCATGACAAGTTTTTTGTTTTTGGCAGGATTGTTTTTGCATCTTATGTACTTTCATTAGTTGCCACTCTAACATCTTTTCATATTTCTGACCTTATATTCTTTCAGGGCACTTTGTCTGCAGATAAGAATGAGATTTTGTTTTCTGAGTTTAATATCAATTACAACAGTGAATCTCCACTACACAGAAAAGGCACTACTTTAATCTGGGAAAAGGTAAGCAGTGGTGCAACACTTGATTAAGGTAAATTAATTAAATCTCATTCATTCAGTAATAGTTATTTACATGGACATCCTGCAGGTTGATGAAACGTCAACAAAAAAGATCACGGTGCCCAAAGAGGGTGAGAAAGAGATCACTTTTACACGGAGCAGACGAAAAGTTACGGCTCATTATTCCGACATAATTGGAGATTCATTCTGGAATGAGCATCCAGACATTCTAGAAGAGGACAGTTAAAGGAAAGACTGTAGCTGAAACACACACACACCTTTAGATTTTCAGCAAACAAATGTGGACTTTTTTTTGTAAATAAAGGCTTTTACATACATACGTTTTTATGTTTGGTGGATTTATTTTTGCTGGTCTGAATTAATGACAAATAGTGCATGTAGTGTGCCTACATTAAGGTCGTATTATTGTCAACAGTTCATCTGTTTGCTATTCAGTGTGAAAGAAAGTCCCCTGAAAAACATAGATTAAAGATTCAGGAGTTTATTGTTATTCACAGAGAAACAGATAATTGCACTGTACAATGAAATTCTTACACTACATCTTGGACTACAACTATACAAACACTGTATAAATACAAATTACTTAGTAAATGAAGCACAAAAAATAAGAATTACATCAATTGTTACATCAATTAAGATTCTGTGTTTCCTAATATATCCAGTATTAGTCACATATTGAACTAATAATTATCAGATGAAAAGGTGAAGCGTAATAACCTAGACTGTTGTACCTCAAGCCTGTAACCACAAGGTGGCAGTCTTCCTCTTTATACGTCACTGTCCATTGACCATGGTATGGAAGGCTAGGTTCACAGTACAAGCCTTATTGGGATTTTTGTCTTAGATGTGGGGGCAGACTCACAAAAGTGTCTTGAGAAAGAAAATTTTAAACGTCTACATTCTTACAAAAGCTGGAAATCTTACAGAGAGACTTTGATGATGTACACTACTCAGAAATGTTAACATTAGCATTCTGTGTTTTTGCTGTATCAAGAAATTAAAGCAAGACACCAAATTTTGTAAATCCTTACACCGCTACGCAATGTAAACACTTTTAGTACATTTTTTTAGTAATGCTCTTAAATGTCAAGGCTCTTTGATTCTTTCACATGCAGTGGTATTATGGTTATATGGAACTTCATTTATAACGTTCATTAGGCACGATGATCAGTGGTGCTGAGTTTTTACCTTCCTCATTAAGACAGGATGAAGTATGAATAGAGATTCTCAGTGAAAGACTGACCAGTGAAAGAGCAGATATGAGATCTGGCCTCCACGTCGTGGAAGGAGATCAGGCCCTCCTCATAACCTACACACACTTCAGGGGAGCCTGTTCAAGAAAAGGCGCTCAGAGGGAGATTTCAGAGCCTCTCATTTTTTCAGACACAAAGACCAGTATCCATTCTCAGGGCTGACTTTAATCTCTCCCTTCCTGTTAATGGACTCTCTGACCACTACACACTCCAGGTCAGTCTTTCTTCTGACCTGAACCTCATAATAAAATCTGAGGAGATCCCCTTTTCCCAGCACACAGATACAACTATCACAACTCTTTGAGCTGTCAAGGACGTTCTGTTTCGTGTCTCCTTCTCTCACTTGTTTCCCATCATCAGACAGAATGAGATCAGGATGAGCTGCATCAGGATCCAGAGTCACATCCACTGAGAGAAAGAGACACAACCGAAACCATACAGACCACGAAAGTGAATACATAAATAATTCAGACACCTTCATACTGTTGAATTCTCTTCATTTCTGTTTGGAAAAGGAAAATAAATAATATCAGTTGCTGTTAGAATTCAAATTTGCTTAATTAAATGCCACATATAAACCACAATGCAGTCAGCTCCATTATTATTGCTGCCCATGGTAAAGATGGGTAAAAGAGGTTGAGAAAAATGTCTTTGTGGAAAGTTGGCTCAGTATCACACTGAAAAAAACTAATATTTAAACAAAGTAAATTTAGTCTCAGAAAACAAAAATAATCATTTTTTCTCTAACAAAACCGTATGTCACAGTTATTGGCACCCTTGCATATAGTACCTCATGAGCTTTCCTTTGTCAACATAACAGCAATGTGTTCTTCAATAATGCTTGATAAGTTTGTAGAAAATGGACCAAGCAACCTCAAACCACTCCTCAATACAGAATCTCTCTAGATCCTCCAGAGTCTTGGATCATCTCTTTTTTCTTCAGTTTTTTTCTCCAAAACCACTTCACATTTTGGTGGCCTCAAAATCTTATGAAAATACAAAACCATGATCCTCATCATCCTCACTATTCATGAGAGTAAGATAAACACGCACCCTCTACAAGGCAGGTTTACTACAGCTCCAGTTGTTTTAAACTTCTTAATAGTTGCCCTAACAGTAAATATGGGCATTACCTTCAGTGTAGCTATGAGTTTATGTTCTTTGACATATGTGAAGGTCGGGACATGGTTATCTCATTTTATTTGTGGGCTTTCTAATCTTCCCCACATTGATTAATCTCTAAGGTAATTTGGCCACTGTGTCGCCTCATATCTATACCCCAGTGAAACATTACATTCTGGAGGACTTCCTGAGTCCACTTAGGTGGACATAAAAAAAAAAAAAGTCAAATATAAATGAGAATTTCTAGTGATGTCAATAATTGTGACACATGGCTTTGTTCAAAAATTACTTCAATTTAAGGTTAGGTTTTTTTTATATTTAAGTATGAGATTGCAATAGTTTATCACAAACAGATTGTGTACAGTCAAATCTGCTCGTAAAATGAGCATATGCAAATTTCACCGACAGTGAAATCATCAGTTTCATCTTGTGCATCTGTAAGATCAAACTCACAGCTGGTAAGAGTGTGTGTAAATTTGAGTGTAAACAGCCTGAATGCCTGTTTAACATGACTGATTTGCAATTATCTAACTAAAACTATTATCAGTGTCATCTGTAATACTACTAGTGGGAATAAAAACTAGAAAATAACAGTAATACTAATAATTTGCGCACAAGGAATTCTAGTACAAAACTGGATGCGCTTATTCTACATGCACCTTGGTGTAAACAAATGCTGCAACTATTTCATGTTCCATTTAAACACAAATTTCAGTGTGGTTTTGTTTTACACTGTTAACACTGCCCAAAAATAAAAAATATAATAATAATAATAATAATTGCAGAAACATCTCATTAACTGGAATAATACAGCTTTTAAATGTTATTTTAGGAAAATAATCACCCTACACAATCACATCATTCTACAGGCTTAATAAAACGCTAAGATGTTTTGCTCGTTTCACATTTTTTCCTTTCATTTTATTCTTTTGTAAATTTATCACTATAAAGTTTGGTCAGTCGGGGGGAGAAGTGCACTCGGTGACCTCAGTCTCCGCCTAGGAGCAGAGCTATTGCCTCACGAGCCACTAAATGCTGACCTTTTGTTTGTTCCCTACCAAACATTTGCATACATTAGGGCATGTTTTATGTAAATGAACTACAGGTAGGTAGGGGCTTGATTTCACGTTCTGAGGCTGATTCATCATTTGCACTCAAATCTCGCTTGTTTTCATATGGAGCAAAAGTTTCATAAATCAGACACAGAATAGTTCATACGTCCCTGTAAGTGATCAAATCTGCGCTCTTTTTATGCAACTTTGAGGAATAAGAGTCAATTTTTCATGACCTTTTTTACCCACCTTTACCATGGGTGCCAATAATTGTGGATCTGACTGTGCATTATTGGTGCAAGGATCTTAATGACTTTCTAAGATGACATTTTCTTCTAAAAAAGGCCAGCCATACTGGTCAGTATATACTTACTGATTGCAACAAAATTCTCCGTCTCCTCATTGAGTGAATTCTGTAGCTGAGTCATTGCTCACTTCAGAGTCTCCACACTCAGATGAGTGCTAATGCTCAAATTAGGCCAATTCTTGCTGTGTGGAGGGCTGCAGAGGGATAGGTATGTCTACAGTCCAGCAGGAGAGAGGAGAAAACCCTCAGAATGCAGAGTCCCGGACTGCCATGTGTACTGCTTGACTATTGAGAAACAGAAGGACTCTGTCCTGTAGGAAGTGGAGATGGTTCTCAGTGTGTAAAAGCTGCTTTAGCTTAGTGTCTCTCCTTATTAGCTCAGTGATTTTCTGCTCCAGCTCTTTAATGAACTTTTCAGGCTGCTTTTCTGCTGCTTTCTGCTTCTTCTCCGTAACCTCAAGCAGCTCAATCTGGCTTCTCTCAGTGCAGCACACCAAAACATCTGTGTTTTTCTGCCACGAGACAGTTCACAGACAGTCTTTTTAATGAATGTTTGTATTTTGATCAATTGAACGACAAAACCTATATTATAATGAATAGAAAATAGAGACTGCAAGTCACTGTTGAGTTACGACTTACTTTATTGAGTTCTACATAGTGTTTGATTCCTTTAGTCTTCTTCAGTCGCTCCTGGATCATCTGCTGAACTTCTGCCTTTGTTCTCTGGCAGCTCAGTCTATAAAGAAAGCACAAATCATCACAACACTGCACTCATAAATAATTCCTGGTCTGGGCGTATGGTTCTTGGAAGTGCCTTTACATTATGTGGAGGTTCTGTAAACTTAAAAAGCTTCTTCACACTTCTACATTTCATTTACAAACATGGGTCTTTAAAGAATTATCCAGTGCAAGGTTCTTCAGATCATCTTGGTAAAAAAAAAATCATATCAGGTCCATTTAGGTACTTCGATGTCACCAAGCACCCTGCAATTAAGTTGAATCTGTACTGAGATACATGCAGATGCACATGCAACATGTATCTAAATTTGAGTTCAGGGTTAAAGGAACCCATTTGAACTGAAAACACTTTTGTAATGAAAGTGTTTGATGTACTATTTAAGCACTGGCAAAGTTTCAAAATACATCATTCACTCCCCAATCCATACAGTCCATAGGTGAAATTTAAGCCACAAAAACAACCCATTTTTAATTAGCCGTTTCTGTCTTCTCATGTATACATTCTAATTTACACATATTTACTTATTCAGCCTACAGCAGTTTAGCTCTGCCCATCCATACTGAAGTAATAAGGAGTGTTTTAGCCTAGACTGATTTTTGAATGAGACACAGGGCAGCCAGTCGGAAAAGAGCTCATTTACATATATCAGTCTTAAAGGCACAGTAACAAAAATGGCCTGTTTAATAATTAAGATTAAAGAGAGGTTAAAATGGTCATGCATAAAGGAATTATGACTGTTTTATTACATATTATTTTTACTTTTTATTACCTCATACATATTATAGAAGGACCCTAGGGAATAACAATAAAATAGAAGAAAATTGTAAAATATG